ACTCTTTTAATTGCAATAACATATTTTCTTATTGTTGTTTGCCCTTATTATAATTACTGACTTTCTCCATAACAATTATAAACTCCACCTCTCCGGAAATAGGAAACTACTACTGTTACATTTTTCCCCTTTAAAATAATACAAAAAAAATAAATTTTATAAATCAATAGGAAATACTTACTGCTACTCAGTGATAATATTATTTTTCCTTTATTTTTTCCAAAAAAAAAAAAAAAAAACTTCTTCCTGTGAAAAAAAAAAAAAAAAAACTTCCTGTGGTTAAATTTTTTGAATGAAATTAACTAGGGTGATTCAGTAATGTGCAGACAATAAAATTTTGACCAGCAGGAGGAACAGGAACCCAAGAAAGAAACGTGACTGAACTAACATATTATATCTCAAATGGGACAAACATTCTGTTGAAATGTTCAAAAATCCAAATATGTTTTTTGGTTTTTTTGCAGAGAATCTTCTGCCCTTATATGCATTTTCTATTGTGTTGTCTTTTTCTTAGTTTGGTCCATCTTCTATCTTTGCTTATACTGTATTTTGCTTTCTCTCTACACAACAGAGATATGATCAACTAAAACTAAACTCTCCAAGATACTTAAATTGGCTTCATAAAGAGGCTTGAGTTCAGTTCCTCTTGGCAGAGGCTGAGCCCAACCTACCATTGATGAATCTCATTGATTTGAGGCTTATGATATTTTATATTTGGGCGGTTTTTATGACCAAACTAGTGGAGTGGAAATGCTGTTGGGCTTAGGAATAGTCTTTCCCCTGCCCCTATCACTCTAAATGCACACAAGCCACTTCATTTTCAGAATAGTCTCTGTATAGTACGTAAAAAAAAAAAACCTCTATAGTCCATACAAAAAATAAAAGAGAAAAAAATATTATTTCTTAAAAAAAATATTTATTGGAAAATTTGGCATCAATTTGACTCCATTTATTTCCGTAAAATAACTTGTAGAAAAATATGTTTCACAATTTTCCATTGTTTAGGGGCGTTCAGGAAAATAAATCTAACGGAAAATATTTTTTTGGTGAAAAAAAAAAATTAAATCATTTTTAAGGAAAATGACTTCTCATTTTCAAGAGCGTAAAATATTTTTCAAACTTTAATAAATTTACAATAACCTTATAAAATCATATTTTGTTAATTTATTAATTATCGGTAGTTACTATCACCACTCATCATTTATCACCAGCGGCCACCGTTGACCACTTCCATTGGCCATCATGGGCCACTACCACCAGACACTTTTTTTAACATTATTCTCATATTTCACAATAAAACTTTTAAAAATGCGAAATTGATATTATTAATATTTTATTTTTATGGTTTGAGTTAAATTTTTAATATTTTTAACTAATTTTTAAATTGCAGTCAAACAATAGAAAATAAGTCATTTGAAAAATATTTTCCTTTTGAATCAAAGTCTATTTATTTTCGGAAAATAACATACAGTTGGAAATTTTCTGGAAACAAACGGACTTTGATGTCAAAATGAATCAAATAATTAAGAAAATTGAATCAAATAATTGAAAAATGAATCAATTCGATTGTATTTTCGATTAAAGCAGTTGGCTCGCTCCTAACACAAACAACATAACCCACGTCAGATTCAACATCAACACATCACCAATGACTCATAAAATGCATTTTCTTTTCTTTTTCTTTCTCCCTTTTTGTTCTTAACAATAAATTTGCATTTGATTACCTTTATCATCAAGGGAAAAGACCGAAAGGGCCATCCACCCAATAAAATTTAAGATTTCCCGAGAGAAAAACTCATAGAGTGCCTTTCTGTTTCCTTTTCAATATAACATTTCCCTATACTCGCTCCTTGCAATAATTTTTGTTCTACTTAAATTATTGTTTTATTTTCTTTTTTATTAGTGAATAATATTTAAAATTTATGATTTTACTCTTATTTAATGTGTTTCTTTATCAACAAATATAATAATAGCCAAACTACAATATTGTTATCATTAATCAAATCTTGATATAAACAAAATTAACACATCAACCTTTAATTTTCCAATAAAATTCTATTTAATCAAATATTTAATTAATTTCAAGAATAATTTAATATGAATTATTTAATTTTCATGAATACTGACATAAAAGGATATATTATGAAAAAATAAGCAAAAATTATAGTATAAATTTTCTTAATCCATATACAAATTACAAATTATGCGAAGAAAGGGAGTATAATTTTTTTTTAATTGTTAAAATACTGAAAATGTAGATTATGCAATCCATAAAATGGTAGATCCAACTCATTAAATGATCATCAATGAAGCTTATAATTGTAACCAACAATTATTAGATTGGATTATTTGGATTTAATATGTACAAATGTGTTGACTTTTTCTTGAATGCCAAGTTGGTAGCCATGAAATTTAGTGATGGTGTCAAAGTCACTACCCCCATTACCTAATTATCTTTTTGATTATCTAAAACCTAACTCTGATTAATTATAGAGAGAGAGAGAGAGAGCATGAGGCTTGGAGATAGCATAAGGATGGGGCCATGACAAGCAACAAAAGAAAGGTACTCATCAATAATGATTGCTTTATTTGGAAAATTATCTTATCACCTTTTGAAGCATCTCTTTAATTTCTAAAATAAAAATATTAAAAGTTGAATTTTATATATATACCAAATTAACTTAAACTAAGTATGTTGATTAGCAAAATGTAATTTCATTTATGTTTTTAGCTTTTAATCATCATACTACCCCAAATGAAAAGGAGTTGGTAAAAGAATTTTAACTTTGTGCTCATAGAAATTTGCTTTTATTTTTTTGGAAATAAAAAATAATTATCTTATGATGGAGCTAGTATATTATAAAAAAATAGGAGTAATACAATTGTTATAACCACAAATGATGGGTAAACATTTTTACTTTTTCTTTATAAACTGTGCCTAATCTATTGGATTAAATATAATTTTGCTCGTGTCTCATTAGAAATTTTTTTCATTCACAAGAATTGAACACTCGACTTATTGTTTAAAAAATCTAAGTATTTTTTACTCAAATCAATCTGTGTTGTGAATAATTTTATTTAATTTAACGACATTGTATGACATGGAGAAATATTATGTCATATTTTGAAATCCTTAATTCCTAAGCAAAAGACTCAATAATTTAAGGAATTTTCATTGCAGATCTTTTCTTTCTTTTATTACATATGTATGAAGAATCTCTAACTCTATGTGGACCTTTTAAATGATGAAAAGGGGATAGACCGAAAGAGTGGATAAAGCTAATGTGCCAATATGCAATTCCAAAAGTAAGCAATGGCTTGATCCGAGAGACACATTCACAAAGTAGTGGGGTTTACATGTATTTATTGTTTGTTTTTCTTGTTGTTATTTGTACCCGTTATTTGGATTTATGTCTAGTCCACAGTAAATTTAATTAATCTCTACTCACTCTCAAACGCAAAGCGGCTGACCTGATCCGAAAAAAATTTAAATTGGTGGAGTTTCGAATTTGTGACTTTAATCATATTTATCGATATGGTAAATGCTCTTTGTTATTGATTTATTCAGATTCCCACTATATTTTATTGTTTTTTTATTCGGCTTAGGAACGAAGCAGTGGACATGAACTCTTTGAATGTTTAGCCCACCAATGTCCTTCTATTGGCCTGTTGGGGTTTGGATTGGATGGCTGGAAGCACATTTCCACATAATCAATCTGGTGGACCTGCTCATAGAGGGAGATTCCTGCACCGGTTTTTTTTTTTTTTTTTTTTTTTTTTTTTTTTTTTATTTTCCACAATAATCAATCTGGTGGACCTGCTCATAGAGGGGATTCTGCAACGGTTTTTTTTTTTTTTTTTTTTTTTTTTTTTTTTTTTTTTTTAAAATTTAAATTAAGAATACTCTGGTTAATTATAGTAGTTTTATTCAGTTGAATTCTTTTTTTTTTTTTTTTTTTTTTTTTTTTTTTTTTTTTTAAAATTTAAATTTAAGAATACCTCTGGTTATTATAGTAGTTTATTCAGTTGATTCTTTTAAACGTGTGAGTACATATATAAAGAAATCGACGGATTATTTAGTACAACTATCCAAAATTCACTGATATTGTAATTATTTTAAATAACTTGAAATTACAAAAATATAATTTTAATTTACACTTAATTATCTAAAAATAAACTAAACTTAACTATGGAAGAAAATATTATTACAATACGATAAAAATGTTATCACACTTATATATGTTTTAATTTATAGTAATAAATCTATTTCAATGTATAAAAAATAATAGTTAAATTATCCATGCAAGAACTAACTGATTTGATTAAAAAAAAAAAAAAAAGAGAAAGAAAATAAAGCCAACTTATTACATCTATGTTTTAGAAAAAAAAAATTAATTTTTTATTGCTTTAATTTTTTTTTTCTTTTTATCTGGTATGAAATCAACCTAGCTCTCTCTTCTCATAAGCATTTTTTAATAGAATTGAATTAGAAATTCTTTGCTTTCGTTTTTTATTAGTATTTTTTTTAATGGATTGAATTCAAGCATATTTACTCTTTTATGGATTAGCATTTTAACTTTTTCTTTTTATTATTATTTATTGAGAAGAACAATAAATTGAAATAATATTATCCACTATACGATAGAACTAACCTCCCTCAACTTACCGAATTGATGATAATTCTTGTGGATAAGGACTCAGAGCTCATTTCCATATTAATGAGAAAAACAAATAAGGGAACAACTAATTAACAATTCTTCAAAAAAAAAAAAAATGTACAATTTCTTATAAATTAGCATATACTATTTTGTAAGCTTATGTATGCAGAAAAACAGTGAATTATAATTAAATGTAGGGTCCACGAATCAATTAGCATTTAATTCTTGCATCTTCCTTTTTGAATCTGGAAGATTTTAGAATCACCACATGATCTCATCAAGATAAAAGTAAGAAAAAGGGGTTGAGACTTTAGTCTCCGCCCACCATCTCCTTCCTGGAGAGAAGAAAAAAAACAAATACAGATATATGGGAAAAAGCAGGAAATTAAAATAAATAAAAAAATTGAAACGTGGCAAATTTTCCATTGGATGGGGTCAAGTAATAGCAAGTTAAAAATAGTAGAGCACTGGCAAATGCCAAATGCTTTGCCTTCACGCGACTGACAAAACAGGTTTGGATTTGGGAAGAGTAAACACAAACACTGACTAGGACTCGCTATTTGCCACTGCTGAACAGTAACAGAAGTGAGCCACCACTACCAAAGTGTATATAAAGCAACACTAATTAAACCAAAAAAGAACACCTCTTTGTCACTTCCTCAGCAAGAAAGATTCATGGGTTTTTATTTGACATTTAGTGGGTTGTGGTGGAAAATGGTTAGAGGAGTGAGTAAAGGACCCACCTTCAAAAGGAGAAATTGTTAGAATTCAACAAACACCAGCACCCAAGTGGGCCTTTTGATTCTCTCCTTCCTTCAAGCCCTTCTCTTTCTCTCTATCTTTCAGCTCTAGCCTTTTGGTTTGGTGGGTTTTAAGGAAGGAAGATTTTAAAGATTGATTCAAGTCCTAGAAGCTCACACTGTTTGCATTTCTATCCCCTTTTAGCCAGTATTTGCGTAGGATTCAAAGTAGTTATCTTTATTCTCTCATCTTCTTTTTTTTTTTCTCTTACTAGAATCATTTTTATTTGATAGACTCCTGTTTGTCAATAAAGTTTAGTTAACTTTTTGCACGATTGGTTGCTTCTAGAAATGGTGGCAAATTTATGTCATGTAATTCTGTTCGATTAACTATGCATTCGTGGGAATAGGCTGATGTATCTGTTCCTGGATTCGTCAGATTCTATCGTTTTCTGCAGATTCTTAATTCAGGTAAGATGTTCTAGCTGACTCTCGATTGTTCTATTTTTTTACACTGGACAGACAACTGTTGCATATAATCTCAATTTGTTTTTTTAGGTGACATTCAAAATTAGTATGGGCGTATTTATTAGGCAACTTATGGTTATAGAATTTTTAAGAAATTGAAGCATTTCAGTTAAATTTTCTATTTATGGTGGGTGGTTCAGTATTGACTCTTTATTGGCTTTCTTTGAAGTTTTTATTGATTGAAGAAAAAAAAAAATTTAGATACTATTTTTTATTGGATTCAGTCGCCCTTTTGTTTTACTCTCAGCTGATAGCTTTTTTTATTCTTGGAAATCGTAGTTATGGTTCTTTTAGATTGATGCTTTGAATGTTTAGTTAAATTACTGCCTCCAAATCTGGTAGCTGTTTACCATCAAGATCCCCACTTGTTATTTCTGACGCATACTATGTGTTTCTATGTTCGACTACTTGTGCTATTGATAAACTTTATATTAAATGCTACCTCTACTACCATCTCATGTCTTTACCTGTTTGTTATTGGTATCATTTAAATGAAAACTGCTTAACTTTTCCATTGTTCTTGATTTGTTTTTGAACTTGTAAACTGAATGTATCTTTACACACTGTTAGATAATTGGATAAGTTTGCCGTTGCATGTTTATGTCTTTACTACCTACCGTATCCTGTCCTGTCCTGAATTTCTTTCTCTTGCATAATTTGACTTCTCAGGCCATAATTTGCCAGGCTGCTATTGAATAAGTTTTCACAGTATGGGTTGGCTGACCAAAATTTTCAAAGGTTCTAGCTATAAAGGCCAGTATCATGGGAAGTATGCAGATGATAGATATTGGCATGAGCCTCGCCGCTCAGTGGTAATGACAATATCTGCTTTGTCATAAATTTTCTCTCATTCTTCTGCTTATTCATCATATGAGGCTTCCCTGTTATTTCTGGAAGGAAGATGATTTGTACACAATTACTACATTGCTGAAAAGATGAGATGGTCTAACATTCTCCCATTATAAGTTGTATGCTGGCACTTGTTTACCAAGTGTTTTTTATGTTCACTTGAAACTTTTTTTTTTCTTTTCTGAAACTGTTAATGCAGGATGATTCATCTGACTTCGACAGAGAAGAGATTGATTGTGCTATTGCAATATCTCTTTCTGAAGTAGATCAAAAAGGAAAAAAGATTGTTCGTAAGTTGCCCTTTTTGTGAAAAATCTCATCCTTTCTTACCAAATGTTCAAGTCTACTTTAAGTTGTTAATTGTAGTTTCCTTTTACAAGTTGTTAACAACAACTTTTGAAGTGACCATAATTAATTATTGATCACAAATAGCTGGTCAGGACAGCAAGCATTCAGTGGCTCTTTTATGTATACATTAATGTTTGATCGCTTCACGCAAAATCTTTTAGTTTATTGTGATTTAGTTTCTCTTAATTAGTGTTCCATTTCTCATTGAGCGAAGGGTACGAAATAAATCAGATTGATTTTTCGATCACAATTACTATGTGAAATCTTTGGCTTTTTCCTCTTTTGCTATCACTATCCCATATGTACAGCATTGCCTGTCTAAGTTAGAGTAAGAAGAAATGTTTTGCTTAATGATATGATGTTGTGCTTTTTTGCTGTTTAATGGCCAATATGAAATGTGTATAAAACAGAGGAAGATGATGAGTCCAGCCTGTCAGACGAAGATGCTGAGGAAGAAGAAAGGCTTGCGAGGGCTGAGGAAGAAGAAAGGCTTGCGAGGGCCGAGGAAGAAGAAAGGCGTGTGAGAGCTGAGGAAGAAAAAAGGCGTGCGAGAGCCGAGGAAGAAGAAAGGCGTGCAAGAGCCGAGGAAGAAGAAAGGCGTGCGAGAGCCGAAGAAGATGAAAAGCGTGTACGAGCTCAATTGGAGGAAGATGAACAACTTGCCAAAGCTCTTCAAGAAAGTTTATATGTGGATACACCTCCTCAATATGATTTTGGAAATGCATTTTCACCTTATCCATTTCTCTTTCCATCTGGTTACAGGTATGTGTTGTTGTGTGGAACATTTATTTTGCTACTCTTACAATAGTCTATGTGTTGGATGATATTCACTATATTCCAATCAAATTTCAAAAGGATAATTATTTGCACCTCTTGTTGAACTCTTCCAAAAGAAATAAGATTGCATTTTCTCTGATGGAAGCTAGGATAATCTGTATCAAACTTGAGCAGACAAAATCTGTTTAATTTAAATGCAATTTTTTTTCCTTGTGTTGCTGGACAGTGGTTGGTGATTTAGTATCTCAGGGGAGGCATTTTGTACTCGACTTGAGTGAGAACATTTTAATATGGTGCAATTTACACTTTGCCTTTGGAATCACACTGATAGTTGGTGGTCAGAAATTCTATCTGGAAGAGGAATTGCTTGATTTGCATATGTAATTGTACTTTTGGAATGTGGTTGAAAAATGTCTTTGACATCTGAGGAATTAACTAGAATTCTGAGATGACAACATTGAGTCAAGCATGTTACCTAGGCTTAGTCTTCAAGGTTGTTTATCATTTGGAAATGGTAATCTCAGTCACCTGATTGAATTTCCTTTCTAAATAGACGTGGGAAGCTTCAGTAGAATGACCATATAATTTTGTGATGATTCAAGCACAAAATTCCATTGCCTGAAAATGCAATGATACATGAAACTAGCTTGAAGAAATCTTTTTGTTCTCTTGTGAGGAGAGGAGGCCTAAGAATGGCGTTGGTTAACCACATTCAACAAAAATATACCTATGAAATTGAATGCAGAACTTGCACGTATTTTTATTCATATTTCAAGTAAAATGCTTCTTATATATTTTTCTATTAATATTAGTTTCTGGATATTACTGATTGTATGAAATTTGATCTGGTTGTTGAAATGAATTGTTCTTAGGATCTGCGCTGGGTGCAATGCTGAAATTGGTCATGGGCGCTTTCTTAGTTGCATGGGTGCTGTCTGGCATCCTGAATGTTTTCGTTGCAATGCTTGTAATCAGCCAATTACTGATTATGAGGTCCCAATCTCATTAAACCTCATTGATTCTTTGGTTTGAATTTTGAAATTGATAAGCAATATGCTTGAATCCTTTGTTTATTTCCCTTTTAATTTATCAAACCAAGTAAAGTGTTAGGCGACTGGATTATATTAACTAACTGTCAAATTTACTTGTTCTGATAGTTTTCTATGTCTGGCAATCGCCCTTACCACAAATCATGCTATAAGGAGCGGCATCACCCAAGATGTGACGTTTGTAACAACTATGTGAGTATTTATCTGCCAGGGAGACATTAACTCGTCTTTTTTTTTTCTTTTTTGCCCCTGTAGTCATTTTAAGCCACTCGGATGGTATCAAGTCTTATTATGTCAGTGTTTCTTGCACACATATGCTTACCAAATATAATTTATAAAGTCTAAAGGTTGGAGTATTAAAACTTTATGAAGGGTTGTCAATCAAATGTAGTTTGGTTGGTTTTTTTATTAATATGGGGAATGAGTTTGAGTCCTCTTGACTATAAGAGTTTTCTCCAATTTGGTGAGCCAAAAGAGGGTTACCCCTATTGTATGTCTGCATTTCTAGGCACACCTCTTCTAATGAAAAGAGAACCTAATATCAAATATTTTTACTTGGAATAGATAAAATGGTAGAATAGATGTTGAGTAACTGTTTTTTTATTTTTATTTTTTTTTTATTGATTTACGGGAAAAACTCTTTTTGCACCATTTAGGATGGGTTACCTACAAAAGTCATCATGACTGGCTTGAACTTCTGTACTGTGCTTTAGGTATCTGTTTTGCTAGGTAATGAATGTCTATAGTAGTTTGTTATAATTTGTAGTTCTCATCTCTGATAAAACTGGAGTATTAACAGCCACTGAAACTCAAATCTATCTTTGTCTGTTTTTCTGAACACAGTGATGGCTTTTAGCTCAGTTCATGGATCAAAAGATATATAAATGGATTGGGATTGTTTGATATTGGAGTTGTGGTTGGGGCACTCAAATGATTTTTACATCTATATGCATTGAATAAATAAGCATTATACCCTATTGGGCAGGGCAAAGGCTGTTTGTGTGCATCTTGTTCTGAATAATTCCGTATCTGCTGCATGGGCCAGCTACTAGTTCTCCATCCCAGCATATATTATTTATTCTAATCTATAGGATTTTGAGACCCATGTTTTATTTCATTAGATCATAATCAATGAATAAATAAAGTAAAGAAAAACATGTTTCGTCAAACTTAAATTATGGATTATCAAAACTAGTGCAAGATTTTGAATTCTCCATAGTATTTTCTCCATATTTGTCCTTGAATCTCTTGATTTTATGCAGATCCCAACAAGTTCAGCTGGTCTCATCGAATATAGGGCACATCCTTTCTGGCATCAAAAGTACTGCCCCTCACATGAGCGTGATGGGACTCCTCGTTGCTGTAGTTGTGAAAGAATGGAGGTCAGTTGAATGAATTTCAACTTACTTTTATTCAGACAAAATGAAAAAGAAATGCAAAATGAAAAAATGTTATCATTTCCACCATCCAAAAGGCATTGCTTTGTTTCCAGAAACCTCTAATTCATCTATAGTTTGTAGTATGTTAATAAAGAAAACCCTTTGTCCATGCAGCCTAGAGACACAAGATATTTATCCCTTGATGATGGTCGGAAGCTATGTCTGGAGTGCCTTGACTCTGCAATAATGGATACTCATGAATGCCAACCTCTTTACTTTGAGATACGAGAATTTTATGAAGGTTTGAATATGAAGGTGGAACAGGAAATTCCTTTACTTTTGGTTGAGAGACAAGCTTTGAATGAGGCCATGGAGGGAGAAAAGAATGTACATAAGCTTATTCATTGAAGCCTCTCAATTGCAGCAATCACTTTTGTTTCTTTCTCCTTTACTTCTGTCTATTTTTAATGTTCTGTTTCTGTGGCCAGGGTCATCATCATTTACCGGAGACAAGAGGACTCTGCTTATCTGAAGAACACACTATCGCCACAGTAATTTTCTCTCGAAATTCCTAATTTTGAACTACAATTATGTAAATTTGTTAAAGATGATCTTCTACTGAAATGGAATTCATAGTCATTTTAACCAAATTACCAGGTTTCAAGGAGGCCAAGGATAGGTGCAGGCTACCGCTTTATAGACCTAATAACCGAACCGTATAGGCTAAGCCGTCGGTGTGAAGTGACTGCAATACTTATTTTATATGGCCTCCCTAGGTATTATCTTTATTTCCTTTCTTACCTATAAGAACCCATTGATTAGTGCAGTGGAGAATTTATTTACTTTGTACATCCTCAAACCTCTATATTATACACAGGTTGTTGACAGGTTCAATCCTGGCGCATGAGATGATGCACGCATGGCTTAGGCTTAAAGGTTTTTGAACATTTCTGTGACATAAACTTAGCCTTGCCAAGATATGCATTTCTACTGTGCTTCATTTCTACTGTGGTTTGCTAAGAAGCTCTAATTTGTCTTTGACAGGTTATCCGAACCTAAGTCCACAGGTTGAAGAAGGTATATGCCAGGTGCTCGCACATATGTGGTTGGACTCTGAGATCTACTCTAGTTCTGGAGTTGATGCTTCATCATCGTCATCGTCAGCATCTTCATCATCATCATCATCACCATCATCGTCTTCTTCATCTACATCATCAAAGAAGGGAAAACGGTCCGACTTTGAGAAGAAACTTGGTGAATTTTTCAAACACCAAATTGAGTCTGATACATCATCAGCTTATGGAGATGGGTTCCGGCGTGGTATCAAGGCAGCAGGGAAATATGATCTGAGGAGAACCCTTGAGCATATTAAGCTGACAGGAACTTTTCCTGAATGATTTACTGGTTAGATGAATACTACAACAAGAATAATGTCTCACCCTTACAAATAGTAGTAACTGCATATAATCTATAGGATCAAAACATAAAATACCTTGGGAGACTGAATAAGGGAACAAAATGCTTTTGCCTTCAAGCAATTGTAGTCTTTTGTCATAAAGTTGACAGAGCATTGTATGTTGTGAAAAGGGATGTTCAAACTCTAGAAAGATATTTCAAGGATGTTTTAGAAAACAAAAGCCAATGAATTTTCAGTTATAAATTTATTCCATATATAATTATGTAGAATTAAATTAAATTATATGTTTTAAATTAATTATATTAACCATGAAAATTCATTTATATCAAATGAAGCTTATATGTGAAATTGTCACTCCAAAATTCTAAAAATGAATTTTACAACACAGATTTTAGCGTCAATATAAATTTTAATTTAAGAGTACTATTTATCACGTAAGGTTAATTAACTATTTAATTCCTGAGTTTTGGTCCAATCTATACCCCCATCCCTGCTATTTAATAAAATTACTCATTCGTCCTTAGATTTAGTCCTGCTAGACTATTTACTTGTACGGGTAAAAATTTTCATGTGCTCTATCAACTCGAGGGACGCTTTTCCATCGACAACGTATATGCATTTTGTCAGAAATGCTCTGCCTCTGGCATTATGCTTCCGAGCTTTCCGCTATTCCTAATTTCTCTGCTCAGTGGCTTGAAGCTTGAATATTGATTATTCGGTCGCTAGCCATTAATTATACGTTTATGTAGCTGTCGCAATCCCTCGATAGTATGCGCATCAGATGTTTGATAATTTGCCTAAACTAATTTTAATCGCGGTGTAACAGTTTGCAATGAACTTTACCCGCCTCTCGCGAGCTATAAACCACTTCAAGATCCTTAACCAGCAAATTCGCTTCTTTGCTCGTGATCCATTTCCCAACAAGCTAACTCATTACCTCCGCCGGGCCGAACTCATTGATTCAATTCGACTCTGTCTACGTTCCAACTCTTCCAACTCTCTTCCCACTCTCCTTAATACCCGCCTGTTAGACCCTTTTGTAGTTACTCACGCGCTTCGCTCTGCTCCTAATGCAGACTCAGCTCTTTTCCTCGTTGAATCCCTTAAAATTATCCCTCATTTCTCACATAATCAATCTACCCTTTACGCGCTTGCCACAATCCTTGCCAAGTCTGGCAGGAAGTCGGAGCTTAGGTCCCTGATTGATCAGATTATTTCCGGTACATATTATAATATTCGTATTAGCTTTATGAACCTTATGCAGTGGTATGCTGCAGCCGGAGATATAGAGGCAGTTGTAGATACGTGGGATAAGTATAGAGGCAGTGTTAAGCGTGGTTGTACTGAGTCTTATAACATTGTTATGAGTTCGTATGCTCAAATGGGTAGAAATTTAGAAGCTGTAGATGTTTTCTATAAGATGATTGATGAAGGGGCAATTCCAAATTCTAGAACTTACACAGTTATGATTGAGCATCTCATTAATTCAGGGAAATTGAATTCAGCAATTGAGATTTTTAGTCTGTTGCCATTGATGAGGATCAAAAGGACTTTAAAGCAGTATTCAGTTTTGGTGGAAGGGTTTGTAGGTGCCAAGAGGTTTGATGAGGTTAAAACTTTGCTTAATGAAATGCGGATTGATGGGAAGTTTCCTGGTCATACCATGCGTCTGGCTTTGCAGCATATGCAGGAGGCAGGATTTGTGCATGAGACTGAGGACTTCCTTAGAGAAATGTTTCCTGATGAGAGAATCAAGAATATAGGATCTTACACTGATAGTAGCGATGAGGATGACAATAAGGATGTTAACCATGGAGATGTTCACACCGACACTGATGAAATTAAATTAAAACCATGGTTGGACCCAAAAGCCTTGGCAAATGCCTTGAGTCAATGGAGTCCTGAAGTTGTCTCCATATTGGAAGATACAAACTTTGTATGGACAACTCGATTGGTGTGCAAGGTTCTTAGGAACTTTAGTTTGGCCGAAACAGCTTGGAATTTCTTTTGTTGGGTTGCTTATCAGCCAGGATTCACTCATGATGTTTATACGGTTCAAAGGATGATGACACTTTTAGCCAGGTATGGGAAGGTTGAATTGGTTGATAAACTCATAAGCAAAATAAGAAGTGAGGGAATGAAATTGCCTTTAAGCACTATCAGGTTGATCATTGACTTCTATGGCATTTCGAAGAATGCTGATGCTGCATTAAAGGTCTTCCGTGATGACAGAACACTTTGTGGTTCCATATCAAAATTTAATCTGATGCTTTTATATTCATCTCTGTTGCGGACATTGACCAAGTGTAACAGAAATTTGGATTCCATTGATGCGCTTGAAGAAATGATTTTGCTTGGTATATGTCCAGATATCCAGACATTTTGTGGGTTGATTTATCACTTTGCATTGCACGGTGATATTAAAACTGTGCAGAAACTATTTATAATGGTCAGGCAGAGTGATGTGGAGCCAGATACTTATATGTTCAAAGTACTGATCCAGGCTTACTGCAAGTGTGAGAGAGCAGCTCTTGCATGGAGGGTTTTCGAAGACATGAAAAACTCAAATTTGATGCCAGATGCTGCTACAAAAAATTTGCTTGTAAAGAGTCTTTGGAAAGAAGGCAAGCGAAAAGAAGCTGCCATTGTGGAAGAAAGCTGCGAAGAAAAGAATGAAGTGCTTCCTCTTGTTTTGCGAGGTCATTTATGGACAGTGAGTTCTGCAGATCTCACTAGAGTATACAATATTTATTCCAACAGCTTCATGTCAACTTCTGCTGGCTAGATTTTGGCCTGGACTTGGCAATGAGCAATGATCTTCTATTTAAAAAAATTGTGTTTGTAATATCAGCATAACATGATTTTTAAAGTAATACCATGTTCTCCTTCTCTTGACTTGACTTTCTGAGTGCCTCAACCTTTCCATTTATTCATTGATGGTGTTGGCCGGCAAGAGCAACCGAGTTGTAATGCTATAATATTTGATTGGTAAATTTCTGATTCTGTTGGAAACATATTTTTGAACCTTGTTTCTAGGACAGCGAATATTTTGAATCTTTTCTTTACTGATATTGGGTTCACTGACACCAATTTGACAGTGTTTTCTGCATCTACAGGGAGCTATATCGAGTACCATTCATTATTGGTTATGAACCTTAAGAAATCAAGGTTTTCATTCTTGCATAATTTTGTTTCCAGCAGAACTAGTCAAGTACATGTGAGTTTTCTCCTCTTTCAAGGGTCACTATAATAACTTTGAAAACACAATTTCACTTTCCATCAGTAGTTTTAGGATCTAGTTGGCCGGATGATGCTCATTTCTTCTTGTCTATTTCTTCCCTTATTGCAGCCACTTAAGTTGACGATGTGAATCTTTGATCCTTTGATTGGGTCACAAATCAATTAGAATTGAAAGCCCTTTTCGTTTGGCTATCTGTCTCCTGAGTCGTCAATTTCTTTTTTAACTGGATGCAAGGGATTAAATGACTTGTTTGTTTCCAAGAATCCATTTTGTGGGCACTTTTGGGACAACTTGATAGTAATTATGCTAACATATCATGCATCATCAGTAAAAAAAAAAACAATGTCTCTATCAAGGCAATCAGGAGCTATCAAGTTGGTTGTTTGCCAGAGATTGGCCTCGCTGACTTTTTTAATATAGTATGGTTAGGGGCAAAAAAAATTCTTGCCGTCCCAGCTTGGGTAACTATATTAAATCAATATGATGTCTATAAAATATGTCTGAACAGAAGGTTCAGGAGCTTGTCTTATTTGATTCTCTTTTGTGAAAGAATATGTTGCAGAAGCATAAAAATATGTTACTTATGGTGTGATTTTTCTATTATGTCTATGTCAGGGAGGAAATAACTAAGGTAATCAGTCAAATTAACGGTAGAGACAGAGCCTCTTAGATATTCATTAGAAGAAAATCTAATTTATTTGGATCAATAGCTCCAAAACACAATAACATTTCAGCTTTTCCATCAACCATAAGTGACCCTCTGCAAATAACTTTTTTATTTTAGTTTGTATGACATAAAATTCCAGAGCCTAAGCATCCAAGCTCTTAGCCATGGCAATTTCTCTCTTCTCTCTGCCCTCCTTGCACGGTCACCATAAGGCACAAACTTTGATGTCATATGACATGCAAGTTCTTTTTCTCTGTCTTTTCATTTTTGCTATATATGTCACAGCAGAGTCACCAGAAGGCACAAACTTTTCATGCCCTGTGGATTCCACTTCCCATTGCGAAACTTATGTTAGTTATCTTGCTCAACCACCGAACTTTCTGAATTTAGGAAAAATATCTGATCTGTTTGCAGTCAGTCGCCAGCTAATAGTAAGTGCTAGTAATCTGGTGTCTGAGGACAACCCTTTAATTCCTAACCAGCTCTTACTCGTACCTATAACTTGTGGTTGTACAGGAAATGGTTCTTTTGCCAACATTACTTACCAGATCAAGCATGGTGATAGCTACTACTCTGTTTCAACGATGAAGTTTGAGAATCTCACTAACTGGCAATCAGTGGAACTTTTGAACCCAACTCTGGAACCAAACCTCTTGCATTCTGGTGACGAAGTGACCTTTCCTCTGTTCTGTAAGTGCCCTTCAAAGACTCATTTGAAGAATGGAATTCAATATCTTATTACTTACGTGTGGCAACCTGATGATGATATCATGACAGTGGCCGCTAAGCTTAATGCATCTCCATATGATATTGCTATTGAAAACAACTATCGGAACTATAGCACTGCTGTGCATCATCCACTGCTGATCCCTGTAACTCAGTTGCCAATTCTCGCTCAGCCATCACCATCTCAACCTGAGAGAAGAAAACTTCATTGGGTCATCATAATAGTAACAAGCATAGCTGCTGTCCTTATGATTTTCCTTTTTGTGTCTTTGCTGGTGAGTGCTCATTATTCAGCTAACAACAAGAAGAAGGCAACTTTGGATCGCAATGGTTCCTGTTTGGAGACCGCAGATCTCCTTCAAACAAAAGAACTCAAGAAATGCGGGAGTTTTGAGCCAAAGATCATACAAGATAAGCTATTTCCAGGGGTTTCAGGCTATTTAGGTAAGCCAATCATGTATGAGGTTAAAGAGATTATGGAGGCAACCGTGGATCTTCATGAACGCTACAGAGTAGGAGGTTCAGTTTATAGAGCCAACATCAATGGACAGGTCCTAGCAGTAAAGAAAATCAAGGAAGATGTCATGGAAGAACTAAAAATCCTGCAAAAAGTGAATCACTCAAATCTAGTGAAATTAATGGGAATTTCATCTGATACAGTTGGGGATTGTTTCTTGGTCTATGAATATGTAGAAAATGGGTCGCTGGACAAGTGGCTGCATCCCAAGTTTGCATCATCATCAAGCTCAGTAGCTTTCCTCTCCTGGAGTCAAAGGTTACAAATAGCACTAGATGTGGCCAGTGGACTGCAATACATGCATGAACATATTCAACCAAGCATTGTTCACATGGACATAAGAACAAGTAATATTCTTCTGGACTCCAGATTTAAGGCAAAGATAGCAAATTTTTCAGTGGCTAAACTTGCTACGGACTCTATGCTGTCAAAAGCTGATGTTTTTGCCTTTGGGGTTGTTCTATTAGAGTTGCTTTCTGGAAAGAAAGCCATGGTAACAAAAGAGAATGGTGAGATTGCCTTGTTATGGAAGGAAATGAAAGGCGTCTTGGAAGTTGCAGAGAAAAGAGTGGAGATGTTAAAAAAGTGGATGGATCCAAACTTGGAGGGGTTTTACCCAATTGATGGTGCCCTGAGTTTAGCGAACTTGGCAAGTGCGTGCACGCTAGAGAAATCTTCTGCAAGGCCAAGTATGGCAGAAATTGTATTCAACCTCACAGTTCTCACTCAGTCATCTCCAGAGACATTAGAGAAATCCTGGACTTCTGCACTAGACACAGAAGAGATTCAAATAACCAGTCCTGTCATAGCTCGCTGATTTAGTATTCCAACTCTTCAAGTAATGGAATAGACTATGTCGTGTAAAAAAATTCAGTTTGCAATTTTTATTACGATGAACCATGGTATTTGCTTTTCCAGTACAACTTTTTCCCTTTTAATCATAAAAGTTGTTTGTTCTGTAATTTCTAAGTTGCTGTGCTACAATTAATCTAGAATATTCCATAAATGTATATTGTTTTTGAAATATATACCATTTTATGTTTACAAGGAGCTAAACATATTGCATAAACATGGATTCCGATCTGTAAATACCCAATTGAATCTTAGAAAGGGAGGAAACTATTTCAGCCATCCTCGGTCTACTTTCTGGCTTCGGTGCCAAGCATGCTAGGCTCAACTTTACCATTCGGGAGACAACTTCCATGGAGCACTGCGGTTGCAGAATAGGATCTACAAGGCTGCTAAGTTCAACTTCTGCATCTTCTTTTTCCATAATTGAGGTTACTGTTTCAGACAATTGCATTTTTTGTTCATCCTTCATGAATACAGCTTATTTTCCAGTACATAATTCCAGCAGAACTACTCCAAAAGAACAGATAAGGAGCTTGAAGATATGAAATTTTCTATCAGAATAGGGAACTCTGTAACAACTGCATAATTTTATTCAAAGTATTTAGACTTGTTGACTATAAGGTGAGCATTTCAGAGTTGGTTTCTATGAAAGTGAACCTACAATGGCCCCAGTTTCAACCAATATGTTTTTATATATATATATATAATTTAAAAGCTTATTGGTAACTATTTGGGTTGATATCAAAGCATAAGGTGGTAGAATAGATCAACAGAAAACAGTTTTTAAAAGACTTCTACAAATGCCATCTTCAAAGTCAATTGATTTTATTTTTTTTAATATTCATAATATTGTTATAAAATGACTCATGACTTAAGCAGTTGATATGATTTGCAGATGGATTATAACCACTGGCTGCACTGCAAATTTCTAGTTGAAGCCTACTGATAAATCTAAAATAGAACTTGTTTGTATACAGAGAAATTTACTGAAAGTGATAACATATTTGAAGATATATAGCTCATTTCCCATTATGATTTTACAATCTTGAATAGGACTTTACTATTGGAACAAAGAAAGGGACAACTAAAAAAGGAAAATGAAAATGAAAACTTGAAAAAAATAGGTAACAAAATTCATTTAATGCACATTGCTTTCAAGAGCTTCTGCTGTACTGGTATCCTGAGACAACCGATGATTCCCAGTTAAGTGAAGTGGTCAGGATTCTCGAGAGAGACTGAGTTATTTCATCCATGGCAGGACGATCTGATGGGTTTTTACTCAAGCAACTATCAATCAATCTCAAAATAAGAATAGTGAGTTCCAAAGGATAATTCCCTTGCAAAGAAGGATCAATGAATTGCCTCAAACTGTCCTTTCCATTTGTCTCAGAAAGAGCATCATTTAAAACATCTGATAAGTTCATATTTTCCTCTGAGTATAAGGCAGCAACTTCTTTTCCACTAACTATCTCCAAAATAAGAACCCCAAACGCATACACATCAAGCTTTGTAGAGACAAGACCATTTTCCAAATACTCAGGAGCCATGTAACCTTTTGTTCCAATAATATGCCTTGTCAAAGCAAATTCCCCTTCTTGGCCTTCTGCAGACCTTGCCATAGCAAGATTTGCAATCTTTGCTCTAAAATCACTGTCAAGAAGAACGTTACTACTTTTTATATCTTTATGGACATGAGGAGGAGTAGTAAAACTATGTAGATAGTTAAGCCCTGTAGCCACATCTAAAGCAATCTGTACTCTTTGCGTCCAATTCAAGAATTTCCCATCACTGTTACTGCTGTAGATCCAATCGCTCAAGGGTCCATTAGTAGCATACTCATAAACCAGATACCAATGACCATCACTGAAACAAACACCAGAAAGGCGAATAAGATTAAAATGATTTATCTTGTTCAATAAATCTATCTCCTTTGATACATCACCATTTACTTTCTTAATAGCAGCATAATCACCATTAATTAAACCGCGATAAACCGATCCTTTAATCCAACAACTTGGATTAAAATTATCAGTCGCAGCTTCCAGCTCTTTCAACTTGTACACCTTAATGGATTGAGCTATACTAGAAATGCTATCCAAGAAATCCTGAGATTCTTCATCCAACTTCTTGTTAAGTGGTTTCTCTTGCGCCCCAAAGCTTTCAGAGACAAAAATGGGTTCAGATTTCTTCCTAGTTTCACTTTTATGAAAGACTGCGAAGAAAATAATGCTTCCAATAATAAAGGTGAGGACAATTCCTCCAAGAACACCAACAAGGACATAAACCCATGTCTTGTTTGAGCTATTATTAGAGTTTGGTGATGCAGATGGAGGCTGAGGCGGAGGCGGAGGCGAAGCTGGAGATGGAGGTGGTGATATTGTTTGGTTACTTGATGGTGGGTTTTGCAAAGGTATTAGAAGCGTCGTGAAAGGAAAAATGGTGGGATTTGACAAACTAAGTGGTGTATTAGCTTCTAGAGTTCTTTCAGTATCTGCACCAAATTGTATACTAACCCCTGAAACTGTATCACCCCACTTGATTATATAACTTAATAGATACTTGATACCAATATCAGTTTGATTCTTTGTAGGGCAAGCACATCTAAGAGGAACGTTAAGTCTTTCACCTGGAACAATATCAGTAGTTTGCCTTCTGTTCTGATCCCGAACAGCTTGACAGGTTGAGAGGCCTTGATAAGTGTTATTTGCAATCCAGAAAAACGAATCTCCGTTCTGCGCAACATAAGTTGTGTTGAACTGATAGTAATCACCTGAACATGAGCAATTGACGGGAACTATCACCATCTTGTTAGTATCAAATGATGCGGTTTCAGAAACTTCGTTTATTGCAGAAAGCTGAGATGGGTCAGAGCTCAAAAGGGTAGAAATGGAAGCAACAGTATTATAAGGAGGTTTCGATCTGAAGATAAGGTAAGCTTGGCAAGTTCTATTTAGGCCATTGCAGGAGTATCCAAGAGCTGAATTGCCAGTGTTGGAACAATTTGTTGTAGCTTTTGCCACATAAGGCTGCTGTGCATGAATCAATGAGCACAAACCAAGAATCATAGCAATAATAAAAAGGGAGATAACCGAAAGGAATTTCATGTTGGATTCGGAAGCTAAGACCTAATAAGCATATCTAATAGAGCACATATATAATTGTAGCAGTTCAGAGAGAAAGGGAGAGCAAGCGAGTTGTATTTGGAACTGGCCTTTTTGAGAAAAAAGATTCTTAAATAACCCATGTTGAATTTTTGACAAGGATGTTTCTCCGAACAATAGTTTATTATATTACATTTGTCACTGTCAATATCCCCACATGGAAATCTCAATCTTTTATCGAAAAGAAAAAGAAAGGGATGATCAACAGATACTAAGAAAAACATTCCACGTTTACGGGCTCTGGTCAATGGTTTTATTAAAATGAAGAAAAAGTTTTATTTTATTTAATCGCTCTAATTGCAATTTGAACTCCTCAAAGCTCTATTGACACTAAGGTCAATTGTGCGTTAGTAAACAAATCAAAAGAGTAATTGTTCGTGTTTGGAGACGGGTAAACCCATCAACCATGAGAAACATTCTATGCGAGAAAATTAGCGGTTGAATGGTAATTAAAATTTAATGCAAGTAATCACATCCGGAAATTGGATTTGACCAAGGAGAAAGTTCATAGAGAATGAATAAGAAATGACATGATCATATGGAATCTTGGAAGTTGGAAGTGGTCTTTACACGCTTAATTATGTAATTATATAAAATTTGTCATGATTTATATTCCAATCTGACTTAGTTATACCTTCCAATTTCAAAAAAAAAAAAAAAAAAACCTTCCCAATTTCAAAAAAAAAAAAAAAAAATCAGCAAATGAGATTCGATGAAAATGGGTTTTATCTGGCTTTTTCCTTCAAATAATAGAATAAAGTAGATAAGCCTAAAAAAAACAATGCCCTAACTCTGTTGCGATTCAGTGAATTGCCCCGAGTCTTAAGCCAGCCACCAGACTTGGACCTTTTTCGCCTAGTTGAAAGTAATGTGAAAAAAAAAAAAAAAAAAATCAGCAAATGAGATTCGATGAAAATGGGTTATCTGGCTTTTCCTTCAAATAATAAATAAATAGATAAGCCTAAAAAAGAACAATTGCCCTAACTGCTGTTGCGATCAGTTGAATTGCCAGAGTCTAAAGCAGCCACCAGACTTGACTTTTTCGCCTAGTTGAAGTAATTTGGTATTCGCGTACTTGAAAACTTCCAGGAAGCAGAAACAAAACCAGGTCAAAGCACTAATATATGCATATAAACCCGACAAAGAAGCATCCCAAGCATCCACAAAACCCACCTAATATCTTGAAATTCAAGTCTTTTATGGAGTCGGTCAGTGACCTGTGCAAAACATTTCATTGATTAAGCACTCAATTAAACTAAGCAGGCCCAAGATTTTCTCATGGAGCTTGATGGAGTAAGAATCAGTGGGTATTTTCATTTCGTCTTCTTTCTCATGAATGCGTATCTATATATGATACTAAAATTCAACAACATTGAAACCGAGTAGCTGAACTGAACAATGAAATTTGATCAAGAAAATGTTATAGAGCCTAAATTGGGGGCTCAGGCTCAACTTCAGAAGTTGATGGGAAACATCATTCCCCATGGAAAATCAATCCTTTCTCTACCAAGTTCCTGAGCATAGATACAATATTGAAAAGAAGAACAAAAGAGCTATACCAAGACAGTAGAAAAAGCATTGATAATTACATTCACAATTCCTGAATCCTCCAATTCCTCGAAGCTCTGTAATGACAAGTGAAACTGCCAATATGAGACAAAACACACCACCAACAATGGTATCACGAAGTCCATTAGCCAGCCCATTAGGTGTGATGACAAATAGTATGAAACGAGAAACTGTACATATTAGAAACAAAAACCATTTACACATCAGCAATGATAAGCATCGTGTGATAGGAGTGGTGTAGGGAAAAAGAAATGCAAACCTGGAAAGGTTTCAGGAAAGAATAAATTTGCTGCAACAGCAAGAAAGGCAATCCAATAACCAAATTGTCCTCTGAATAAAAAACATTGGTATGTTTAGCAAATGCAATTACAGACTAGATGAAGATCACACAAAGATATGTTCGAAGCACTAGCAGGAACCTTAAAATTTTGAACATTGTTGTTGGAAAACTCGTAAACAGATACAACACTAGAAGGGTAGTCTGTAAGGCTGATCTCTGGCCTGTTCGAATCAGGATCAACAAGAATCTGCCAGAAAAGCCAAATGCAACAAAAAAATACACAATAAGAGAATGATAACAAAAAAAGACTAACAGTTAAGTCCTTGGCATTCAAGACCATCTTGATCTTAAAAATTGCACTTTTCTATAAAATGAGGAGGGCAATTGAATGGCTGAAATGAATGAATCACAGAGTATTTGGTTTAGAAGAAAATGGCCAGACAAAATTTAAATCCAAAAAGATCAGTACATAATACACCTTGTAAATATAAAGTGGTTTGTCATAAACATAGCAATCCAATGTCAGTAACATTGCTGGATCAATCCAAAAAGAATGTGCGAGTGATAACTAATGAGAATTTCAACTACTAGACAGCAAAATGGGTATAGGATCAGCCACAATCCACATAAAATAGTATGAACTCTCAAGGCACTTGACAAACCATCATCTCATAAGTTCCTACACTCCACACCAAAATCAGAAAAAAACAGGTACTGGCTTGATTTCACCAATGCAAATGATCTTTCAACTTCAGCAGAGTCATTGAATTTTAAGTTATAAGATAATTAGAGCTAGATTTGAGTAGAATTCTTCAGCCAGATTTTTGCCAAACAACCAAATAAACAAATCTTCGCAAGATTTTGGCAATAGTGATTGTTGAAATAAACTAAAATTACTAAATATTACTGAAGCCTCAAACAGCAAGGGAAACATTCCAATAAGGTAAATTATTTCTCAAAGAATTGAATTGACCCAAAATTTTAACTATCAAGAATACACTCATCCATGCAACCATAACCTGCGATGGACAGTAAACAACAACAACAACAACAACAAAAAGAAAAAAAAGAAAAAAAAAAGAAGGTAAAGGCCCCAATAAACAGACAAAAGAACTGGTTTGTCTTTATTCAAGAAAGAGCAATTAAATAACAATGGGCAATATAAATTGAAGTTGCAGACAAAAAACAAGAACAAAACTCAACCAAAAGTGACTAAAAGAGAGAATAATTGATTAAAGATTTTACGTAAAGAGACGTACAGAGCAGAAATGGTTCCTCCCCATTGAAAGGTAGTTTCAGCCTTGCTGGATCTCAACTCTTCCGTATTATAAATAAAATTTGAAGCCACCCATTTTAATCCCATGACGATTAAGCTGTACATATTCAGTTTTGAGCACAAAAAGGTTCACCATTTATGGCAATTGCAGAAACCCATTTACGTTTTTTGACCTCTCTCTAACTTTACTCTCCTCTTCTTGATTTCTTGTGCTTTCCTGTACATTCTTGGAGATGCATGCGTCTTCTCGTTTAGCTGTTAGTCCCACCAACCAAACAATTCAGCACGTGGCAAACGCATGGTGCTCTACGGTTCCTCGTATTCGAACGTTGGGAAATGGGTTTTATTACAACAAAAGAATAATCATTGTGGGCCATTAAGTCCAAACTGATTGGCCCAGTACCTGCTGTATAATCTTATTACCCATTTTGTTCAACTCTAATGTTTTGTATGAATAAAAGTTAAAAATCCAAGTATAATTTAATTATGGGAAAATCCAAGTTTTGGCTTACCTAATACTTGAGGATCTCTATTAAGTAACTCATGAGATCCCTAAATTTTGATTGTCAACATTTTTATCTTTTCATTCAAAATACCTACTTTTAACCGTTAAATTAACGTGTAAGTACCGACTTCACTTTAAGCCTTGGTTTTCAACCACATCTACAACATTACCCTCTACTTCAATTTGGCCTCCAATATAGCTTTAATCTCCATTTTTGTGATAAGGGAGTTAAATAAGGTTTTTTCATTATCATAAAAACCTCTTTCATCGGGTTTGAAGCATCAATCTAAGAATAAATTAACAATCAAATCAAATTCAAAAGAAATAATTAAGACAATTAAATAAGTTACTTTTTGCTTTGTGTTGTGGAATATTTCAGCCTGGATGTGGAGGTTGCCGAACGAACAACTTCCTTGTTTGCAAGGTGGTAAGGGGTTCTATTCATAGTTTCCTTAACACGGATAATATGAGCATAAAACCAAAATAATTAAAATCAAGAAAATAATCAAAACCAAGCAGCTTTTCTACTGTTTTCAAGAGATCAAGTATAACAACAATGGAAGTAAAAATGATATCGGTAAGATCTGAATTATAGGGATTCGTAATTGCGAAACCACCGGATATGGTTGTGCAGTCGTTGTGGCAGTGCAATATTCATTGCTTTTTGTTCAGTAGTAGCAAACGATCGTGGTTCAGTTATCGTCAAGAAGATGACATTCCTATGTTTAGGGTGCTTATTGGGATTTAAATTTTTTCTCTTTCATTAGACTCACTTAGATCACTAAGATTAACTAGAAAAGTATACAATTTTAAACAGAGAGAAACTGTTCACGGAATCAAAAATATAGAGATCTTATAATTACATTTTGGAAATAGAGATCCTCAAATGATAATTAGACCAAAATTTAAAGAAGAAGAAGAAAAACTACTTCATGTAAAGCTATGCTAATAATTGATTATACCATCATTTGGTGAAACTCATGAAAATCAAGAACACCATTAGCATCAGTATCAAAAACTTGAATCATAGCCACACATTCATCCAAGGATTTTTGAATCTCCAAGCTTATTCAACATCCTTTGCAACCCTCTTGGAGTTATACACCCATCTCCTTTCTCCAACTCAAACATTTCAAAAGCTTTCTTCAAATCCTCCTCCTCATCATCTCTCTTCATTAACTTCAAGAAATCAAGAAAGTTCAACAAATCATCTCCATCAGTATCAAGCTCCTTGATGATCGCTTCAGCATATCTTCGTATGACATATACTCTCCAAATCCAATGGAAGTGAAATAAGCCCTGAGTTCGAAGGCTGAAATCATTCCATCACCATCTCTGTTAAAATAATTAGTTTAAACATTACACCACCAAAAATTATAAATAATAGAAGTGATGTCTTTTTTGAGGAGTTAATAAATTTTCTAGAATACTCCTTGCTCAAATTTAGAATTAAAAAATTTATTATTGATTGTGAAATAGAGACTGCATGTTATAAATTAGCGACCGATTTTTAACATTTTACGACCGATTTGTCGGGCACAAAATACCGTTTTTTTTGTAGCGAGGGCTTAATGTAATGCAATGAAAGTGAAACCATGACTGGTACTGTGCATAGAATTTGGTGGAAGGAAATTGCATGAAAGCTTCGCAAAAGCAAATCCACAAAATTGATTGACTTTTGCGTGCCCCAAATAAACGTTACTCGCGATGCTTTTGATTGGTTCACTTCACATCAAACATACAACCAGATGATTAAGATGTTTTATTATTCTCTCCAAACTTGAACAATTAGAAAAATATTTATATGCATTATTATTATTATTAAAAATGCGATATTGAAATTTTCGTTCTAAAAAAATATAAAGAGAAAAAGAAAAAGGGTGTGGTTGCATGTCAAACATCTTTACTGGTGAATTAATGTTGTCATGAATTGCATGATTTTTTTTCTTTTCTTTTCTTTTTTGCACTTTCAGATATCCTTACAGGTCACAACTTCATTTGTGCTATAGCTTCAAGGTTTGTACGAGTGGCATTTGCACATGACATGGGACAGCCTAACTTTCTCACCATAATTCAATCTTTTCAGGTTAACAAACAATGCACATCAAATTCCTTAATTTATTAAATCATCTTCGAGTCTACTTTTCTTTTCAAACGTACACCTTACTCTATTATATTGAAAAAGAAAATTTTATCATAAAATAGTCTACAACTACAATCATGCATTTTGAAAGTTCTTATTGTGTTTGCATCAATGAAAAATGCTTTCTTAAAAAAAATAAAATAATAAAATAAAAAAACCCGAGAGTATTCTGATAATTCACTAGAAAAAAAATGATAAAATAAAAATAATTTTTAAAAAATTTTTATTTTGATTGATTTAATCCATGGATGGACTCATATCTAGATAAATTTTATCTAAATTTTTAATAACATATTGGGCGGCAAAAAAGCAGTTCAATATTGATACGGTGGTATTTTTGACCGTACACCGACAAATAAGAAAAAGATAAAACATGAATAGTTTTTTAAAATGTTCTTATTTTCATCAATTTAGTCTATGAATAAAGGGTGATGAATAGGGTATAAGCAAGTGTAATCCTTTCTGGATAAGTTGCATATTATCAAATCACACTTATCGTAGAACTTATTTACTGAAAGTGTTCATCTTTTCATTCTTCGTAATAAGAATTTGATTTTACTTGGGGATATTTTATAAAAAAAATTTTGAATACATCAAGCTGATATGGTTAGTGCAATCTCAAAATGCTTAGTTTCCAAACACTTGAGTTGATTTAAAATGTAATCCCATTATTTTTTATGAGAGGATTTATATTAACTCACAATCTAGAAATTAAACACTGATTTTCTATTCATCAAATTATGTATTTCTTTCTAATCCTAATTTAGTATTCCATGGTTTTCTTGGGGGAAAAAAAAAAAAAAAAAGAAGAAGAAGAAGAAGAAGAAGAGTGCACCATGCCTTGGATACAAAACTTCAAATCATAAAAGTTAAAACTAGACCCGGTTCAGCATTGGGTTTGATATAAGCTAACTTTGAGTCAACACAAAATTAGATATATATAGAGTTTGGTAGACTAACCATTCTATTCCCATTAAGAGAAAAGGAGTTAATAAAATGATTAAGAGAATAACTAAAGATTAATCATGTATAACTTTGAAATTAATCCCAATTATCAAAATATAATATGAAAACCAAATTCAAACTAACTACTAGTATTGTTACCATTCTTTTGACGATAAAATAATAACTAATTGCTGATCGTTTCATCCAGTAAAAAACAGACCATTTAGACTGAAATTAGAGAATTTCTAAACAAGAAAACAACTACTATTGCACTAACCACAAAGGCATACAAATTGAAATATCCAAAACACTAAAGTATAAAATCAAAAGGAAAATAAATAGGATTCAAAAGCCAACCCACACATGGTCTGCTTCATTTCCGAACTCAAGTACTTCATTTACAAGAACAAGCAAGAATTTCCCAAACAAAAGAAAAAGAAATTAATGAAAGAAAGAAAGAGAAGCTCCTTCAATACTCTTTCTCTCTTCCTCCCTCCTTCCCTCTTTAATTTCTTTTTTCCCTTCTTTTAACATATATAAATACAAATATGCCCCATGCCTCTTGCTTTTAGTATTATTAATGAACTAAATTAAGCCATCATTCGATAAAATTCTTGAAAATCAAGAACTCCATTACCATCAATATCAAAAACATGAATCATAGCAACACACTCATCGTACGATCTCGAATCGCCTAATCGATGGAGCATTCTCTGCAATCCTTTAGGAGTTATGCAACCAGCTCCTTTCTCCATTTCAAACATTTCAAATGCCTTTTTAAGATCATCATCTTCTTCCTCGTCTTCACTTGCTGATGTTTCTTTTTTCATTAACTTTAAAAAATCTTTAAAATCTAACAACTTGTCTCCATCCGAATCAAGATCATCAATAACAGCTTGTGCTTCTTCATGAGACATATATTCTCCAACTGACCCAAAATAAGACCTAAGTTCGAGGGCTGAAATCTTATCATCTCCATTGCTATCGAAATGGCGAAATACCTCTTTTAGCTCATCTTCTCTTGAAATATTAGGATTTTTTGGTGTGCACTGAGAGATAGGAGAAAGAGGAGAGCTTGAGGTTGAAGAAGTAGTATTGCTTGACTTTGATTTTCGGCGACTGAGGCTTAACATAAGACTCTTGTTGGAAAACCACTTACAAGTTTTTTCTTTTGCCATCAGAGGGATATGGATATTAAAAACTCACATGCAAAGCTTAAGTAGATGTAGGAAACCAAGGAAGAGACATTTTTTTTTTTTTTAATAATGAAAAAGATTTATTAATTGGTAATTGCAAGGAAGTTGCAGAGTGTTGAGAATCTAGACCAACGAGAGCAAATTAATCAAATCAAATTCAATTATATATTTAATATTGATTTATAATAAATTAGGCTTATATTTAACATAAAATGATTTAAACCATTTTGATTGATTCACTCTTCAGATTATATATTCTTTTAATTAGTTATATTTATTCGATGTGTGATTACCCACGTACTCCAACACAGAGAAAAATGAATGACAAAATACGTAAATGCGTTTGAGTGGGAAGGAAAGTTCGTAGCAGCTTCTTAAAGATTGTAGAATATGGAATACGTTAAATACTTATCTACTCCTCATCATGTATGGTACAAGTATTAAATCGTTTTAAAATAATAAAAATATTTCTCTATCACAAATATTAAATTTTTTTAAAATTATTTTTTATCCACAAATATACTAGTAAATCATTTTGAAAATATTTTTACGTAATTAATTTTAATTTTACCCAAATTAGTAATTTTTTTATTATAATTTAGAAAAATTAATTATTTTCTCGATCACTGTTTAAAAAATTATTTTCTTATTATCCAAGTTTGAAAAATTATTCATTTGCCCCAATTTACATCAAGTATTTTTCTTTCCTACTTTTGATACTTGTAGAATTTCCTTTTTATTAATATAATTTTCATATTACTAATGGATTAATCTGAATAGAAAAGACTCAGATTTAAAATTTTTATTCACACTTCCTCTTTATGAGTTTGACGTGATGAAAATATAATTATACGTAATCCAATAAGCTAAAGACACATGGTATAAAAAAAAATACTATATATATATAAACCTCCATTTTGGCCTACCAAATTAAGCAGGTAAATTATTATAATTGGTGGGGTTCGTTATTGTTTTGTGGTCTCGATACTTAGATAGACGTAAGAAATTCATTTAGGTAGCCTATTCTATTTTGTTTTTTCCTTTTATATATTAAAGGAAATGACAACTGTTTGAGTTCAAATTATTCATCTCTTATTAGCAAATCGATCCACAATTTTTAATTTTAAATATTTGAAAATTCTGATTTTTTTTAATTTAACTTCCTATCTATCATTAGTTTGTGACATATATTAAAACTTTAAAAAGCTACTAATATAGGTAAGTGTCCCCTAAAAATTTTAGTATTAATTTCTTTTATTGTTATTAATTAATATTAATTAGACTATTTTTTTCTATTATTCATAGAAGGTCAATTATTAAATTAATGAAAGACTATAATAAAATATTTCCACAATAAAAAAAAAAAAAAGAAAATTCAATTAGAATTTGCCTGATTGGCAATATTAATAAATTTCTAATTAATTTAATGACTTTGAAGTCATATTAAAAATTAGAAATTGAGAGTTTTAAAATTTTATAAACGCATCATTGAGATTCAAAAGCAATTTAATGGAAATTTCCGAGTGGAAAAGCTACTTCATCATTCTTCAACAGTATTAATTATTTCTTTGTTTAATAATCATCGAAAAGGTTGCCTTTGGAAATCAGAAAGGCTATAAAGCAGTTAAAGAGGCAGACTTAAATGCTAACCCTAGATTGTGCCCAAAGAAAATTTTATACCACTGGCTATGCTTTTTCCTTTAAACTTCTAATCTGACTCCTCGTTTTTCTTTTGTTTTCTTTTTTTTAATATTGATCATTGACGAAGATCACAGCGATGGAGACCAGCCAGATGGGTGTTTTGGGCCTTTGTGCCCTTCCCTCTTGTAAATAAAGCTTTCTAACAAATTAAAACTGAAAAGCCCTAAATTGCAGGCTTGCTATTGTTGGGTTGGGTTCGGTTGGGTTGGGTTTACTAGTTTACTCACAATGTAAACCAAATTAAAACTATCTCAATTTAATAATAATTAAATTACTATGTGCATTGTATTGGACATAGCTCATGTCTTTCTTCTTCTTCTTTTTTTTTTTTTTTTAATAATGGCTATGCTTTTTCCTTCTAAACTTTAAATCTGACTCCTTCGTTGTTCTTTTTTTTCTTTGTTTTTAATATTGAATCATTGACGAAGATCACAGCGATGGAGACCAGCCTCAGATGTGTTCTTGGGCCTTTGTTTCCCTTTCCCTCTTGTAAAAAAGCTTTCTAACACAAAATTAAAACTGAAAAAGCCCTAAACATTTGCAGCTCTGCTATTGTTGGTTGGGTTCCGGTTGGGGAGTTGGGTTACTAGTTTACTCACAAATGTAAACCAAATTAAAACTATCTCAATTTAATAATAATTAAATTTACCTATGTGCAGTTGTATTGGACGATACTTCATGTGTCTTTCTCTTGCTTCTAGTTTTTTTTTTTTTTTTAATAAGAATGAGGACGAACGAAACTAATTACTGCACCATCTAGAACAAATTACTCTACATGAATCATAAAAAATAAATTAAGGTGGAAGACCCTCCAGATAAGTATTAAAAATAGTTGTACTATTGTCTTAGAAGATACATATCTATATAAAAATTGATTTTCTTGAAAATATAATTAATCTTAATGTCTTAATTCAAAAGGAGAAAGCCAAATTTGCATGACAAAAGAATAAACTGATACAGGAGGATCCAAAGCACCAATAATAAATTTCACAAACATCAAGATGAAATATTCATTTTTCTTATTTATATTAATAAAATCATTCCATTGTGTCACATCATGCAAATATAGCTGAATACTAATAAAATCTTGATTCAACGATATCGTATTTAAATGCCTCTCTGTATATATGAATAGAAGATTGAAAATGGTGACAACTCCGTGTCTTAGTTGAGTTGTGGGACTATGACCATCCGTTGGAGTATACAGATAAATACAACTAATTAAAAACCCATATAATGTGAATGGTGAATCAACCAAAATGGTTTAGATCATTTTGTATTAAAAGTAAGTCTAACTCATTATAAGCTCAATATTAAATATATAATTGAATTTGATTTGATTAATTTACTCCTAGGGCCCAAAATCTCAATGTAGTATCAGAGCCTGAGATCCGAACCTGCACGAGGGAAGTTCCCGTATTGGGTCGTACCCTGATGGACCCATGTGTTAGGCCATCATATGCTTGTCAAGTGGGTAGTCCCACTTGAGGGGGAGTGTTGGAGTATGTGGGTAATCCTAAATCGGATAAATACAACTAACTAAAAGGGCAACTAACTAAATGCTTGTCAAGTGGGTAGTCCCACTTGAGGGGGAGTGTTGGAGTATGTGGGTAATCCTAAATCGGATAAATACAACTAACTAAAAGGGCATATAATGTGAATGATGAACTAACCAAAATGACTTAAACCATTTTGTATTAAAGGTAAACCCAACTCATTATAAGCCTTATATTAAACATATAATTGAATTTAATTTGATTAATTTATTGATAGGCTCAGATTCTCAACACCATCACATAATTTTCCACAGCCACGCTAGGTTCTTACCCCATTTCATTTTCCCATCCTTGTCATCGACAAGCTGAACTCTTTTTCGATTAAATCCTGAAATGGATTATAATGAGTGGTTCCTGAATTTCTTTATTTCCCAATTACATTCATTTGCAAATAAAAAGATGGCAGAGAAGCAATGAAAATAAAAACAAAAAATGTACTAGTTTATTTGTAGATGCTAAAATTACAATAATAACCATCACCCACTACTGATCCTAGAGATATCTATTGAGACATAGAGATGGAGAGACAACAGATATTTGTTTTAAGACAGTGACTGTAATTACAAAGCAAAACCGTAACAAGATAAGTGAAACAATGTCATTATATCTAGAAATAATAAAAACAAAGTGTACGTGTTGATTTCTCTCTTCTCGAAGGAAACCTGATCAGTTTAGAAGATAAAGCCTTTTAGGACACAAACAAAAACCAAAAAAGTTAAATTGATATCAAATAATTCACAGGAAGATTATAATTCATTAGAATTCTTGAAAAAAAAAAAAAAATCTCGTAATGTAAGTTTGGACTACATAAAATGCATGATAATTTTACCATAGACTTACTAAATTGATAAAAATTTTTATTATTAAAAAAATTCGAATACAAAACTTTTGGCTGCAGTAAAAAGACCAACACGACACAACATGACCACATATCATCAACATCTGGTTGGCTAAATTAATTTTAAGGTAAATATTTTAATTAAATTTGATCATTTTAAATTTTATAACAAAGAAATGGAAAGCTGTGGGGAACCGAAAATGCGTTGAAGGACATGTAAAGAGCTGACACGATAAGACTAAAAGAGAGAGACACGTGTAAATAGCAGTGAACCACAAAGTTGCAGCGCACCGTCGCCGTCTTTGTCAGGTTGCGGTTGTCCCAATCTAAAGATTAGCTTGTCCATGCTCTTCCTCTTCCTTCAACCGACCCCAGTGACCAATTTCTCCTGTCGTAGGACTTCCACTTCACCATTGACTCAGCTGCTTTCTCAATCTCCTAATTTGGGCTTCTACTTTTCCTTATTTACGCTTAACACCATGCTTCAATTAAAATTAAGAACGAACCTGGACGAACCCATGGCTGGATTCAATCCATATAAAGAGAAGCAAAACTAAATCCAGCAATGGCAGATTTAAATCTTGTTTGGTGGAATGAACTTGGCCGGAATAATGGGAATGGTTCGTGAAAGATTAGAGACTGTCATGGAGAGACCGAGTCTGTATAAAATGCGAGGACAAATATGTCAGTACAGTGTCTATGTAGATATATATGATGACAGAGCAGCTAACACTTACGATATGACAGCTTTTTCAACAATAATTCGTCAGTGTCACGTGTGCTACTCCTTTCGCCGTTCGTTTTCAATTCAGTGAGGAAAAAACAGTTCGAACCCCCTGAGCTTGGACAAGGATAATCGGATTATATAATTTGCTTAAAATTAAGTTTTTTTTTTATTAATTCTAATACAAATATTCATAATTTATTTAAATTGAGAGAAAATCGACTTATTATTTTTTTGTACGTGCATAATAAAAAATTTAGTAAAATTTATTTTTTATTAAAAAATTTTCTTAATCTAGAAGTTTAATTTTGATTAAATTGTTGTTACATTTTCAAATTATGCATAAAACTTGTGTATAGAAAATACAAAATGAGGAAATGACTCATCAACCACTCTACTAATTGAGATTATTAATTAATCTTATTTGCTTAAATTAAAGCATTATTAGATTTAGAGTGCAAGTTGCAAAAAATTGAACCGCTAAAAAAATAAAAATGGTTGTGATGAAAAGGATATACTAAATTACTAGTTGAGGTAAGGAATCATAAAATAATATCCTATGTGGATAACTAAATGCCATTTCAGTTATAATATTAGACCCAATGCATATGCTTTTTTAATCATCTAAATAACAAACAAAGCTTTAGATCTAATCATTTCCATTATTTCCTGCATCTTACTATTTATAAAGATATTAATAATATTTTTATTTTATTCGTTACTTTTAAATATCTTTTATTTCATTAATTATTAAAAGAAAATTAATAAAAGAAATGGAAATGTTTTCAAAATATTAATGACAATAGATATAAATAAATAGACAATTATTTTTATACCATCCACAAAATGTTTATTGAATCGTTTACATAAGTTCGCTCTTTCTGGAAAGAAAATAAAGAGCCGGGCCATGAAAATTTTTTATAAGGAAGCTTTAACCTATGATATCATGTAACCTTGAAGTTCAATCCCACAAACGCCCTTATGTTCAACCCCTGCTGGTTTTCAAATGTATAATTTTATTTTGTCTTGTACAAATAAAATTTTTTGGACCGTCAAATTTGGACGCCTATCTTTATCATAAATAACATCCTGCAAAAGAATATGCAGCCAATGATTCTTACCTCACATGGCTAAGGTGAGGGGATCGTAATTAAAAAGATTATGGGTTTTATCTCCTTTTCCAACATTTCAACTTATAATTATTTGTAATATCTGTCGCTGATAGGTTAGACCATTCTTAATAAATTTTAACATAATTTGTATTTAAAATTATAATTATAAGTTTGCTTGAATTGCAGTATTGTCTGAATGTATTATGTAATATATCTTTGCATATAGAACTGAATAATAATAAAAAAAAAAAAAAAAACAAAAGAAAAGAAAGAGTAAAAGAATATGCCCATAGACTCTACTAGTACTGAAAATTTTACGCACGAAAAATGATCACAGGCTTCATTTGCTTAAGCTGTGGTTCATCACATTCTAACATGAGAAGAATATGCCGCGTACGACATTATATATACTGCGTTTTACTATTTTAACTTTTCCTTTCTCTATATATATAAATTAAATTGACCCATAAATTTTGAGTCGGAAAAGAAGAGTGTAGATAAAAAAAAAAGCTTATATAGGCTCCTCTTTTTTTTATATGTAGTCATCTTCCTAACAACCTAAGTCTTGGCAGCTAACACACTCTCATTATCTCCTTTCATAGCTTAAAAAAATTGAGATCTAGAGAAAGATGTCGCTGGCTTACTGTGTTAAGGAGCAGAAACCTTGTGTTCGTTGGGTAGAGAAATACTTCAAAGACTGTCTTTGCAATCTAAAGGATGAATTTTCTTTTGGTTTTGGATTCATTAGTTTAATCTGTTGGGGAGTTGCAGAAATCCCTCAAATCATTACCAACTTTCGTACCAAGTCCAGCCATGGCGTCTCTCTTATTTTTCTACTCACTTGGGTTGCTGGGTTTGTTCTTTATTCTAATTCTTTCCCTCTCTCTTTCATACATTCTTCTCTATTTTCTCCAGAAACAAACACAGTCTGAATTTTTTTTTCTTTTTAAGTTTGCAGTTTTACTTGTTGTTTGATCTGTGCATTTCAGTAATTGCATAATATTTAATTATTATCCTTTTTTTTTTTTTCGGTTGCTGCAGAGATGTTTTTAATCTTGTGGGATGTCTTCTTGAACCAGCAACGGTGAGTGTGTATCATCCACTGAAAGGGGGATTTTGTGGTCCAGAAAATGAATATTGGGAATGGCCTCATATTGCAACTTGCAATCTTTCTACTTATATAAACCTTTTTTCATTAAAGATGCATATCTTGTTTTTTGCATTTTATATATTTTATGCATAAAATACATTATTATCTTTGTAATCTGATTTTTTTTCTTTTTTAAAATTTTCTGGATGCAGCTGCCAACCCAATTCTATACTGCCATTGTAAGTGCTTTTTCCTATTTAGTTAGGTTTGCTTGTCTACTTTTTAATTTTCAGTAGTCAATTTACAAAATGAGCCTTCAATATATCTATAATTGCAATTTCATTAATGCTGAAGCTTAAGTGGTTCCTCAGTAGAGTCAGCAACAGTAAACTTGCGGATTCAATAATTGTTTTTTGGGCTCTAATTAATTATAGGCCCAAAAAACCTCGACAGTGTGGGTTTTCAGTTTTGTGTTCGCTGCAGGTTAACATTACACAACTCCCCAGTTTCCCTGTACATTTTTTTTTTTAAATCAGTTCTTTGTCGGGAACATTAGCTTTTTTTTTTTTATATATATATATATATAATATTTAGCTGTTAGTTATTTTAATATATTTTTATAATATATTAAAAGTTAAACGCAGAAATTAACTTTTTATAAAATATTATTTTTTAAATCAGTTCTTGTTCGGGAACATTAGCTTTTTTTTTTTTTATATATATAATATTATATAATATTTAGCTGTATTATTTAATATATTTTATAATATTATTAAAGTAAACGCAGAAATTAACTTTTATAAAAGATTATTTTTAATTTTTTTAAAAAAAATTAATTATAAGATTTTAATTTTTAAAAATTAATATAAATGATATATCATCGAACACTTAAAAAAATAATATTTAATATTTTGACTTATTAAAATTATGAAAACTATTTAAAAAGTTATATCTCAACATTGCGTTAATCAAGATTTAGTCACTGATAATCTGCTAATAATTTAGGTTATCTTTCCAACTGAATCAAGAATTTTTGAGGTGCCAAGAAAATTGGAAAGTAGAAAATAAAAAAAATGTAGTGATTCCCATTTACCCACATGTCATGGTCCCAAGCTCACAGGTTGCATTCCATGCAGTGAATAACTTTGTCCAGATTTCCATGAATTATAAAACTCTGTATGTGATCATAATTGTACAATTCTACACATAAAACAATATATTTCCTTCTTAGTATTAATTCATTAACTCTTCTTTGTCTGTTCTTGGGTTCATTTGCAGCTGTACACCACAAGCACTATAGTTCTGGTCTTGCAGGGTTTGTACTATGATCATATCTACAGGTGGTGGAAATGCCAAAAGATTGATGATAATCAACAGGTAATCTATGTTTTAATTTGTGGGTTTTCAGTCTATTAATCATGATTAATTAGCAATTTAATTATAGAATCTTGTTAATTAACTGTTATTATTATTAGGTTGAAGATGATAAAAAACCATTGAAGCAAAACAAATCAGGTGACTCGGGCATTCCCATACCCAATGCCTCACGTACTGCAACTCCTCGTAGGGAGTATTATTACACGTACGTATATTAGTAATTTCTTTCAATTTGGTTACTGTGCCTTTAATTGCTGGTTAATTAATTAAATTACCTTTGATTTTTGTTTATTTTTCAGCTCAGCTAGATCCATGGCAGGCAGCGGTACGCCGCCTTTTCGAGGTTACCTTAGGGCAGCCAGAAGTGGCCCTTCAGCTATGGGGCTTGACAATGAATCATCCTCAGATGATGAGGCCTCAACTGTCTCCGTTAAATCTGTTAGTCAGCCTAGACCAATTCCTCGATCAGTGAGCCTCCAAAATCATAATTAACCTCATAATAATTAACTCAAATGTTAATCTTAATTAGTAATTATCCATTCTAATCTTAATTCTGAGCTTGAATTTTTATTTTCAGGTTGGTTATGGAACATTTCTAGCCACATCAGTGAACCTGCCTCGACAAAGTAAGGCATTGACTTATGCCTACACTGGAATTACCAGTAGAAGACTTTTACATGTATGGCAATTTAGTAATTGCAATTAAATCTTTTTTTTTTCATATAATTAATTAAATTCTCACTTATACATATATATTTATGGTATAATATTGCAGGAAGGAAGTGGAATGGAGCACAGTGCTTTTGGACAGTGGTTGGGATGGCTTATGGCAGCTATATATATGGGTGGCAGAATCCCCCAAATTTGGTTAAATGTAAATTAATCTTAATTAACTTTCTAGTAATTACTTATATATAATTAAAATCTGTTTAAATTTCTAATCAAGTTGTTGATTTGTTTGACCAGATTAAAAGAGGCAGCGTAGAGGTGAGGCTCCTACACATTCTTCACTTGCTTTTAAACTACTACAGTATAGTGTAATCTCTAATTAAAACATATTTATGCGTTAATTAATTAATATTAATTTGATTAAATTTTGACATTATGTAGGGTTTAAATCCTCTCATGTTTGTCTTTGCATTAGCGGCCAATCTCACTTATGTTCTAAGGTTTGTCTTTCTCTATTTCTATCAGTCGCATAAACATATATATATATATATAAAAAAAAAAAAAGACTCACAAGCAATAATATTTTCTCCATTTGAATTGCAGTATTGTTGTTAGAACCACTGAATGGGATAGCATCAAAGCTAATATGCCATGGCTGTTGGATGCTGCAGTTTGTGTTGCACTTGATTTATTTGTATCCTTTAATCAATTTTCTTCCAGAAATGCTAAATTTTGCTCTCTCTCCTTCTATAAATTTATTAATCTATTCAGCTATATGTATAAATATTTTAATATTAACCGGACATAGATTCTCAATCCTGCTTAGTGCCAGGTCGGCCTTATAAGGAATAAATCAATCCCAATTATATAAATATTTGATGTTTGATTTCCTTAACAAATAGTTTTGACAGATCATATTGCAGTACATCTACTACAGATACATGCATCAGAAGAGAATAAGCCATGGAGAAGACTATGGAGACTATATGGAAGCAAGCAAAGCTGTTTTATCTTAGAACTCTAGTGGAAGTATATTGTATATTTGTAATTTGGAGATTTAATCAATCATCATTAGAGATCCTTTTTCCAGTGTATTAATTATATAAGCATGAAAAATTAATAATTTGAAAATTTTATCCTTAATTCGTGGTGGGCAACAATTGTTTCTGCTTGTGATAATTGATGGCATGACCTACCATTTCGTTGCCATCTGGTTGTCTTCTCGAACTTTTATTATTATATAATATAAAAAAAATATTTATACTATATAAATTCTAGGTGGAAGTTAATAGTATTATTGTTATGCCCCAGAGTCATTTCATTTTAATCATAATCTTATACTTTAAAATTTGACAATTAATGTTATAATTGGCATTTTCTTTTTTCTCAACTTCTAAGCCACATATTGGGCTCCAATGGAATTGGGTCAGCCCAGTAAGATGTACAGGGGCCCACTTTGAAATACACACTCATTTGAGAATGTCCAGCGAAATCTAGTTTGAACATAAAGCTATGTTTAATAATATTGGGTAACAAAATGACCAATAGCATTTTATAAAGTGAAAAAGCAAAACCTTTCTATATGCTACACCAGATTATCAGAATACTGTTTAATCGTTTTATTAATAATCACCCAGAATGGAATATGAGTGAGTTGTCATATTTGTGATAGCATGATAATGCACATGCAGGAACATGTGGGAGAGAAAGGAAGTTGCAAAGTTAAAGCATTTTGGACATTGCTTAATACTCAATTCAATTGATTTACTTCAATTCGAGTCCACTGACTGGGTGTTTAAATATCTCTGTTATATATTCATTCCGTAACATATATATAGACTCACTTTTATTTTTCATCTGTCCCGCAATGTTGTAGTATTTCTTTCTTTAAAGATCATTTATTATATAATTTTTTAATATATCTTTATTTTTATTTTTCAAAAGAAGAATTAGTGTTTCTTTAAACAAAAAGAGAGAGAGAGATTAGTTCATAGTTCCACAATTGTTCATTAGATTTATATAATCCCAATGAGCTTATTTTGAGTGATTAAGCCCCATGGTTTAAGGAGGAAGAGTAATTAATATCCTGGTCTTGGACTTTATTAGATTTCCCATAGGAAAAGGTGTCTCTGTCTACCAAATATAATTAATACATATACATTATCTTCAACGAATTTTCAATTTATCCTTCTTTCTAAGTACAGGGTTAAAAATATATCCGTTACAATAAAAAAATTTTATTTTTATTACTTACGTGGACAACAGTTCATGAAATAGGTCTAGTAAAGTCTATCCCTGATAACACTGCTTCTTTGAAAAGATACAATGGTTTTATTTCATTGGTTATGCAGTGTGACTTTTGGCCAAAGGAGTCAGAGTTGGTTAGTAAAACCAGTGGAAATGCACCAACTTTTAGTTTTTCAAAGTTGATAACTATTGCTGACTGTCTGTCTATTATAGCTAATACTGTAGTCAATTCATTTTGTTCTTAGTCTTACTATTCATATTAATGACTTTACGTTTTCCTTTTTTTTTTTTTATAAAAAATATGATATCCGATACTGCCGACTAATCTCAAATTCTGCAAAACTCGTTATAGAATCCATCTTTCTAATTCAGTTTTTTTCATTCACTAGGATTTAAATTCTGAATGTTATTTAAGAAATTCAGCGTCTCATTCCATTCGACCAATTGATAATTTTTTTTTCTCTTTTTTATTATATTAGATTGAGATGTTGTAGCAGAATAAATTAAAAAAAGAATACAATTTTAATTTTTTAATTAGACATTTTGTTATAGCGATAGAATTTCTATTAAAAATTATTATACTAAAAATAGTTTTTAGAAATGTTTTATCTAAATTAAATTCCTTATTCTTTTTTAAATATTCTACACAAAATATATATGTTTCTTTACTTATATTATCACACTTTTACTTAAAAAAAAAAAAAAAAACATTTATGATATAAATAATTTGGAAAAAAAACAATAATAGTAATAAGGTTTTCCATGATGAGTGAGAACCGACAATCACTTTTAAATTGTGAGTTCCATGATTAATACAAATTAAGCTTGATTATTATACATATTAAACCCCAGAAGATTAGATTATCTCAAAAAAGAAAAAGGTGCAGCTGATTAGATACATATAGGGTTTTTATTTTATTAGGAGTGTATATTATATATTAATAAATGTTTATGGTTTTCATGCAAACTTTTTTAATTCTTTTGGTCCACAACTTCAAGTGACATCATTTCTTTTTCTTTGCTTAAAAATTGCTTGAATGTACTAACAAATAAACACAAAAATATATATATATATAAATAAATGGAGAATTAAATTTTAATTAACATACGGATATATTTTTAATATCGAAAATAATTATACAGTCCATGAATATGTATTAAAATAAATTAAGTAAAGGTACAACTACTAAGTTTCTTGTCTTTTTTTTTTATCTTCGTCTTCCTCGTTGCCTTGATATTTGTTGATTGTTTACTATAAGTTTTTATACTATACATGATCTCGTTAGATTAGGTTAGATTTAAAACTTATCATTAATTAAAAAATAAGTTAAATTGGCCAATCAAAATAAAAAATAAGTTAAATTGGCCAATCAAAATATAAAAAAAAGAAAAAAATTTAAAATTTTCTAAAAAAAGAAAATAAAATATTGAAGGCCATGATAGACAGACAGAATTTTATACTTTATCCTTTAAATATTTTTTGATGGAAACATTATCCTTTAAATATATATAATAATAATAATAATAATAGTACAGGGCAAAGCTAATTAATTAAGGGAAAAAACGCGTTAGCATGGCATAATTAAATCACTAATTATCGATTGTCAAATGGGTATTTATCATTTTGACTTTGGACATGTTAATTGATGCCATGATATGATATCCCCTAAATTTAGGTTAAAACATACATAAGATACTACTGCTTTGGGATCCCATCCCTATATATAAAACTAGTAAAAAAAAAAACCGTAATTCGTGCGTGGATATTTAATTATTGTTATAGTTGATTATATTATTATTATTTTTGATAAATTATTATTAAACTGTTTGGAAGAATAATCAAAATCGTACTTGAAATAATTAATAATGACAAATATTAAAATGATTTATAATAATAAAAAAAAACTATAACAATGTTTGAAATACCATAATACGGTAAATTGTTAACATTGTAATCGAGATTCATTATCAGAATAATATCATAGTGAGGAACTAACCACATGTTGAAACTCTGCAAATGACTATGGTTAAAATGAAACTTGAAATTTTTCATTATTTAAAACATTTAAATATTTGGATTGCTTTTAAATAATAGCATAGGAGCCTGGAATAGAATTCTATAGAGAAAATCATTAAATATGATATCTAATTTTAATATAGATGCAGAATAAACAAAATAAGTAAAATTTATTGATAAATAACATTAATTAATTTTTATTAATGTAAACGAAAACAAAAATAATTTTATTTTATGGAATGCATAGATTAATATATTTGTTTACTAACTTTAATTAATTAAATTATATACCAAAACATAATATAACCGCGAGTGATGTAAAACTAGACTATAAATGCAGATCACAATCTCTTTTGTTAATATTAAAAATCCCGTTATTTGCTCAATCAAACTACTTCTAAAATATTCTAACTATGTATATATTTGTATTACGTAGACCTAGTAGAGAGTACAATAATTTTAACCATGGCACACTAGACAATGACCTAGTATTCCACCACTACTATCCTTCTATCTTATACTAACATTTCCTAAGATCTCCTCCCCATGTTTAAAAAGTCAAATATATATTGATTTTTGGGAAATTGTATATTTGAGAGCCATTGCCCCCCAAAAAAAAAAAAAAAAATAGTGCGAGTATCAAGTGTTACAGAATTGTCATGTTGTATATGCATTTATCACTAGATCATGTCTTGATGTATTAATGTTATAGAATTGATTTGTGCCATTAAGCTAATAATGTACCGTTTATGTATGTTTAAAATACACATTTTAGCATTTATTTTTATTTAAATTTATAAATTTATTATTTCAGATTAGCGTTCGATGGTCTGAGAAGAGACAAATCGCTTTCTGAGTGTTTAATTTAAGTTCTAATTAAAATTTATAATTTCTAAAAAAGATGTAAGCAATTATATCTATAATAGTTAAAAATCCGTTACAGTTGATCCTAGGTAGCTAGTGTAAACTTAGTAGCAAATGTTTTACATATCATCTTAAGTGTGATCTAACGGTATAATTAACAAACAACAGCTGTGGCAGAACATGATTAAACTTGTAATTATGTAATAAGTCCCACACACAGCAATCGAATATTAATATTTGAAAAAGTTAATTATTTGGTCAAACCATCAATGTTGGGCTTTGGCCAGACAATATGTAGATACCAAAAGAAGCTAGTGGATAAAGAAGAAATTTAAAACACAAAATATCAAATAAGTGATACATTTTCATGTAATAAGTCATGAAGAGTATCCTATCACGCAAAAAGCATAAAACTCTTGAACAATAATTTTTCTTTTTAAACTACAATTTAGATATTAAAAACAATTGGTTAATTAAAAATAAATAATATTCGATTTATTCGGTAAAATTAATTATTTTAACTACTATTAACTTTCGTTATACAGGTCAATTAGCATTTTATCAAATATTTAAAAGGAATTACATTTTGTAATTTTCTCCTTCAAATTCTTTAAATTAGTAAAAATACTACTCTACCGAAATGCTAAAAGTTATACGAAAGTCTTAATCATAACAGGAAAAAAAAAAATATAGTCACATGTAATATCAACACAATCATGTAAGAAGCAAAATGAAGAAAATTGACAATAAATAATGTGTACAATTCCCTCTAGATTTGTCAATAATATATCTGCAACTATATAAATGCTGCTGTTCTCAGGTACAGAGCCAGAAAAAAGCGAAAAAAAAAAAAAAAAAAAAAAAAAAAGCGAAAAAAAAAAAAAAAAAAAAAGCTCTAATTAAGGTCCTATTAATGGCGGTATTATATAATTAATCGCTCAATAATTTATGAACCGCTTTCCCTTCTGCCTTTCATTGAACAACTGAAAAGTCTCTCTTTATTTAATTTATAATTTTCTCATAATTAAACTCAAATTTTTCTTAAAAACGTAATCAAGATCAAGATTCCGAAACGCGTTTTGTAACAGACAAAGGAAAAAAAAAAAAAAAAAAAAAAGCTCTAATTAAGGTCTATTAATGGCGGTATTATATAATTAATCGCTCAATAATTTATGAACACAGCTTCCCTCTGCCTTCATTGAACAACTGAAAAGTCTCTCTTTATTAATTTATAATTTTCTATAATTAAACTCAAATTTTCTAAAACTGTAATCAAGATTCAAGATCGAAACGCGTTTGTAAAAGATCATAAGGAGCCCAAAGAGAATCCAACGGGCAAGGCCGGTTACTGTCAAGCCGAACCCATGGCTTACCTTTTCCACTCCAATGCAACAGACTAACCGGACCAGGATGCAACTCTCTACAAAGACCGTGATAATTATCGCCGCCTAATCCGTGTTGATTCCACATGTGATCTACCGGCGCTATATTTCCGGCAAAAACAAGCAAAAATGGCGGCAACGAACCTAGTTCGTAGATCCGTATCCTTTTCTGCAGTTCCATCCATTCAATTATCTTTGTTGTGTAATCGCCTTCTCTCCACCTCTGTAAATCGATCACCATTACTCCTGTGTTAAAATAACAAGCATTGCGTTCCGAGAAAGTTAAAGATAACGATGGATTAGACCAGAAGGTAAGTGTAAAGTACGAAGTGAAGTTAGCGTTGCAATACTCCGGAGCTGCCAAGACCGCCTCGTCGCCCAGTGGAGTGGCGGCTAAAATGGAAATATCGTCGACTAGAATTATGTCGGAGTCTAAGTAAATGACTCTTTGGATGCAAGCAGGGAGGAGATCGGCCAGGTAGTTACGGGCGTAGTTGAGTGGTGAGTCTAGGGCGGAGCGGATGGAAGTGGAGATGTGGCCGGCCACGGCTGAGGTGTCGAAGGTGTAGATTTGAGAGTGGAGGTAAGGAAAAGAGGAGGTGATGGTGGTGTGGAGAGAGGTGGCGGAAGGAGAGGAAATGAAGTGGAAGCGAAGATTTTCCGGACAGGAAGAGTGCTGGAGTATTGAAAGAATCGCCGCCATGGTGCCACGGAGGTAATGTAAGTCAAGAGTCATTGCCACGTGGACCGCTTGATTAGAGCACATGTCATCGGAATAGAGGGAACAGCAGGTTGGGGAGTTGTAGAATTTCGGGGCCTCTTTGAATTTTTGAGAATTGTCGGTGGCGGTGGTGGTGGCAGCAACGGCAGCTGCATTGGCTGTGGTGATACAGAAAAAGAAAAGAAGGGAAAGAAGGTGGTGTGAATGTGGCGGGCGCGGTGGCGGTGCAGGAATGGGCATAGTGTGAGCAAGGAGAGGAAGATTTAGAAATGTGAAAGGAAGAGAGACACGAAGTTTATAGTTTTGAACCCGCGTTGTGAAGGAAAGCAAATCTTAAGGACTTGGAACTAAAGTCGTTGGTTTCACATTTCTTTAATGTTCTTCAAATTCTTGGAAGCACTCTCTATGAAATTAATTACATTCAACTTCAACTTCGTGTATTTTCAATGAAAGAAATAACAAAAAAATTATGAAAAATATTTTTTTATAAATTATTTTATAGAAAAAAAAAATAAAGCTTTAAGTATTATTAAATTCTCGCAATTAATAAAGCTTTTCAAATCAATTTATAGAGAGAAGATTTAGTGTCGATATCCATCAACGTCTCAGAAAGCTCGAATACTGCATCTCCACCTTCTAAATTAACCAAACTCCAATCTATTTTAAAATTAATTTATTTTCTTTCTCATCAACTTTAATATGCTTAATTATGTCCAAAATGATAATAAGAAATTAAAAAACAACATATAATATATGGCACGTAACAATATTTTGGATCATTGTGGTTCCTTCTTTTACTATGAGTCGTTGATATGCTACGTAATGCATCCAGGCTTTTCTTTTTTGCATACATATATTTATATATTTTTAAAATGCCTTTTCCCCTCTTTTTCTGGCAATCTGTTATGTAATGGCAATGCACTCAAGATACTAGTTAAAAAATTCAGATTTTTTTAAAAGAAAAAAAAAATTTCAGAGTCTCCCACAAAATTGTATTGTTCATTTTAATATTTTAATGCACCGAAAAATGAATGCATATATGTTAGATTGTTTGAGTTAATGGAACTCAAGTGATTGAATTTAAACATTTGATAGATTTATTAATTTTTTGAAATATTTTTTCAATTAATGGAATTTTTCAGGTACATCATTTTTATAAATGATGAAAATTTTTTTATCTTAATAATATCTTCCAAATTCATAGATTTTTGTTTTATTCTAAAAACTCAAAACTTCCAATCATATGTACCAAAAAAATAAAAATAAAAAATAACACCATATGAGACAATGATATTTTGATAAATTTTACATTTTGTAATTTTTTTTTTCAGAAAGAATGATTTTATTTTATCCACCACACAATTTTTCTTTTTGTATTATATATATCCATCATATCACACACAATAACTATATTTTTATTACATATCCACGACCATGATGGTAGTAATGATAGCAATAATAATAATAATAATTTGATATTCTCCTTCACATAATTACTTGAGATGATTTAAGTCGAACAAGAAATGAAAAATGTGAAAAAAAAAAAAACTCTCTCGTTCAGAAATATGAATTGCTCTTAGAGTAGTCTTTTTAATCATAAATATATATATATTTTTTTTGAAAATATTAAAAATAACTAACAAACTTTCTTTAACTTTACCCTTATATATATATTTACGTATTAATTTTTATTATATGAAATAAATGATAATTTAATTTAATTAATAACAATTTTATTATAATTAAGAAAATTAACTATTTTTTTAATCACGATGCAAAACCCAATTATAATTATGAACGGAAAAAGTAATTTTTATTATATGGTAATATGAGGGGGGCCATGGCCACCCATATAAGCGGTTGGCCGGTTTCGCCCTGCTATATGAGGTGTCATTTTCAATTTATTTAATTTTCGCCTGTATTTCAAAACTGATGATAAAAAACATGGACACGTCACCTGATGTACGGCTACTCTGCCAAAATGCTCAACTAAATTACTGGCATGAACACATAAATAAATTTGAAGGAAACTGCCACGTAGCTCTTAGCTGGGACCCACAAATGCCACCTGTGCTAAGAAAAAGAAAAGTTTGGTCCCATTAACTAGAAGTTAGGGTAATGTTGAGATTGGATTGAGACTTGGAAGTGATAAATCAGTTGGCTTTTAAATGATAAAGTTGTTTGAAACCATGTGACCTGTCAATTACATTCACATTAATACAAAAAATATAAGTTAATAGTAATTTTAAAAATAATAATATTAATAAAGCATGGGTTGGAATGGAAATTTCACTCCTCATAAAAATGAGACTATAAATTTATTTTTTAAAAATGCATTTATTAAGAAGATTAATAATATTTCTGATTTACGGTCCAAATTCACAATAGTAAAAAAGAACTCGCAAGTCGCAACAACTGCCGTAACTTTTCATCCATTACTCTCACAAATTCCTTAATTTAATTTTTAATTTCAGCGAGGTGATATTTCGAATTGTTTTACATATATTATATTACATTTACTAATTAGTAGGAATGGCAAAAGAAAAGGAGTTTAACACATAATCATGCAATATGCAATTTTTATTATAGTAATTTAGAAATCCAAATAATATTGTATGCAACCAACACCTTGTTGATAAAACTCTTTAAATTTTTAATAATTATATTTAATGAAATATTAAATAAAAAAAGAATATTTAATATTATTAATGATATTAATATTAATATTAACTCAATTAATGTTTATATTGAAAAGAAAAACTTAGCACATAAGAAAGAGTGGACGAATATCAATATACAAACCAAACCATTGAATGGCATGTGAAGCTCACATGCTCTTAAAATAAATATATATTGCTAAAAATTGGGTATTTAAATCTGTCTTTCATGGAATGCGTTAATGATATGTGAAATTTGAATGCTACACCTGAAAGAAAGAAGTGCAGAAGCAGAAGAAGAAGAAGAAGAGCACCATTATTAGGGATTCATTAATTGAAGCAAGTTTTTAAATATCAAAAACCAACCCATGTGCTACACATGAACGACCTCACAAACAGCTCCCAATAATTAAGGTTGTTCCTCTTAAATTTGCACTACTGCGAGCTGAATTCCCTTTTAAGACTTCTCAATCATGAGCAGCAATATCTGAATAAAAAATTAAAAATTGATTGGTCAAATTTGTCAAATTGATTATGAGATACCTACTAATTATGTATATGGACAGATTTTCATATATATATATATATATATATTTTTTTTCAATGTAACAACAAAAAGAATTGTTACCGACACAAAGCTTTAGATGAAAGCAGGGTCAAAGTTGGACGAAAAGTCAGCTGAAAAGAGGCAAAAATCCAAAATCTACTGCCTAAAAATTGTCTTCTAGCGAAAGAATTTAATAAAATCAAATCTATCCCAACAAATAAATATATAAACACATCACCTTGTTTGTATATTTCTGGTCAGATATGCAAATTGCAGTGCATACCATCACCGATAAAAGTAGAAATTGTACAAACTAAGAAATCAGTATTAGAATTCAGCTCTTATTACATTGGAATTGAATTTTCCATGTCTTTGATTTTGTCTCAGAAAACAAATCATTTCTTCACATAATAAGGATGGAAACTCTTAATTAAAAGGCTATGATTTTTGTAAATTGTTTCAAATTAGCCTTAATGTCTACCACTTCTGTACTGACTCTTGACTTTCATGTAGACATCTATTTTTTTTACTGTCACTATTGTTTACAGTTCAGTAGTAAGATTTTTGGTGAAAAAAACAAAAATTATTAGTAAGAAATACTATTTAAATGCTTTCTTGTATCGCTATGGAAATTTAGAGCAGCATCTCATGTTGTAGAGATATTCAAATCATCAAAGAATGGCTGAAACCCACACTGATGATTTGGTTCTTTAACGAAAATACAAAAGTGTAACTCTAACTCAGTAATTTACTCCACGTCTAACTAGATTCAAACTGGACCCACCATCAATTTGCAGAGTGAATATCAAAAAGCAAGCCCTTGCAAGTTGCGTTATCATGGCTTTTAATTATAGCAAATGCCAGGCAAAGGTTTGTTTCTGGTAACACAAAGATCGGACACGTGCACATGACATGCCTGTCTCATAATTATTAACTTATTTTTCAATTACTACGCTGCTACAAACAAAAATAAACCCCAACAGAAGCTCCTCCAATCAAGTATCATCAGCATAAGTTATCATCAAAGATTAGATATCATGTTTTCTTTTCTTTTTCATGCAAACAGTTATACACCAAGAGGCATAGAACCACAAGTCCCAAACTAAAGAATTTGCATCTTATCAATTATCAAATTATAATATATCCAAGCAAAGGCATAAGTTTAAAAGCCTTGATAAAATACAACTCATATATATACATTACTGGGATAGTTCCACAAAAACACAAACTCCTATTTTGCAATGATATGAAAGGCAGAATGCAGGCAAAGTTGCAAAGTGCAAAAGACAATGTGAAGAGCATCACATGGAACTCCTGCTAGTTATATGTTCTGTAATCTCCCCTATTACTCCAAAAAGGCTCATCAATTAAAATTTTGTACATTGAACCCATTCAATGGTTATTAAGAGTCCGTTTGGCCTTGCAATTACAAGCAGCAAACGTCGTGCCAAAATGGAAAATTTTTTTCTGGTCAATGTATATGATTTGCTAATACAATGGAGTTTTTATTTACTTATACAAACTTTCTCTTCTAATGCTTGGAAGTTTCAAATACAAACTTTCCCGAAAGCAGTACGAGACCTTCAAATACAAACTTGCAATGGTAATGCCAAACCGACCGAAACCTAACAACAGACATTTTATTTATGCTCTAATTCTAAGATGCAACTTCTTACATACGAATGAGCAATATTAGAAATACCAACATGTTGACCAATCATAACTGAAAAAATTCAAACTGATGGACTTCAAATTTTATCCACAAAATAAGTAAATAATTCCAAGCATTAGAAGGTCTCGTACTGCTTGATGTTGCTCAATTCTAATCATTCAACAACTTAATGGAAGTGCTCTACATGACAAATCTACTCTCCATTATTCTTCCCTTTTCAAGCCTCATAAACTTGAAAAAGCACTAATAACCATCCAAAGCACAACCACAATTGCAAAGTAATAGCAAAGAGACCTGTTAGCTTCCTAAGAGTAAAAATAAAGCTTCAGCCAAAATATTCAATGCCTCTTCAGAAGTTGCACTCTCAAGAATGACTCAGTTTGTACATGTTCTGCAACCAAAAACAAAGAGGCACTGGGCAAAACAGACAACATTGATGTGCTCATAAAAGTATAAAACAAACTCACAACATGGTAAGACTAATTACAAAACTAAGCCCCGAAGTATTAGCAAAATAGAAATCATATTTGAGATGATGAAACTTCTCAATGCAAAATGTAATAGAGGAAGCAGAGAGGACAGATTCGCAAGCCATTCTTGGAAAAACTTAAAATCCATCAGAAAGTGTTTATAACTACAGAATCAAGAAAGTATCATATTAACATTTAAAATCTTTCTCCAGTGCAAAAGGAAATCACCAAGGCAGCTAGAGTATATACAAACACTGGATGCCCGCTGGTCATCAAGCAAATGATTGATTTACCACCAAAGCAGAGCAAGGACCACCAAAACACCAATCAACATAAGAAGATTCTTTAAAACATTATCCGCATGCTGTCCTCGACTCATTGTCTGGGGGAATCCATGTGCATGGGCACCATGAAAGGCATGAAACCCATATGGAAAACCAGATGTTGTTCCATATACCGTTGCATCTGGGAAACCATGAAATTGAACATTGAACAAGGAAGGGAATAGAGACAGACCACCAAAAGCAGTTGACAATGTAAAGTTACCAATCCTTGCTGATGCCATTGGCACAAAACCTCCCATTAATCCAAACCCATAATTGGGCATGTTATTAGCTTCATGGGGAGGAGGGGCTGGGGCAGTTTCAGGCCTTTGTCCAGCTGGACGCCTAGGAATATCAATGCCTGGATAAGATTTGGATCGAGGATCCGTTTGTGTTTTGCCTCTACCATAAAGAGGAACCAATTTTTCTTCTTGAATTAGCGCCTTACAAACTGGGCATTCATGAGAATGCGAATGATGGTGTAACCATCTGTACAGGCAAGGCCAACAGAAGAGGTGACCGCAAAGGGTTACAATTGGATCTTGAGCTAATTCAAAACAAATATTGCACTCGAAATCACCAGCATCACTACCATTATTGCTAGAGTAAGATGCAAATTCAGGCGGCATGCTTGCTGATTCACCAAATCCACTTGCCATCTATATCTATATGTGTATATAGAAAAATCCGAATTGCTACTCAGACTGTAAATCAGACAAAGCCAAACATAAACATCAATAATGAAAAGCAATCTTATATACTGGACTCAAAACAAAGCAAAAACCAAAATTAAATACGCAAACTGATCTGCAGAAACAAATTCGTCGATTGAAGTTCACAATCAGGAAACAAATCAAATCACAAACACCCATGCTCCTTCAATTCTACACAAAACAGCAAAATCCGTACAATTTCCCAAACTCACATCCTAAGAACTAAAAATCAGCAAAATCCAATTAACATTTACCGAAGAAACAGACAGAATTCACGAAACCTAAGCCAATAAAACACAGAGATCAAATCAATAAAGATAAATTACCCAAAAAAAATCCCAATTCTCGATTTCAATCTACTATAAATTAGATCAAATAATACACCAAAATTTTCGAAATGAAACAACGATATAAACGTAAAAGAGAGAAAGAGATGACTGACCTGGACTTTTTCCTCAAGAGCTGATGAAGATAAGCTTTAAGGACGAACACCAAGTCTATGAAAGGTAACTAAATATTAGGCACCAAGTAGACAACTTCCCTGGAAGATTCTCGAGGCCAGGTCGCTACCCTGATTTTCCTTCCTACTTCTGTTATTTAACTTATTCTGTTGAACGACGCACCTTAATGTTGCTTCCATATGCCTGTCGATTTAATCGTACGGTTCAGAAAGCCAATCGTATGGTTATGATTTGTGATCAATTACAACAACAGCAAATACAAATATTGTTCGCTTTTTAATAATTTATTACTATACTTGATTAACATGGGCTTATATAAATTTTAAGGTTTCGAATTATATGTAAAAGAAAATGGGCCAGCTATTTATTATGGGCTTCATAGGCCGAAAAAGTTTGCCATAGACCCACGAATCATCAATATCCATCATTACAACCCATTACCAACAGCACCTGCCATTACTAGCTACCACCATCAGCCATAAGAACTACCATGGCTATTATTTTTAAGTATTGTTCTCGTATTTAGTAATAAATTTTTAATATAAATTTTCATAATGCTAAATATTTTTATACTAGACTAGTTTTAATATTACAGTTAAGTAATATAAAAATAATTATTAAAAAAAAAGTAATAAAAAAATAAGTTATTTGAGAAATAATTTTTGGAGAAAATATCAGATTACCTTGTTTAAAACAAAAAAAAAATAAAGAGGAGGACAAAATAATATCATATTGGGCTAATAATTCATACAAATGTGTTGGGCCTGAACCTTAGCGATATTTCCTTTTTCGTGCACGGTGAAAATGCATAATAGGAAGAAATAAATGGGCTTGACAAGATGAGCTTATCCAAAACTTTTATATCTTTGCCCCTTCAAGTGGAAGCCTCTTTTCTCGAATATTTTTCATCGGGAGTTGACTTTCATCAGGTTCCATACTCATCCCTTATAACATAAATAAGACGAGCCCAACTTGAATTTCTATGTTCAAAATTTAGTTCGATAGAATTTAACTTAATTTAAAAATTAATGAATCTGAAAATATTAAATTTGATGTTTGAGTTTAACTCGAAAAATTTATATCGAAAATTTAAGTGAGTATAAAATAAATATTATCTACGTGTATATATATAAAAGTTCAATAAAGTTCAATAGATTTTCGAGCTAAATTTTATTAATTTTAAATTTGATTTCGGCCAAACTCTTTTAAATTTTTTTAAATTAAGCTAAAACAGCTCATAAGTCAAATCAGTTTATTTGATTTTGACGTAGGTGTGCCATATTAAATAATTAACCGGTAATGTCAACTTTTGAAGTAGGAAGCAAGCCTCCACAAAAACCAATGCGTGTTTTGGAACAACACTTCAAAACTTTTTGAAAGAAGTTAATTCTCTTTTTTTTTTTCTTTTTTCTTTTTTTTTTTTTTGGTAATGTTCAACTTTTGAAGTAGGAAGGCAAGCCTGCCACAAAACCAAATTGGCGGTTTTGGAACAACACTTCAAAACTTTTTTGAAAAGAAGTTAATTCTCTTTTTTTTTTTTTTTTTTTTCTTTTTTCTTTTTTTTTTTTTTATTGCCTCCATTGCAATAAGGTCATGTTTAGTTTGCCTTGCAATTGAAAAATAAAAGGTAATTTTTAAAATAACATTTAAATTTTAATTTCATTTGTAAAAGTTTAGTTTTTTACATATATTTTTATATTTGAATAATTTTAATTCATATTAAAAAATGTATGTGTTTTAAGTAACTTTATTCATTTAAATAAAATTTTATTTAAGTATTTAAAAAATAAATTTAAAATGGTTTTTTTATTGGGGTGTTTATTATTTTCATTTCAAATTCTATGGTGAATCAAACATTTTTAATGATTAATAATTAATTTACTGGCAAAATAAGCTAAAAGAATATTATATGCTATGTACAGTGAATATAATCATGTTCGTTAAATGATAAATTAAAAGTAATTTATGGTGAAAAGAACTTAAATTTTGGACATTTCTCACATTAATGTTCGATTTGGGATGGTGGATTTTGTTTTCTTTGACCTTCAATCTCGGGCACCAACCGCCTACACTACTATCATTTATTCAACCTCCACCTAAAAATCACACAAAAGGTGGTGAGATTAATCTTGGAGAAAATCATGTTTTGTTTGTTTTATTTTTTTTTTTCATTTTTTTTTTTACTTTTAGAAAAATTAAAATCGAGTCCCTATAGTTCGAGACATATAACTACTCCATCCATGTATTTTTAAAAATTCTTTAAACCATTGTGTCCTTTCATGCTTATAACATATCTGTTCTAATTTAGCATGAGTCTCATAATTAATCATATGCTTGCCTGTAATAATTACCTTAATTATCACTAAACTGAAAAATAAAAAAGTCTAATCTCAGGCTTGAATTTTTAGCAATTATTATAATCAATAACAGATGTCTTATTTATGTGAGTCATGGGACAGCTACTTCTATTTTGTAGTCCGCAGTGTTATTTCGGCCATAAAAATCTCAAATGAATTAAAAAAAATAATAGGGGTGAAGACATTTTGATCTTCTCTTTAAATTAATAAAATAAAATTATCTTTGTTGGGAAAAAAAAATTAAGGCTGATGGATTCAGAATATGGATACAAGTTTTTTTTTTTTTTTTTTTTTTTTTTTTTTTTTTTTTTTTTTTTTTTTTTTTTTTTTTTTTTTTTTTGTGGATGAGTTTGCATCAATGAGATCGGACTACTGCTAAACTTAGATGATTAATATGCCTAATTTGTAATTAGGCATCATTAATTAATTCAAGATCGTGATATGTCATATCATGTCTATATGTAATTACTGTTAATTATTTAACATTATGATTTAATGTGGCTGAGCTGATCTTTCTTTTTCATAATGTTATTCTTACTTTTTTTTTTTATTTCTCATTTTTCTTTTATAATTGATATTTTTTATTTACTTGAACAGAAGAAGACATAATTAACTTGTGGTGGCTAAACAGCTAACGGTCCATTTCATATAAATTTTTATAATGGTTGCTTTGGCTGCCTAACCCATTAAAAATGTAGGTTTAAAATATTTGCTTCACATCATCACCGACTACTGTATTTATCAAATTAGAACCCTAAAGTCTAAAGCCATATTCACATTAATTATTAAATCCCGCAGGTGGGTTGGCTAGTCATTTTTTAATTTTTTTTTTCTTTTTTTCAACGGCCAATAAAAAAATATAGAATATTAAATGATAAAATTATAAATATTACCCAAAATTGTTAAAAATGATGAAATTTATTGTTTATAAAGTTAAATATTTAATTAAGTTAGGGTGAGCCAAATCAAGAAAACAGCCAAAGCAGGTAATCTTATGTTGGTTGATAAATTAATTTCACATTTTTGGCATGATCCTATTCCTATACTTTAATTTGTCCATTTCAAAGGTACAACTAAGTATAAGATCACTATTTTTTTTTTTTTTTTTAAATTTTAAATTACAAAAGAAAACAATCACAGAAGTGTGTATTAATATTTTTATAATATTTTTTTTTTTTTTTTAAATACAAAAGAAACAATCACAGAAGTGTGTATAATATTTTATATGATAAGATTTGCTATTGTCAGTACCCAATATTATTAGGCTGCAGCCAAATCACGAGACATTGTAATAAATTCCCAAATTTATATATTTCTTCATCCACTTTTATTTATATTTTTCAAAAGTTATTTTGTCTAGTATTATTTGTTACGTTAAAAAAATTATTATTATTATTATTATTAATTTCAATTATTATTATTATTATTATTATAAAACCAAATTAATAATGCATTCACCCTAAAAATTAGAAAAACTAAGTTAAGAAGAATTCTATTAATAAATCAAATTACTTTTATAATATAACCAATTTTGTTCTTTAAAACAAATTCCATCAAAATTAGATTATAAAAAGTGATTAGTAAAAAATCTATATAATACACGTGAATGGTGTCCACGCGTGTAATCAATAGCAATTCAACACGTTTAAATACCAAACAGATTTTTTTTGTCTTCACGTCCGCCGGTCATTTCACGTCCTCCTATTTTACTCCCCTCCGTTTCTCTCTCACCAAATACCTCTCTTTTAAATGAACTTTTTTAAATATATAAATTAAAAAAAAATTAAATAAACACAGCCCTGGATGACTGCACGACCGCCACGACCAGGGCCGTGTTCCTCCTCTGCTAAACCTCTCCTCCGCCACCACCCTCCAATTCTCCTTCTTTTGCAATGGACAGTATTTTTCAAACCCTAACTTATTACCTATCGGAGCACCCATCCATTGTCACTTTCAGGTGGAGTCACATCCAATCATGGGGCTCCACGTGGTCATTCCTCTTTTCCTCCATCGCTTTCTACCTCTTTCTCTGCGCTATCATTCATATTTTCTTAGCAATTCTTCTCCGTCGTGACCGCGCCGTTCCTCTAGGTCCAATTCCGGCTCTCCATAGTCTCTCCATGGTGCTAATCTACGCCACAATATTCGCCGGTATTCTTCTCTCGACAGCGGCGGAGATCCGAGAAACTCGTTGGTTTTGGCGACGCTCGAAGACTCCATTTCAATGGTTGCTCTGTTTCCCTCTAGGAACACGGCCGTCGGGTCGGGTTTTCTTCTGGTCTTATATGTACTACCTCTCGCGATTCGTTCACATGCTCCGCACTTTCTTCACGATTTTACGAATGCGAAGATTAGCCTTTTTTCAGCTGTTCAATAACTCCATATTAACATTTATGTCCTTTTTATGGCTTGAATTTTCGCAATCTTTTCAAGTATTGGCGATTCTGCTAGCGACGCTTGCTTACTGTATTGTGTACGGTTACAGATTTTGGACGGCGATAGGATTGCCGAGAGCTTGCTTTCCGTTTGTGGTGAATTGCCAAATGGTATTGTTAGGGTGCAATCTTGCTTGTCATGTTGGGGTTTTATTGCTTCATTTGATGAAAGGAGGGTGTAATGGAATTGGAGCTTGGGGTTTCAATTCAGTGCTTAATGGAGCTATTTTGTTTGGGTTCTTGAATTTTTATGTGAAAATGAATTTGGGAAACAAGAATAAGCAGCAGCAGCAAGCAAAGGCGGCCATTACAGAGAAAGAGACGGAGAAATTTCAAAGAGATGGATGATTTTTGGTTTTATGTTTATTTTAGTTTTTATTTTGGGTGTAGTGGTTTTGTGGTTAATGTAAATTTGATGCCAGCCTAATAATAGGAGGGCAGCAGGCAGGGGAAACACCCTTCTTTCCCAAATAGGGAAAGCAAACGTGTATAATTATATGACTAAAGCACGGGTTATTAAAATCAGTACATAATCATTTCTACTTGCTAAGCATATAGCCGCAGCATCACAATGGGCTGCACAATTGGTTGCGTTCCCTTTTACTTTTGCATGCTTGAAGTAGGTGTGTTTCCTTATTCTGTTCATTGCTGAAGATAGCAATTCCAGTCTGATCTAGAGTAATGAATTTCCAGGTAGTAAAAGAGAAGAACTTCTGAAATGATAAGAAAACCTTGGATAAAAAAGTTCAACTCAAAAAATCATTTCTGAGGATGAAAATGAAAAACAATGCCAAATATTTAAGGATACACATATTAAATATGCAATAATTAGAAACTTTTTGGGACATGAATGATTGAAAAAAGTATATCCGAAGGAATGATGATGTATGGTATTGATATATTCTTGAGTTGATACTGTTATGAAAGAATATGTTTTGGTCAAAGAGTCAACCGAAGTGGTGACGGACAGCGGAAATTTTACATATGAAAATCCATAATTGCACCGACAGCGACTCAAATATTGGAAAGAGAGCAGTATGTCCATATTCATGATTCCAAGTTCCAATTGTCTAGGCGTATCTTTCTCATTCTTAGCTTGAGCATGTCATGAAATTTCTAGGAAACCCTCTCAGTGACAGTTTCCATGCCAATTTGAAAGTTACAAGTCTACCAAAATCAGCCATTTAATCACATCCATCGTTTTTTAAACGGGATAATGTTATTTTTGGGTGTTTCAATTTCTTAAAAGTTCATATTTTGGTGTCTAAATGAAAATTATTCAAGAATAAAATTATGAAATTAATTAATTATTGATTATTTTTAAATAAAAATAAAATTTTCATTATGTTACTAAAAAAAAAATAAAGAACAGTTTTTTTTAAAAAAAATATATATTGCTTTATTTTTTTCAAAATATTAAATACACTCTATTTTGATTTTTTTAATGATTCCACATTCCACTCATTTTCCAATAATCAAATAAAATAATTGAATTATAATTTCTATTCTACGTTATATTTCATTCCTAATTAATCATTTATTCTATATATACCAAATGCAATTTTATTGTCTCATCAATATTACATCCGTTCCATAATAATTGTCATATTTGAGAAAATAATTTGTTACAAAATACTTATCATATTTGTGGTATTAAGGAATAATAAATTTCTTTTTTTTACATTTGTCCTTTGTATATGACCGATAATTATTTCTTCAATTCAATGGTTTTTTAAAGAATTAGTATTAAATTAAGAGTAATATATTCGATTTACTCAATAATTTATTATAATTTAAATAGAATTAGTATTAAATTTAAGAGTATATATTCAACGATTTACTCAATAATTTATGTATAATTTAAAATAAATTTAATTAATTTTTAAGAATTAGTATTAAATTAAGAGTAATATATTCGATTTACTCAATAATTTATTATAATTTAAATAAATTTAATTATTTTTTAAAAAACATAAAATTTCAAATGTAATGAGTTGTATATAACAGAGATAATATTTATAGTTTCTTAACGGAAGAAGAGAGAGAGAGAGAGAGGTAGTTGGCATGGAAAAGTAGCAACGGATGGCCCGGTAATTCAAAAAGGCAAAAGTAGGTAGAAACAGCCTTAAATCTTTTACTACTTGTAGTCAGATTTAGGTTGTTGTTTGACACCGATGCTTAGAAATGCTAAAAAGAAAAAAAGCAAAATAAAAATCCAATAACTATGCCTAGAAATGGTTTTGGGCCCATTCTGTCCCCATAAACCCATTGACAATTTGACACCTTCAAGACTTTTTGGATCCATTGCACGACAATGATCCATGAGCCCACCCATTTTTTTACTACAAGCCCAAATTAAAGTCCCCAATTTTAGAAAATAGGTCTAACTTTTATGCATTCGACCCATGATTTAAAATTTTATTGTTTCAATTCAATTTAACATTGTACATTTTATGTTGGCTGGTTGTAAATCGCAACTTCATAACCAAAGTCATTTCCCTCCATGAGTCTCATGGGAAGGGATTCTTTAGAAAGTTACGAGGATAAAGTTTAGGGTTTCCGTTTAATTTATATTGACTACTTTTCAATTAAATTTATCGAGATGTAATTGACTTTATATAAGTGGATTCCAACACTCACTCACTTATAAACTTACGTGTATATAGACTTATAAACCTTAAACTTAACTACCAACTTATTAATCTAATTTTTTGAATTACTAGCCATTTATACATTTAATGGCGACATTAACATCTAAAACATTGTCTAACATTAATGTCAATTATATTTATCTTTAGAACATAGTTTATAGTGTTTCATTGCAATTTCCTCTCTTCCATTTAGTTTATAATCTTCATACTATTCTTTTTTACTTCATTTGAGTATATTTCATAAAATTCTTTCTCCATACAATATATATTGAATAACATAAAAGGAAAAGTGTTAGGATTTCTTTTTCTTTTTCTTCCCCTCTCAATAAAGAGAAAGGAACAAATCATAAGAGTGTGGATTTTGCACTATTGAAGGCAATAATTCATTCGTTAAGAAAATGGCATGACTGACTGATATTAAACAAACACTTAAATTAGCTAATCTTGTTGCTAATTATATTTGATCAGAGAATAACTTGCATCCATCAAAGAATCAGTGCATCATGCAATGAAGATGAGAGAGAAATAAATAAATAGTGTACACCAATGTATAGTCTAGTGGTAAGTGTATATATGGTCTGGCAAAAGATCTAGGTTTGAATGTCCCTCCCCAATACTCTAAAAAAAAAAAAAAAAAAAAAAGGTTTTGAATGTCCCTCCCCAATAACTCTAAAAAAAAAAAAAAAAACAAAATCAACACACCAATTTGAAGGATGTACAAAGAAAACTTGAAAGTTCATAGACGGACGTTTCTTTAAATAAATATAACTTTTGTTAAAAGGCACATTCCTTAAATCTTAGCGAAAACATAATTTAACAAAAAAAAAAAAAAAAAAAAAAATCAACACACAATTGAAGGATGTACAAAGAAAACTTGAAAAGTGTATAGACGAGTTTCTTTAAATAAATATAACTTGTAAAAGGCACATTCCTTAATCTTTAGCGAAAACATATTTAACAAGGAGTATCCTTTTTAAACTTACAATATTAACTTATTTAATACTAATATTTAGTACATTTTAACCAACGAGTATTTATTGGAGTTGAAACGATTCAAGTCTTTTAACTAAAAAATTGAGTGTCCAGTCCTTATAGATAGAGAAAATCCTTACTTACAGTGTTACATGTTTAGGAGCTTGATGTGATACAATCATATTAGACCTAATCCAATTAGAACAAAAAGTGAAAAGATTGCTCTCAAATTATATGATTAAGTTATTCTTTTTAAAAATAAAAAATAAAAATTGCTAGATATCAAATCGCTCGAAATAATATTATGAGTTCGGGCCAAAAGCAATTCTGCACAGTAATTGCCAAATTATTGAAAATTTCTATGGTGGGTTGACTCTACTAGAGACTTGTCACTCCCATGTTGTTTTCCTAATCTCTTGGATGGGCCATCATACCCTCTGTTTCTATTACTATGTAATGCAAAGAATCAAAAGAGTCCCAACACAAATTTACCTACCCTTCCATTTCCACACACTAAATGCTAGTAGCGTAGTAGAGGCATCTATCTCGTTTTGAGGCCATAGCTTTCTCAACACAAAAACGTTGAATGTGAGATTATTGAATGAATATATATATACGTTCATGCATTTGTCACTCATGTATATTGAAAGTCTTTCAAGTGTCTCAATTTCCACAGTTAGAGGTCCCGATTCCAATCCCAAATGCTTAAAAGATATTAACTCTGTTTTATAATATTTATTATATTTGAGAAAATAGCTTATTCCAAAATATTTGTCACATTTTTTATTTCAAGAAGTAATAAATTTTTTTTTTCTATATTTATCTTTTGTATATGATCAATAATTATTACTTCAATTTAATGGTTTTTTTAAAAAATTAATATTAAATTAAAAGTAATATATTTAATAATTTATTATAATGTAGATAAATTTAATAGTTTTTTTAGACAACTTGTGAAAAATACCGTAGAAGAGAATTACTAATTAGGACAAAGGAAATGGGCCTACAACCTCTCCTCTCGAGTCCATAGCTACCGACTTTCCTCCATTTGAACCATAGGTGTAATCGGCAGTGGGGCAAGGGGAATCCTCACAGTTAATCCGCAATTGATTTTTATTTGCATTAAAAACAACTTTCAACTACCTGGCAATACAATTATTTCTTTTTAAAATTTTGCTCTAGACATTAAATACCGTCACATATATATTTTTTTATATTCTATCCAACTGTTTTGAAATGACATTTTAATATTTGATTTATTTTAGAAATTTCTCTTTGTACTTGAATTATATAATTACCCAGTAAATTTGTTTAATGTACCCCATTTATTCAATCAAATACGCTTAAAATATAAAATGTATCCAGATCAATTAATTAATTAATTCCAATGCCAATTAACAGATAGAAGATTTATTCAATCATTCAATTACAATCTACGTTTATTCCATTATCAAAAAAATTTTTGTTTTGCTCCCTAAAGATAAATATTTTTTTCAAAGAGCTTAAAGATAAATTTCTATTGATAATTAAATAATTTATATAATTTTGTCGAAATAATTTTTTTATATATATATTTTTGAGAATTCACTTTTATGTTAGAAAATTGGAGTTATATTTATGTATATAGTATATTGCAAATGAGGGTAAAAAATTAACGAAAATACACTCTCCAGATCAGGTTACAGGAAGCCGCAACTAAATTCTAAACAAAATTGCATACTGCTCTTCTATGTTTTCCTAATTTGCATAACTCTTTTCTGATTGATCAAATGAAATAATGTTCGCCGCCGTCGTCGAAGAGGGATAACAAATTCTTCGAAGCTCATTATACCTCTTCAAATCAAAATTATGGTTCTCCATTAGCTTTTTCTGCTTGACATCAAATCTACTTTGGTAAAATCCTTCAAAAGAAGGTTCCTTTGATGTCCTCAGAAAGAAAGCGTAGCCCGCCATGAAATACATGGAAGTGACATAGAAGCAAATCGGTTCCATCACATCCCATGAGAGTTCCCAAAACGTCAATCTCATGAACGCGGCTGTTTGGACAACGAAATAGCCAAGCCCGAGCCATAGCTCACGGCGAACAAGAGTATCAGCTTTCCTGTCAATTGTAGCCTTTTGCTTCTCCATTTCTTCTAGCTCCTTTCTTCCTGGATCGTTGAGGCTTGTTGTTCTTGCTGGTAATGGAATTAGTCCTCCGATCACTTTTAGTACCTGTAATAACAATAACCAAAAAAAACTTTGTTTGGGTAAAGGATAGTTCTATATTTACCGGCTTTTATTATTTAATTTGTTGGCAACAGAGAATAATTAATTCAAAACAGTCAAATATAGACTAAAAATGTTAACAAAAATGGAGTTTGAAAAAGAAATTGTTGAAAACTTTTAAACAATTTAGGAGAAAATAAATTAATGTTCAAAAAAAAAAAAAAATCTGTAAACATCAGTACTCCACGTTCTTGTTTGTTCTCGACTCTTCTAAAATTATTTTTAAAAAGTAGAAACTTGACGTCTTAGTCTTTTCTTCGCCGTTCATAATCCGTAATGAAAACGGAATATAATGTAATCAAACTCAAATGCTTTTTTTTTTTTTTACTGGATTCTGTTTTTTAATCTTTCATCTTTTTTTTCTGGGAATGAGAAAGTTTAATTGTTTAATTATGTTTGTTATTAAAATTAAAATAAAAATTTTAATTAAGTTCTGGTGTGAATAACAGAAAGACGAGGCAGGGCAAGGCTTTATGGGTTTTAGTCCATAGGCCTCGCACACGCCTAAGGTGAAACAAATCTTGTCACCGTAGAAACTGAATGGCTTTTATGTCCTTAGATCTTGCGAAACAACAAAGTTTCAATCTCCTGTTGAAAAAGAAAACACACAAAAAAAATGATCATAAAAGCATATCAGTTTTCGGTAGTCTGGAAATTTAAAATTAAAAAGATTAAAATTGTGATTATCTGGTTAATTGTAATCAGTTCCCAAGGACTGAAATGTAAGCATAGTGCATGCTAATTTTTAATCTGTAAAACAAATTAATGAGCAGAGAGAAATATATTTAATTATCATTTAGAATTGGAATAAAATATTTTAAAAAATAATTTTACCTGCTCCGGTTTGATGAACACGGTATTCCCCAAGACGATTACGGTTCCCGATTCATCGAGGGTTTTTGCAACCCGAATTCCTTGTGCCGTATCCGCACCGCCTTCTCCACAGATCCGAACGAACTCAGAATAAGATATCTTGCTTTCTTCCATCCCTCTCAGCCTCGATTTCACAATTTCCAATTGCGCCGCCTTTAGTAGCTTTCTTGCATCCTCCACCGTTAAGTCTTCCTTCACCGGCTCCCTCTCCACCGGAGATCCATTGAAATCTTTGATCGCCGGCGGTATCAAGCCGTCCAACCTAATCCTATCCTTCGCAATGTCAAACGCTTTAAGTTTCTGGATGAGATTTTCTCCGACTTGTATCGAGCGGATCTCCGGCGAGGTAGGCGGCTGGAACATGGCTCTCTTGTGGAACAGACGCCTGAATATTCCATTATCTCCTGGATCCGGAGCAATGTTGGTTTTGCTAGGGTTTTGAGGGATTCGGTTCTGGACGGCGGGAGAGGAAATACGACAATTTGTTAGAGACTGATTCGATATTTTAGAGATTTTGAAAAGACGCTCAGCTAGTGTTTTCTTGAACGCCATTGTTAAGCAAAGAGAAATCTATTGAAAGAAACAAAATAATACAGAGAGAGAGAGAGAGCTTTTGTTTTCCAAAAAATTGGAAGCTTTGACGTTTAAAATCGAGTGGAAACGGTTGCTGCTTCAGGTCCTTAATATAGGTGTCCCAAGGTAGCGGAAGACGAAGATAATATGGAAATACCACGATATGTTAAAAGAGACATACGACACGATACTTTACTATAATTTATCACTGCCTCACATTTAAGCATATTCTTCCACTCTCATTGAAATATTCTTCATTCCAACATATCGTGCGGTTGCGATAAATTGAAAAAGTAGAGGGTCCCATTCACGGGAGAAAAAATCATGTTGGTTAAACTGTAAAAAAGCCTTAATCACCGTACACGTGGTTGGCCAACTTTTATAGACCAACCGTGTCAGACCGTCAGATGATATGAATCAAAAGACGGGAAGTTAGGTGCTGACGCTGTCTGGTAGTCTGAGGTTAAGAACCGTTAGGTATCCAACACAAATTTACACGTGGAAGTGACAGACCCAATCATTATCCATAAGATGAAAGAATTACAATAGGCTTGGTTACATGAGATAAGCTTTTCTTAAGAGCAAGTAAATAGGGGATTGGGTAATGGGCTTGGCTGGCAGGTGGTGGGTTTACTGGGGAAGGGAAGTTTTGAATGTGAAAGTGATAGGCCTTGCGTTCACGCAAACGTGTCGCCACATATGAGAGATGAGGTCTGGTTCGTTCACGAAAATTCCTCTTAGCAATAGCAAATTGCAGTTACTTGACGGAAAATTAATCTAACGGATTGCACATACGTCGGATCGGATCAAATTTATTAATTTAAAATGCATATAATGAATCAACAGGTTAATAATTATTATTAATCAATTCAACTCATATAAACATGTGAAACACTTAGGTTATTTAAATATACCAGTAGAATTATTTATAATTGCTTAATAAATTAATTAAATGTAAAATTACAAAATCAGTTATAATTTTTTTTTTAAAAAAATTGTAGCAACAGCATCTTCAACAAATTAACATTTTTAAAATCAATTACCAAATATTCTTGTTTTTATTTGATTTTATAACATTCTAATTTTAAATAAAATGTGGCGAAAATATCTTTTTTTTTTTTTCATATAATATGTCGAAAATGTGGCGTAATTTTCTTTCTTAGTATGTGGCCAAGTTCCTTTACCAAGTTCATGGGCTGATCTACTGTATTTGGCCTAGTACATAAACCAAGTTCATTGGTTGCAATTTTATTATTTTTTTTTTTATCTTTTAATTTTTATGAATGAAGGTAAATATCTTCACGTGTGGCAAATCATGAAAAATATGAAATAATGTACTTCTATTCCTAAGTTATTAGAAAAGATAAATTAGTGACAAAAAATTGTTTTAATACAATAACTCCGCTCCATTAATATTTTAAGGCAATTGAAATTGCCAAAATAATATATAGAAATAATGTACTTCTATTCCTTAAGTTATTAGAAAAAGATAAATTAGTGACAAAAAAAAAAATGTTTTAATACAATAACTCCGCCTCCATTACATATTTTTTAAGGCAATTGGAAATTTGCCAAAATTAATATATATAGTATATATATATATATATATATTACTTATATATATATATATTATAGATATATATATTAATATATATACTAAAAGTATTATAAATTACAGAACAGTGACTGCGGCCAACCTTTTTTTTTTTTTTTTCAAATAGTTGTAAGTAAATTGGTTTTTTTTTTTTTTTTCAAATAGTTGTAATTAAATTGGTGAAAAGTTTTATAAAATGATAATAAATATTTAGGTAAAATTACTTCATATTGCAATTCAAAAATTATACTTATATTTAAAAAATCATAATTTGAAATAATAATATTTAGATAAACAAATTCATAATTTATTTTATATTTTATTGGTGTTGCAAGTCAATTAGAACTTATTTGAAATAAACAATTCAAATTCTAATCTCAAAAATATTTTGTAACTCAACTTGAGCTTCTCAAGTAGACAAACCATGTTTGAATTGCTTTTCTATTTTTGACCTAAAACACAATATGATCAAATTCTACCATATTAAAGAGAATTAGATTAAGTATTTTCCAAAATTAATCAAGAAAACTCATCTAAAAATTTGTATTTTTTACTGTTTGAATTTTTTTGGCTATAGTTATTCAAAAATAGTAGCAAATTCGGTTACATGTCATAATATCAAAATATTAAAGTGGCAAAATGAATAATTTTTAGATGCTTTACTTTTTAATTTTTAATATAAACATTAATTTAGTTTATGATGTTTAATAATATTGTTCTTGATATATATCATCTGTCCAAAGATTTGGTTTGCAAATTTTGAAAAAATTATATATGAAATTAAGTGATAGGGTCAAATTAATGCAAACATAATCAAGCTTATCATAAGACGAAAGAAAACCTAATCTTGATGACTTGAAACACATATAAACAATTAATCTTAATATAGACATGTTTTACAATTTTTTATAATATAAAAACACTAATCATGTGCTCCAGAATTCCCGCGTTTCATTTCGTATCTCCATTACAATGTACTAGTTTTCACCAATAAAACATGTGCATTTCGTTTTGCATATCATTTTCTATACATGCCATATATATAGTTATAAACGCGTACGTACTTCTTATTAATTAGCGTGTTGAATTTGTTAGAATACAAAAAATCTTTATATTCTACGGTCCCGCAAAAATTAGCCTAGCTGTTCCTATTTATGCTTGGATTTTATATTGTGTCAGCAAAAATTAGATAAGAGACCTAAGGATTTGACAACAAAACCTCCTCGCAGATGCCAAAATTCAATTAATTTCATTTAGGGTTAACCTAACAATTCTTGTACTGGAAAATCCAACCACCTAGCTATGTATTCCCAATTAAGCTTTTGTTTTTTTATATTAATTAGGTTTTAATTGGAGTTAAAATTAATTTGTAAATTCATAGTTTTGAACATCAGCCATTATATATATACATATACAAATATTTTTCCACTTATTTTTTTATTAATTTAGTGATTGAGCACTTATTGAAATTAAAATTTATATATTGAAAATATTAAAAACGATTTCATTAACTAATTAGTAGATTTCAATTAAGCATCTTGTAGCAGCTTTTAAAATTCACAAAGTTCAACTAGGGATGAAAGATAATATTCCAAAAACAAAAATAAGTGTACTAAGAAGTATATGTGCGTGACGACTAGTTGGAAATTGGAAATTGGGATCGCCAATAGTTTTGATACCCATTAACGTAACTTGCCTTTTTTTTTTAGCAATGCCTCTTCGTAGCACATGCTTATAGGACTGCCTTTTCTTCCCTCTTGGTACTAAAAATTGGGAAGATTGATTGATTTCTTTCAACCCTCAATTGCATTCCAAAAACCCAAACCACCTTCTTTTTTTTTTTTTTTTTTTTTTTGAATTTTTGCATGCCAAAACAAACCACCTTCTTTTTTTTTTTATTTTTTTTTTATGTTTTTTTTTTTTTTTTTTTTTATGAATTTTGATGCCATCCCAATCAATTTAATCTAGTTGCATTGTATTCATGATTGATATAATGTGAAATTTATAAATTATTTGAATATATTATAATATTTATATCGTAACAATTCGATAAATTTCTTATCTTTTATGTATATAATCTCAAATTTTTAAGAGTATATGTGGATCATAGAAAGTCTTGAACAACAATTAATTAATGTAAAGATGAACAGAGAGTCCTTCCAACTCCAAGGAATGGAATGTTCCTAAAAATGCCAAAATTTGCTACCATTCATTGCTTTGCATATTACAAAAATAAAGCATCTTTTAGATGACTAGGGACAAGAAGACAATGGAAGGTTACGTAAAGATATATGCAAATTTACAATAGAGTACAATCAATTTCAAGATTTGAAGAATAACCCAATTGATAGTAGGCAGCACTAGTAATTTTTTTTTTTTTTTTTTTTTTTTAGTCGGATATTCTTCAAAATCAACTTGTTTTTTTTTTTTTTTTTTTTTTTAACGGTGAGTCGGATATTCTCAAATCAACTTGCGTCTATTGCAAAAAAAATTTAAAACTCAGTAAATGGTAGTATTTATACAAAATCACTTTAATAATGGCGACTCTAGATTTGAAAATTCTATTTAGGTAAAATCTCACAGCAATGGAGATTTTAGATATAAGAGTTAGAGTTGTATTTAGATATTTTAGTTTCTAGACCTTTTGTAAATAAAAATTTATTTGAAAATGCAGCTCAATTTGACCGAACAAAATAGAAATATTTGTAAATTGCATACATAAGTAGAAATTAAAAATCAAACGAGGCTGAGTCTTAATCGAATTTGAAAAGTTTGAAATCCATAGCTGCCCATAAAAATAAAGTCCAATGGCAGGTAAAAATCATAAATTTGACAAAGAAAAGAAAGGTATTAGTTGAAGGAACCTATCCTAGAAAAAGGCAATAATTGTAGGACTCTGCCTTATCTACGGGAAAAATGCATGTAGTTGCAATCTAGTCCCACTACAACTCTATCTCTTTGTTATCAAGTCCTGCTAGATTATGTATGTAATGGTTCAATAGCATATATTCTGAGCACAATTATTGCCTAACCAAGATATTGTTTGTGGGGTTCTTGCTTTTCAAATTCTCCAATGTTTTTTCAAAAGAAATTCCAGATATAATAATGACGTGGATATTAGTCAATCATCATCCTCTAATCTTATTGGCAATCCATGATTGATTATCATGACTTGGCCAATTCAAGTAATATTAGTCTACTATAAACTAGAAGCTTAATAAAAAATTAATTTTTTAAACTTATAGTATGTAATTTAAATTTTTCAATAGACTGATTAAGTAATTAAAATTTATAATTACTCCAAAAAGAACAAAATTGCTATAAATAATAAATTGAAGGCTTACGCGTACGTAATTACTGTCTCCCTCTAATTTCGTGGGCATGATTTACGTACATAATATTGAATCTTGTCCGTTGAATTTTTTAAAAAGAGAAATTAACCACACGTCCATCGAAATGAATTTGACTATTTTGGTCGAGAGTTTTGCGTAAGCACCGAATTCTTAATGGACGGTGCGCCACTCTAGGAAAATATTAAATAATAATAAATAAATAAATAACAAAAGATAGAGACAGGTGTGGTGTGCTGCCCCTTTCATTTCATTTTCATTTCCACCAATTTGGTATACAACGCATGCAAGTGATTATATCTAGATCATGACTACTTTTTACCGCGTTCATTTACTTAAATTCAGTCTATAAATTTATTCATTAACTAAATTAATTTTTAAACTATTAAGTAAGTAAGGAATACTTGGCAGTAAATATTAAGTAATTGATCACTGAATTCTTTAGCTGCCACATACATATGCTGAGTGACACAAACTTTTATATTTTTTTAATTAAAAACAAATACAAAAAGGAGAAGAATAGAGTAAAAAAGGTTTAAAAGCATGTTAATATAAAAGAATTATCACATAATTGGATAGAAACAGAACATGGCTGACTTAAGAAGGTGCATGGCACAATTTAAAAAGAACACAAGAAATGACAAAATGGTATATTATAATTTACAAAGGTGCTGCCCACACAGTGGTCAATACCAATAATTAAATTATAAGGTGCATTATGGCTAATGTGCAATTACAAATAAAATTAGGGTTTGTAATAGTTCTAATGTCGTCTAGATTAAGGAGTATTAATTTATTTTTTCTAATGTCGTGCACAAATTTCAAACAAGAAAAAAAAATATAATTGAATAAACATTGTTATAATGCTGGCTATAAAGCTTGGTTGGCCATAGCTGGGTTGTTAGGAGAGGAGACTTACAAAATATATAGACATATAATAAAAAGAACATTGTCAACTAAGTGCAGAACGGACTCAGCAAATTATTCTTTTGAGCTGGCTTAAATTGCGTATCTTGTGGAGGTTGGATTGGAACTTGGAGGAGTCTCTTGGGTGCAACCATTTTGATTAGCGTTTTAATTTTAATAACCATGCCTAATACACAGCTAATATAATTTATTATCGTTTAATTAGTTCATAAATAAATCTAATTTGATACAACAATGGATAAGATCTCTTATTTTCCTTCCTGGAACCATGTTTATGGATATTAATAATTCTTGTATAAAAAACATTAATGATTCTTGTTTTTATTGTCTATTGATTAATCAGGTGTGATTTGATTGACCATATATATAATATTATTTGTCTATTTGATTACATCAGGTTGATGAATGACCATATAGTATAATAGTATATTAATTAAAATATATAGTTATATATATATATGGATGGAAAGGTTATTTATTCGACTAATTGGCCAAATTTATCTATCATGTAGAGATAAGAAAATTCAAATTGTGCTTATGATTTTTGTTCTATCAAGAATTTCTCATTCAACAAAAGATTTTTTTTTTTTTTTTTTTGTGAACAAAATTGACATCAAGATTCATTTGAATATTTTTTTTTTTTTTTTTTTTTTGTTAACAAATTGACATCAAGATTCATTGAATTATTACCTCAATGATAAACTATGTAATGGATTGGAGAATACAAATATTAAGAGATAGATTAGGCTTAATATCAGCTAAATGTTGTTTAAGAATTAAGCTAATCTTTCTTTAATAGGTTCCATCACGATATGGATTGTAAATGTTTATTTTATTTTTTGAGATGGGGTGAGAAAATTTTTCAAAACTAGGGTATAATGCAATGGCATATTCTATCCAGTTTGTTCTTGATCCAAGTTCTGTGGAAATTGAATGTAGATGCCAATGAAAACCCATCACATGGCAGGCAGTCAGGCAGGCCAAGGGGGGTTGCGCCAAACACAAATAACAAAAAAAAGATGATTATCAGAATTTTTATTTACCACATAGAACAGTAAGGAATTGCTAATTAGGCAAGACCAATCAAGTATTGATCTTGTCCTTGAATCCCAATTCTGCTTCTTAAGCAAGAAACACTATAAATTTATAAATAATTCAACAAGATAAAAACTATCCCTCAAGATATATTGTGCCCACAACAAAAGACATAGATCCACCTTCTTGGCTTCTGCCCCAAAACTTGTCCTTAGTCTTGGATTGCCATGCAAATGCAATAAATGTATACCATTAGCATGGATATATATATATCCACATAAATACCTGAATAAATCATCTGCAGGACAATCCCTAGCTAGGAAAACTGTGCCAAAATGGAAAAAACAGATTCCATCAACAATTTACATAATTCATTTTAAAAATCATAATGTATCTTCACAAATTTAAGATTCAGCATCATAGAGGTGCACCAAACTGATTCTAAGTATGCTCATTGTTGTAGATGATGATTCCTAGGGGGATATACTTTGGTTCTGAACTCAAAATGTGCAGAGCCTAAGGAATGTTGGAGCAGAAAGATATTGCATGATTGTGTTTATCACAGAACTGAAATTTATCAAGTGGTAGAATAGGGTGGGATCTTGACTTAAACTCCACAATAATGTCGTGTCAAAAATGAACTTGGAGAAAACCATAACATGTTCTGTCAGTCAAAATGCCCTACGGTTGACAAAGACAATATTCATCGTGGGTTTCCAGAGTGAGCATCTCCAAAGTCGAAATCCACATTAATGCAGGTAATCCTTGGCAATTCTCTGTGCGCATTCAAACTCTCTCAACTTACCAAAGAATCCTCATATGTTAATGCACCCATCTTTAAATTGACATAATCTTTCTTGATACTTTCATCATCAAGGAATGCCTGTTCTCCAAAAACAGATAGTCAAGATACCAAACCCCTAGCAAAAAGAAGGTCACAGATCTTTTCCTCCATAGGGATGCTATCCCAGTAGTAACCATTGGCCGTCAGGCTCTTCTTTTCCTTTCTATAAGTATCTATTTCACAAATTCTACCACTTCTTTCAAGACCAGCTAATAAAATGTCGTATGTACCTAGAGAAGGATTAATTCCTTTCTTTTGCATGGTTTTGTAGATTTTCAGTGCTTTATCTGCACTACCAGCAGAGAAGTACACACTAATCATAGCGGTAAAAGTAGCAGTGCACTTCTGTTCAACAGGCAATAAATTAAAAATCTTTGCAGCAAATGTAGGTCTTCTAGCAGAACCAAGCCTGTAAATTAAGAGAGCGCTTAGATACAATCCAAGAGAATGCCCAGCCCTAATCATTTCCTTGACAACCTCCACAACCCTCGGAAATGTGTTTGATCTTATTAAAATGCCAATCAAGGAAAGATATACTGTTCTATCTAGGTCTATGCCCATCCTCGTGCTGTATTCGAAGGCCAATAAAGCACTATCAGGTCTACATTGAGTAGAGTTTACCTCAATAATGGTCGAGACAACCCAAGAATCCAAAAGTATATTCTTGTCCATTATCCCAGCAATTAAATGGTCAACTGCCACAAGATTTTGTTTTTTCAAGAGAATCAGTAGAAGTCCTTGTTCTAAAGGATCTTCAGCAGCACTTGCAAGAAACTCAGGAGCATCACAATTCTTGATAGATTCAGTAGAACAATGAGGATTAACTTGTCTGAGGAGAGCATCACTCCCACCAGCAATTCTTAGAGTTCTGAGTGCCTCCAAAAAGATAGGGTAACGAAGAGCAAGACAATTACTTTTCATATACTGAAGGATTTGGGTCATTGTGTTTGTTTCCCCCGCTTTGCAACATTTCTCAACCAAAATATTGCATAAAGCTTTATCAGGTTGTACCCCTGCTTCTTGCATTTTCCTGAAAATCTCAAGGGCTTCTTGATACTTACCTAAAATCGATCATAGAAAGAGCAATATTTTGTTTAGACAAAAAAAAAAAAAAATGCATCATAGGAAGAGCAACTATTTTGTTTAGGACACAAAAAACAAATAAAAAATGCAACTACTCCCCAACAACAGACAATTTCCATACAGAAAAAAAAAAAAAAAATGCAATACTCCAACAACAGACAATTTCATACAGGAAAGAAATAAACATAGCTGTTGGATGCAGCAGACATGAGATATGCAGTGACAACTGACAAAATAGAAAAAAATTTCGGTCAATTTCTTGGCAGCGAGTCTTAGAAACTCACTTGTACCAAAACCAAATATGAGATACTGAATTTCACGAACCATGAGCAATTATAAGAAACTTTTCCTTTTAAAAAAAATTATTTCTCGAGAACTATTAACTCTAATTCTAAATTACACAACAAGCAATTAGAAAACACTATTTTATGTCCATCACTTCCTTTTTCTAAGAAAAATATGGTTATCTCGCTCACATGGGCAAAAGAACAAACATTTAGAGTGCAAAAACGCAACTCACCAGCTACAATAAGATATTCCATTAGGACAGTATAGGTATAGCAATTCGGAGAAATCCCAGATTCAAGCATCTCCGTATAAACATCAGTTGCCTCTTTCACTCTGTTACTATCAAACAAAACCTTCATAAAAGCCGTATACGAAACAACAGAAGGGAAACACCCATTCTCCTTCATTTCTTCCCAAATCTTTATCGCCCCATCAATATCTCCAGAACTCGAAACCCGGTGCATAAGCGAAGTGTAAGTAGCCGCATCGATCTTTATTCCCTTCTCTTGCATTTGCTTAAACACGTAATTCATCGACGCAATCCTACCAGCTTCACCAAAAATATCGAGCATTGTTGTATAAGTAAACTGATCATGCTTGAAACCTTTTAGTCCAGAAGCCCAGTTGAAAAAAAGCCACGCCTTTTCCATCGGCGGATGGGTTTTTAGTACTTGATTGACTGTAAAAGAGTCCCATTTTATACCTAATTTTGATAAGTGCTCTTTTGCAGTGTCCCAAGATGAATATTTCAAGATTTTATAAATGTTTGAAATTGTATTTCTCATGTAAATATTTGGGTCCTCTATATTTTGAGCTTTTTCTGGAGTTTTGGTGAACTGTTTAATGGATTTTCTGGGTGTGGATTGGTGGAAGGAATGAAAGCATTTTCCGGAAATGCTGAAATAGCGAAAAGGCCAACCGTCATAGCTTGATGAAGAAATCAAAGATTTTATTAGAAATCTGTTGATGCCATGGAAATGCAGCATGTATTTGATGATCAGAACTCGCCTGTCTAGAACTACCATAATCGGAGCAATAGGTAGAGAGCGCGCGGATTTAACAGAGTAGTCGTGACCATATATGGACGATGTTAGATGTCGACAGGCTCTAAAAACAAGGTGTGGTTTGCTTAATTAAGATGACATGTGCGCCTATTTTGTAGTTTTATCCGGCTGTGAACAAAACGACGATCGTGCGAAAATCTATCGTTGGCAGGAAAAGTCGCCATTTGATTTCAAAACAAGTTTCTCTTTTAATAGCTCAATTCGAGAAGGTAGTAGTTGTAGATGATAGGCACGTTCACCTAGTTGAGCGGGATAGATTAAGGCTTAAACGAATACATCAATACACTCTACTCACTGAGGATAAGTGCTTCCTGTCAACGTTTGAACCAGCCAAACTTTGTGCTTGGTTATTTTATCTCATCAGTAGAAAATTGAAAGCTTTCATTCTAATGCCTATGGGTTTAAATTCTGCAGGTAGAAGCAGGGGAGGGTTTGTAAGAAAAGAAAGAAGGAAATCTATCAAAATGAAAAACTTATCAATGAATCTAAAATCATTTGGCACTAAAATCACATCAGTTGCAATTACCCCTGGACTTGTAATTCAGGTGCAATTTACCCAAAAAGCCTAAATTTAAGCAAGAATTTGGATAAATTGAGCGAGAATTTGAACAAATTGAGAGTGAATTACAAGACTGGAGGATAAATTGAACCAAAGGTCAATTTTGTAGTTGTTCGAACAAATTAAGGAAGCAAATTCGAACCAAGTTATCTTCAAAATCTATCATTTGAACCATGCCTGAAATAAAGGTCCCATAATCAGCAATCAATCAGCCTAGGTTAAATCTACAAAGGTCCCGTAATCAGCAATCAATCAACCTAGGTTAAATCTACAGCACACAGGCTTCCCAAGTAAGAAAAGTTGTCAGAAAATCCACACAATACATCTAAGGATATTCAATTTCTTGTCCTTCTCATATCCTGGCAAAACTTGTTGAACTAATATAAAACACACACTTCAAATACAGATTCATTCAGATTGAGTTTAAACGATCTTCCATAACAGAATGTATTATAATGTAATCGAATTCATTTCTAACGTAAACATTACAGTAATGTGATGATGGATGTAATCACTACTACTCCATTGGAACAATTAGCTTCAATCTGCTTGATAAGTCATCAACTGAAAATCATTTACTTACATTTCTTTCTAAGATAAGTTATATTTTATAAAGAAATCACAGTCAGGAGTTTCAGACAACTAAATATTTCAATAGATTACCCAGAATCTAACTCATGCCAGACAAAATATTAGGAAATCATTTCTGAATAAAAGAAAATAGGCCTGCTCAACAATATAATTTTCTTCGAATAGGTTGAATTCAAGTCGAGCAACCAAAATATTAGGACCCTCTCTACCTACAGCATCAATCATAGTCACACATGATAGCCAAGTTGGCAAGTTAATAGTACATAGCCAAGTTGGCAAGTTAATAGTACATAGGGCTTCTTCAGCTGTCAGGATACCTGATTATTCTCTGCAAAACTACTGTCCTTGCCTGTGTAATGTCTCGACTACACTTATTAGCATGTTCCCCTAAATCCTCAATGGTCTGCATGAAGACCTCCAACTTCTTCTTGATTTCATCTATCACAAGCTTCAAAGCATCTTCCTCTATTAAAGCAATATTCACATTTTGCAAGAGCGACTCAATTTCCAGTTCCAATTTGTTAACAAGCACCCGTATATTATCCATATCTTTGATTGCGATGAAGGTTCCAACCTGCATTGTGCTTACCAACTCCTTCTGTCTCTTCAACGCTTTCATATAACTATTCCAAAGCGAATTACACCATTTTCCCACTGAGCCTATTGGAACAGCCAATGCACCTGCCAAAGCTGTTACAACAGGCGGTGCAGCAATGGCAGCTGCCACAACTGAGAAAACTAACACAGAGACAAATGCAGTAACAAACAACACATTAGACACCCTTCTCCATGTCTTCATCGATTTCAATTTCTTATCAAGCCTCCTCTTTCGAAGTTGCAGTTTCTGCAACATGGATACCTGCTGCCTGTAAACCGCCTGGAATAATATATAGAACTCCTCAGTAAAAGGATCACCAACTGTCTTGAATTTACGTAATTCCTCCAATGTCTTTGCATACTTCTTCTCTATAACTCCATCTTGCAGTGCTGATTCTCCTTCAAATTGCCTAAGAGCAACTTGTATGATCAATTGGCTATTCCGAGCTCGCTTAAGGCAATTTTCAAGGGCAGTACAAAAATCTAAAGTTTTAGCACTATTGTCAAAGTACTCTTCAACCAAAGCAAACAAATCATTGTTTTTCCATATATCTTCCTTGCATTCCAGTATAACTTTGACTACTTCTTGATTCATTTCAAGCAGGCAATTGGTGACTTCCCTGAGTGAGTCAAATGATAGTGATCTAACCTCCACACCAGTAGCAAGGGAACTTATTACTTGGTTTGTCCTTTCACGGACGGCGTTATCAAAAGATTGCAGGTCTGGATCAAGTTTACAAGCCTTCTCATATGAGTTCAACCCCGCTGTGTACTGCGAATCACTGTTAATTTGGAATGGCGGTGGCGGTGGCGGTGGCGGTGGCGGTGGTTCAACACCCTTTTGCTTGCTAGATTGTCCTCCCATCATATCCCGAACAATGAAAAACGACCAAAATATAATCTTTTTTACCTACAGTGTTACTATCGAGAAAGAACTCGTATTTCTAGATTGGAGTATAATATTTAGCCGAATTGCTGAAATGACAAAGCTGAGACCTTTTTCACTTCAAATGCCAGTGAAATACAAAAACCCCATAATTAAGTAGAATAAAACTAAATCCAATTAAGGGATTCTAAAAAATTGAGTTAAAATTAGAATAAGGAATGTAAAACGCCCAAAGTAATAAACCTTTATCTTTATAACCCAGAAGGAATCGTTCACTAATTTCAAAAATCAGATGAAAACCCAAAAAACTCAAAAGCAAACTTATTTAGCTATAAATTAGCTTACACTGCAAAACCTTGTATACGATGAACTTGAACCACCTCCAACTCCGCTCAAATGTAAGTTAAACTTCAACGATCAAGCAGAAAGACAAAGATCTCACGAACCCAAGAACAATTTTTTACAGATTCTACTTAGATAAAGGATAATGAACAAAGAGACAAGAACTTTAAGAAAGCGATAGGTTTTATAAGCAATGGAGAAGAGCTAGGTTGGAGGGGGTTTAGAAGGAAACTTGCAAGAAGAGGAAAGCTAAGGAAAAGAGGAAAATGGAGAGAAAATGAGGTCGAGTGTAGAAAAAAAATTTAAAAAAAATCTAAGAAAGAAAAGGCCTTCTAGTAATATTAGGGATTGGAATATTCAACGACGCGTTAGTTGATTTAACTACTGAAGTCTTCGATGATGCAGACAAAAGATGGATATGGCGGATGCTTAGAAAGAACGATCCAGGCAGTTGCTTCTTGTAGTGGCTAATGCCTACTCTACCCTTGCAATGCTGTAATGCACTGTACTCGTATACAAACACAGAGTACAGACGTCCAGATGCTAGTGATAGGTAATGGTGACGTTTTAATTTTTGTTAGTGATATAATATATGGATTAAGAAGAAAGAAATTGGGTTTCAAATAAGACTATAAAGAAATTACATTATTAATTTGGAAAAACTAAAAGGAAATTTCTTACAAACTAAACAATGGGCTAGCTTTTTCCAGTTTCTCTCATTTGGACTTTTTTGACATTTCCAATTCTACTTTATTTAATCCAAAATTAATGAGGGAGAATTGTTGGCGAACAAATCACTAAGTCGTTGTAGTATAGTGGTGAGTATTCCCGCCTGTCACGCGGGCGACCCGGGTTCGATCCCCGGCAACGGCGACGCTTTAAATAATTTTTGCTTACAACATATTTTCCGATTATGGCTGCCGATTCAGAAAACGGAATTATTTACTCAACAAAACGACAGCTTCCTCTTTTTGATGCCTACCGGTAGGTTGGACCAAGATTTACTAAAGGCTAAAGAATCCCAACATTAATGATTACAAACTGAAATTTATAGCTCCAATCCACAAATGTGTGGATAGACAAATTCAATAAATACAGACAAATGAAATTGTACGAGTTATACAAATTTTCAGTTTCATAGCACTAGATTTCAGATGATCAATGACGTGATGAATACTTGTCACTGATTTAGATATGCCAAAACCCAAATGCTGCAACCAGTAACACAATTAAACCAAACCTCAACAAAGTATCTTTGCTGAAAATCACTTAAACAAGATTAGCAAATATAGATGCTTATAAAGCGAGTGAAATCATTTCAGTACTAAAGAAAAATGTTTATTCAGCAACATGAAAGCACAGATCATCATAACAAAATTCTTCCAATCCATTCCCACACCAAGAAAAAACACAGGGTGAATGATTGATGGTAATGTTAGAAATAATAAACAGACAGATGAGTGGCCTTATGAATTGTGATCCCAGCCATTCAGTCAGCAAATTAGAACTTCAAGTCTTGCTCTAGTGCACGAAGTTCTGGGATCAAATCACCGATAAGGAAAGTTGCTATTAAGAAGGGAGGAAAGGTCTACCCCTTTTAAGAAATAATCCAGGCCCAATCGGTCCAATGAACCAAAAAAGAAGAGGGAGATGTGTGATATCATCAGCAGAAACACTTTCTGCATTATTCTTCCTTAATTCCTGCCAAAACTTGGCACCAGGGCATTTCCATGAAGTATGAGAGAGTTGCATCATTGTTCTGTAAGAAAAATAAGAGTTTCACCTTGGACTGTCAAACACAGTAATCCGATGTGATTACATTAATATTGTGCATGTAAAATTCATCTTTATTCTTCTAGCGACAAAGTATTTAAGAGGAAAACAATAATAAAAAACTGATGCTTTGTCTGTCCAGTAGTTTCAAGAATCTACAATAGAAGCTTGTTCATTCTTGAATTCCACTAGTTCCATAAAATAGTAGCTCGATCAGACAAATTTGATAGGCTGTAGCATACACTAGTTTTTCTTCAACATTGCAGAATCAAAAAGTGCAAGCTGAAAGCACAAATGAATAACAAATGTAAAAATTCATGATATGATAAAAAGCCACTATCAAGAAGCAAGTGGAGAGAGGATTTCTTTCTAAGATCATGTGATGGAGATACAGCAGATATATATCTCCTCTGGGCTGAATTCTTCATATCAAATTGAATTCTTTATATCTTATCAGAAATATAAAAGCTTGAGTGATTACAAAGTAAAACTAATTGAAGTTAAATAATACAACAGCACTCGTATGGAACAATGGTAAAATACTCCAAAGGACAGATATATAAAGCTTGTCTACAAATTGCTGTCAAATTTTATTGCTAGATTTTGATACAGTGCTAAGGTTCATTAATAGTTGGAATTTATCCAAATTTTCATCCAAAAAATACAAATAAAGCAATTTATAATACAACAATACATTAGTTTTGCCTGTAAGCGATGTAATTAGCCAAAGCAATTAATGGAGCTGCCTTCTCATGATCAAATCCAGCCAACTGCTCCTGAGCTTCCTTATTCAACTTCTGTGCAAACTCCCTTGACTTCTCAATCCCCAATAGCTTAGGATACGTAACCTTATCCGCCACTAAATCCTTGCCAGCAGTTTTCCCCAATTCTTGGGATGATTTTGTCACATCAAGAATATCATCCACCACCTGAAACAACAATCCAATGTCCCTTGCATATTTCCTTAGTTTTTCCACTTCCTCATCCGTTCCTCCACCTAATATGGCCCCTAACACCACCGCTCCTTCAAGCAACTTAGCTGTCTTATGGACATGAATAAATTCAAGCTTTTCTAAATCTACTTCAGATAGACCTTCAGAACATATATCAACAACTTGTCCAGCAACTAATCCTTCTGCCCCAATCGCCTTAGCCAATTCCCCAATCGCCCGAACAACTCTAGCAGGAGGAACATTTAAAGTAGAAACAGCAATATGTTCAAAAGCAAATGCTAGAAGTGCATCACCTGCAAGAACCGCGACATTCTCTCCAAATACAATATGATTAGTCGGCTTACCACGGCGAAGATCGTCGTTATCCATGCAAGGGAGATCATCATGTATAAGCGACATGGTATGTATCATTTCAACTGCACAAGCAGCAGGCATGGCCATGGATTCATTTCCACCCACAAGCTCACATGCAGCAAGACAGAGAGCAGGCCGGACTCGCTTGCCGCCGGCCAATAGAGAATAGCGCATAGATTCGTGAATTTTAGCAGGTTCACGAACTGAAACGGCAGCCTCTAAAGCTTGATTAATAGAAGCAGCCTTTTGACGCATGTAGGATTTGAAATCAAAAGGAGGCGTAGAGCCGTTATTCTGTTCATCCTGAAGAGTTTCCTCTTCCCTAGTTATGATTGCAGAAATAGAAGAACTGGGTCGTTTTGAATTTTCATAAAAAAGAGGAATTGATAAGCGTTTTAGAGGATTGAATGGTAGAGAAAAGGATTTAGAATTGGATCTGGATCTGGTTGCTTGGTTTAAAACACAGCAGGAGTGAAACCATGAACCTAAATTCACCGAAGTCATTTTTGTTGTTGTTGTTCTCTTATTCTGAGTTTCAGAAGAGAAGACGAAATGTATATAAGTAGACTAGAGTTTGAAACGGAGTTTAGGCTTCAGTCATGGCTGAAATGGAGATGGAGGGGCTAGCAAGAAGAGGAAAGGAGAGAGAGGGGAGATAGGATTTTGGATTGAAAAGCTTCTCTGTGGCCTGGGCAGCGTCCACTAACAGGCAATGGCAATTGGCATGGGATGGCATGGCATGTGATTATGATGTAATACTTATATTTAATTTTTTAAAATTATTATTATATGTATCATCGTGTGAGTGCACGAAGATTTGTTTTTAGCAACTATTGCCGAATTCAATTGGTTATTTTGATTTTAAAATTTCTCATTTGTTTGGTGTTTGGACAAGTTCAGGGCCTTCTCCAATAGGTGCGTATAATGTGCACAATTTGGATTTTGGAATTTCACTGACTTTCGTCTTTATTTTCTTTAAAAAATTTCTAAATTTTGTAATAAAAAAATATTTTTCGTTGAGGATTAGTTTTAGATTTTAATTTTAATTATTTTAAATGAAAATAATAAAATGTCTTAATGTAAAACAGTGATTTAATTTCAAACAGTTAAATATATACATTAATTAATTAAATTTCTATTCAACGAAAAATTGAATACTTCCATAAAAAAAAAAAAAAAAAGATAATATACATTAATTAAATTAAATTTTCTATTCAACGAAAAAAAAAAAAAAAAAAAAAGAGAAAAATTGAATAGAAATAATTTTGGTGTAATTAACTTAACTTTTAAAACAAGAACTCTCATATTATCTATCTAACAAGTTTTTAATTAATATAATTAAATTGTTTAATATATATAATTTTATAAATTAAAATATTCAATAAAAAAATTTGACTAATCCTAAATGACCCAGTAAGATAACTAGCAGTACTAGGCTACTAGCCAACTACTGGCCAGTGAAGCCTTAGCCTGATGGTTAAGGTAGAAGTATGCAGTCACAGCTTCAAATTCAATTCCTACCCCTATTGGTCTTTGTATCTAATCCTCGTTGAGATTATTTAAATTAATATGTCTGTTTCACTTTAATAATAATAATATTTGAACGTTTTAAAAAAAATTAAAAATAATTGATTATATTAATTTTCTAAAAACAAGTCTTGTACTACTACTATACTAGTAATACTTTAAGCCGGACAAACTATCCAATAAAATGACGTTTGCCAATAAACAGATTCAAATTCAATGCAAACGGAAGTAACAGGCTGCCGACGGCTGTTTAAGGGTTGGTATATTTTAATCTTATCGTCCCCTGCTTTCCAAAATTACTCTCTCAGAGTACAACGCATGTCCAGGAAAAAGAAGAATTAAAAGTTAAAAACGCGATTAAAGATAAGTCCTTAATCAATATGTGAAACGACACAATGTGATGTGATGTGACAAATAAGACGTAAAAAATGCCATCGGAGACAAGACATAATGATATAAAGGAGACAAATAAGACTGAAACAAAGAATTTGTCCAGCTAGGATCCCCCCTCCTTAATTAGAGGCTCTTTTGTTAATCAATCTTCATTTCAGGAGGGGGAAAGACAAGACATCTAGAAGGAAAAAAATTATAATAATAATCATTACCCGTCCATCCGATTGCACACTTCGACTTTTCCAATGATTTTAAAACACCTAATCTTATCAAAGTATATTTATTATGAATTAAACCACTTGACTCGTAAATTCAATTAGACTAATCAAACTGTGGTCTGGCAATCCTAATATGAACCAGCAACAACTTTCTATAGGTAGAAAGACCCATTTGAAATCGATGCTGGACACTTCAGTACAATTATATCATATCCTAATTCCCTTCTAAAGTGAACTTGAGGTGAAACTTTTGTGAGAAAACCCCCAGATATTTCTCCACAAGGCTTAAGAAAAACATTAAACATGTGAATAAAATTCAATCCTCTATGATAGGACCTCACTTGTTGTAAAGGTAGACAAAACTGAAGATAAAGAAGCCGGCCATCTGCAATAACAGGAGAAAATGCTTAGCCAATGCACATACTAACCCACCTACATCTACAAACATCAGCAGTAATTTGATTTTCACAAGAGAATGAGAAAGTACCGTGGCAAAAGAAGCACCATAATAGGGATAGGCAGTTGTTATAAATCTCTCATATTCGTTGTGTCTGAAGGGCCGAACTGGAATCTGCATTCATAATTTCCATTACATCAATCAAACAATTCCTCATAAAGTGTTGCACATAATATCAAGTAGAATTCTATGTTGCATGCATACTAACAGCCTACGAGATTAATCAAATAATTTTCATTAAGCAATACACAAAAAGTTGTTGGCAGTTCATGGATGAGAGGAACAGATTCTTCCTCCAGAGAAGGAATAAGGTACTCAGGAATAAGAGCCGAGCAATGCAACTTATTTCTCCACTCAAAACCCACATCATCTCTAACCACTTGAGATAGGCCCGGATTGATAGGGGCAAATAAAGAAGCCAATTGGAGGAAAGAAGGGGAGCAGATTGTTAGGGAGAAAATAAGGAAAGAGGATTATAAATCACACCAATTAAGGAGGAGATAAGGCTGAGTACGTCATCTACCCAGCTATAAAGGAAAGGTTGCAGCTAAGGATTAGGTAGGCAAAATATTCACAAACTTATTGTAAGTTGTAACTTTATAAGGGCAGAAACTAGGTTGCTTTGAGGGAGTCGTCCTGAGGGTAAAGCGAGGGGTTATTCCTGTCATTTGAATTTCGCCAGTTGGTATTCTTTCCCACATTTCTATTGAGCTATTTCCATTGTTATTCTATTGATTGTTAGTGTAAGTGAAGCTATGGCTTTTCTTCTATCACAGATAGCTGCGAAACCTTTTTTTCCATGCCTGCAACTGCAATAGCACTCATTGTATGGGTTATTCCCAATTATTCCCTCTAGATTAACACACAGCAAATATCAAACAAAGCTACTGAACAATTACATATCAGGTTGGCACAGGTTAATATTTCTTCAGTCAAATATTCGGCTAGAATATTCGCTTACTTGACTCTGTAGCTATATAATCTGCTTCCCCTTTCCTTAGCAGTTCAAAATATGTCCAGTTTGGTCATTATGATATTACTGATTTACAAACAGTAATAGTTATACTAACTGATCCAAAAATATTGATCAGGCAAGTTGCTAAGATGATAAGGCAGAGAATACATTGTTACATTAAAAGAAGCTTACCTGTTTGGAAAGAGACAAGCTTGTATATCCAAGCCTCTGATACTCAACCTTGAATTGGAAAACCCCATAAACATCAGGCACCTTGAATGATGTATGATACAGACCCTGAAACAGGTATAAAACAATAAAAGATGTTGGTTGAAGCAGGTCACAAGGTAAAACAAATAATGGGGACCAAGGGAAAGAGTACCTTCTGATCTGTTGAGAGGGTTTTTAAAACATAAGGGCTCATCATGTAGAACTGAACCTGAACATCATTGGCAACATATGGTTCCCAGCTCTTCCCAGACCATTCGTATACCTCAACATAAAATTCCTGCAATCAAATTAAATTTAAGGACAGCAATCATTACTTTCTTCCGATATAACTCCAGAGTACCTAAATTCAAACAGAACAAAATGAGTGGAGGTGTTACCAGATCATCTTTGATCCTATATATTGCAGGTTCATCAGTTTCTCCAACTTTGTGGTGTCCAAGATTAACAGCCTGGAGATCCAAAAACAAGATTCAATAGTTCATATTGTTATTGTTGCATACAATGATAAAGCAACACAATTGATCACGTCAAAATTCAATATAGCAATTGAATCAATAATCTAAAGCTCCCTTAAAAAGCCTATGATTTATTTTGCCTCAGAATATGAACTACCATTTATGCATACATTAATAAGACAAACCAATAATAATCCAGGATAACTGTTACACGTCTCACCTTTAGATGACCTCTTTCATGGAAAATCCATTTGCTAAGTTCAGTCACAAACTGCTCATTACCTGATTTCTCATATCTGCCATTATTATAAAAAAGAAATATTACTATTTGCTACTTGGAAGAGAACACAGTGGATGGCACAAAAAAAACATGTTCAACTGACAATTCCATAATCAATATCAAGAGGAAATGGAATAAATTCAAATCTACTATGACAGCTAGGCGCTTCTTCAGGTCTATGTCATTTGAAAACCGTATGCATTTATCATAATATTGTGCATTGAATCATCTATAAGGAGAAATAGATCACATACAAGCCTGAAGCACTACCTTAAACATCTTAAAGTAGCATCAAAACATAAACAGCCATCCATGCATGTGTCAGAGTTTTACCAAAAGGGAGCAAGGAATGAAAGCTTGTATCAAATATCTGATACAGTCCCAATGCCAGCTTCCTCTAATGATCTCAGGCTAAGATTGCAAGCGGCAAGCGCCATTAAGGGCCAGCTTGGAGTGCAATATAGGGGCCTGAGGGCATTTTTTTTCCCTTATTCTGGTCTTTATTGATTGGTTTTGCTTGTAATTTTTTATTGTTTTTACTTTATGCCTCAGTGTTTTGTTCTAACCACTGGATTGTTCTTTAAATGTCAATAAAATAAGTACAATTTCATGGAATCAACTTTTACAAGGTGAAGATCAAATTGAGGTTAACTTACTTTGTTGTGCTCTCAGCCTTCTGCACACCTGATTTGAAAAACCTGAATCATATAACAAACAGGAACATTTCATGAGTGAATAAATATTTGCCTAAGTAACACCAGAGCTGGCGCAGAAACTGCCACTTACATACCGGTTACTAAACATATCTAAGGAACCAGTGATCAGAATCCGAGCATTGTTTCTAGCCTGCATCACATAAAAACTGTTAATCAAAGAGATTCTGCTCCTAAAATTTCTCTTTTATCATAATTGAAGCTAGGCATAAAGTTTATAACAGCTACTGAGGCATCTAATGGTGGCATATAGCAAAATGATTAATGCATGGGCAATGTGAAAGAGAAGCATAAATTATTGATCCACTAGAAAAACTGAAGAAGATGATTACAACATTCAGCAGAAGATGCTCACAACTGATTAATGCATATAATGGCACACTGATAAAATGGTCAGTATAATCAGACATGAGAATATCACTACAAAAGCGACGCAGTAATGCCAACAAGTGAAAAAAATTTAAAAAAAGAATTTCCTAATTGGGATTCAATGCATCAATATTAGCTTCATGACTATGTACTGTGTGTTTTGAGGGGCACAGAGGGTCTAGAGAAGAAAGAGAGAGAGAGAGAGAGGTTGAATGATAATAAGATCCAATTTACCTGAACTACTGAAACCAATGAGATGGCAGATCCAGTAAGTGATGGGGGACTTGATAGCTTGGAACTAGGATTTGCTGAATATGCCGAAGGAGAAGCTGAAAGGACTTTCAAGGCCTATACATTATATCACAGACCACAACAACCAAGAACCTTAGTTTCTATACAGTCTTAACTCAGTAAAGCAATCATTCTGCTATATTAACAAAGAATAACCCAAGTCATTTAGACCTTACCAAGCCATTGGCTGCATTTATAGAATGTGCAATACCTTTAAAAAGTACTGGGGCCTGTTTAATGCATAAGCATAAACATTAAGAATAACAAATAAAGATTACGATCTATGTCATTTCTGTCCAGTGATAAAAATCTAAAGCAAAAACAAATTAGTACTAAAATTCAACACTCCATATGAGAAATATACAATCAAACCAACCTCAATTTTAGTTTTTCCCAGTATAACATCAGATTCAATGAAACTGTCTGCAGCAATCAACGTATGATCACCCTCAGTCTTCGAGACTGCATAGCTTTTATGATCAATGACCATTGCGGAAGGATCCTTCAACATCGCATAAACTCCATCAGAAATTAAGTTGATAACGGTATACCTCAAGCAACGCATCTCCATATATCTATATTAAATCCATGAAGTGATTCAAAAAATTTTCCACTGACCTCATCAAAATCGACCCCACATTCGGTTGCGATGCTCTTAATGAAATCAGAAGCAGAAGCATCAGCGGCTATAATCAAGTCATGGCCTGAGTCAACGAAGTCAAGCACAGCGGCTAAATCCAATGCACCTCCAAATCCTAATCAAACAAACAAGGGAGATCAAAAAAAAAATCCATGGAAGTTAAACATAAACAAATAGGGATCCATGAGTTTACTCTCGACGGAAGGAGAGAAGATAACGAGGCCATCGTATAAGAACTGGCCATATCTCTGAAGTGCGAGCTTAGGATCGTCAGCGAGCTTAAAATCGAGGCCGAATCCGCGAGACTTGAGGGAGTTGAAGAAAATGGAGTGGGAGGATTTAAGAGAGAAATCGTCGAGCAAGACTAGGATCCGGCGATCGGTTGGGGATTCCGGCGAGAAAGAGAAGCAGAGAAAGGGAAGCAGTGAGATTGCTAGCACAATCGAGATCGAGAGTTTCTCCATTGCCGCTGCTAACTCACAATCCAAAGAGGGTTTTAGGAACATGCAGTGACCAGTTCGGCTCTGGCAAGTAGAAAATGGTTCTGTTAGATGAAACGTTTCGGTGGCTGTAAAATTATAATTTTATCCTTATACTCTATCATGAATTACAAATTTATCTCTCAATTTTAAAAAATACATTAAAATAACATGTATTTCATTTTTATTATATTTTATTATCTTTATGTCCAAATTTTGCACTTTTATCTTTAATTTATCCTATGCAGAGTCGAAAATGACCTCTAATTTATAGGGTTACGATTTTTTCTTCTTCTCCTGTTGACGTCCACCATGGGAGATTGGCAGCAATTTCTTGGATCCATTTTCATCTGGTCTACTCTTCTCTTTTCTTCTTGCCAAGCTCACTTTGATTTTCCCTTCCTTCGACGACGACAATATCACCATTTCACACGGCTATAAATCTTACCTATCTCACCCTTCAAGACCCAAATCAAACCATGAATATGGCTCATGTGCCCGTGACTTGGCAGTCATTAGTGATGTTTTTCCGCTCTCTATTATACTGATCCAATTATGGCTGAGCACGACAATCAGAGGAATGAGAGCATAACTAGAACTGAGTTTAATGATAATCTACGATGCACCAACCTTAAAAGGTTGAACGTACTTGTATTGGACACCAACACTCTCAGGCACATGTCAAATATTTAAAAAATCGTGTTTTACTATTTGTTTTATTTTATTAATTTCATACATTTTAAAGACGCATCAGATGATATTTTAAAAATACTTTTTATGATATTTTAAGGACACATTTAAAAATTAAAATATTAAATATCGTCAGATATTAATTTGATTTCTTTTAAAAATGCTTAAATTCTCTAAATTGTCAATTCATCTTTAAATAAGCTATAAATATTATGATTTTCAAAACAGTGATATTAATTTTGAGAATTTAACTAATTTTATTAGAATAAGAAATTAAAATTTTTTTATTTTATATTTTAATTTATTATAAATTATTATTTATTTATTTAAAATATTAAAAAATTATATTTATTCAATGTTGCATATGTATATTTTTTAAAAATTATCATATATCGTATTTTAATTTTGTCTATGCAACCTCAATCGTCGTGATATCAATGATGATGATTGGGAGGCTCTCGAGAGCATATAATTATACGAGACTTTGGCATTGCGACAACATTTGTGACAGCAGCCAAGCACGCGACGACTTTTGTGTTGATAGCACAAAAGAATAAGAAGAAGGTTAAAAGTTGTTAAAGGGTAATTTTAGGTAAAAATATTATCTCTCTTCTCATCGCTTTTTTTTCCTCTAATTTGTACTAAAAATTGAAATAAAATAAATTGAAGGACAATTACGTGTAACAGGACCAAAATGGAAATATTGTAGCATATTTTATAAAGCACATAAATAAACTAATAATTTATGAAAAACTATATTAATAAAATCATTATTTTTAAAATCATATATTTTAAAAGAAATTATTTATTTTATAAATAAAATAACAAGAAATCAAAACCTTGAATATTGGTTTTATTTGTTTGTGAAATATATTTTGCTAAAGGATATTTTCAGATTTTTTTTTTAATGCTTGAGGTATCTAAAGAAAATAAATAGTATTTGCTAAAACTTAAAACTTTCAAATATTATGCATTTATGCTTGATGGATTATGTTTATAGAAATGTTAATTTTAGTGGTTGGTTTATTCATGATATTAACTGTATATGATATTTTAGATTTTGTGCCGTCTCCTGAACTCTATTCGTCCTTTTTATAAAAGAAATATATTAAAAGTTACAATTAATTTTGACTATTGATATAGTTATAAACACTACATTAGTCAATATAAAATAATTTTATGAGAGAAAATTAAGAAAAAAATTTTTAAAATTAATGCCAACTGATTAAAAAAAAAAACGTTCAATTTCCTCCAAAAAGGGCTAATTTTGTTAGTTGAATCGCTAGAGGGATGTCCAATCAACATTAACATGCCATGTGTAGATGTGCACAAGTCAGATTTAATAGTCTCGTCAGCTGAAGTTGGGTGATACCAAAGCCACAATTTGTTATAAAAAAAATGTACAACCTATCATCTAGTAAAATTGAAAATATTTAATAAATATATCAAAATTTGAGATTTTTAGTTATTTACCCTAAAAATTATCAAAAAAATTTATAATACTTATAGCCTATTTCATTCAACGGTTCCAATTAGTTATTAGCAATGATTTACGGTTTTGAATAAATAAAAAATGTTAATAGTTAGAAATATTGAACTGAATTTATCAATTACCCCTAAATAGTAATTTGAAATCCAAAGTCTAAACATTAATTTTCAGCTCCTCATAAACCGTACCTTGCTTCTGTAAAAAAAGTTCATATGAAAGAAAATATCATTTGAACATTTTAGAAACTATACTAATACTGTTAAATTTAATATTTTTAGTATGATATTCTTTTTGAATGATTAAAATTGTATTAGTATGTTTTAAATTGTCATTAACTAATATTTTAACTTTAAATTTTATAAATAGTGTTTATGTCGAGGTGGATTACTTCTTTATGTAATAAGGTTCAATTTTCATTAACATTTACTTAGTTTTTGTTTTTTTTTTACTCGGTAAAAAGTTTAAAATAAAAATTTTTATTTATTTAGTGTTTTTGCTTGTAAAAGGAAAGCAAATAAAATGGAAAATAACTTTTATTTTCAGTTCAAAAATTTATCTATAAAATAAAAAATAGAAAAAACTATAGCAATAAACTAATAAAGGTAAAATAATTTTATTTTCCAGAGACAAAATTAATCATTATTTTTTATCAAAATTTTATTTTCTTCCTTTTCTTTTTATTTTTATTTTATTTCTCTTGTATCCAAATATAGTGTATAGAGTTAAATTGAAACTCTAAATTCTATTTCTTATTCCACTACTTCAAATGGATTCGAAACAGTCCTAATAATTATTTATGCAATATGCATTCATCTTAAAAAATAAAAATGTTTAACACAGTTAATTGATAAAAATAAATTGAATTAAATACCAATAATATAATAAGAATCATAAAAAGGCTAAATTAAAAGAAATTGAGAAAAAAAAAATAAAAAGGTTAATAATTTCCAAATCAGCGTAGGAAAAAAGCAATATATTTTTTTCCATGTCTATCGCCAACCCAAACAGATCCCTACCGTGTGAGGCCAGAGCAAAGCTGCAGAAGCTAGTTTTAGGAACAGCAGAACGCCCACCCTCGGGTCGGGTCCACCTTCTCTCGTCATTTGCTGCCAAATCTGTGTACTCTTTCCTTCAATTATTATATTATAATAATAAATACAATTGCAATATATACATATAACCATTCTCATCGCTTACTCACTCGAATCACACATATAATTACCTTCTTTTTTTCTTTTTTCTCCGTCTCTCTCTGCCCCCATTTATTTTTTTCCTTAGACCAGGTACAGGTAGCTTCCTTTCCTTATTTGCTTATCTACCATTTTTCTCTTTCTATTTTTCTTTTGGTTTATTTTTGTGATTTGGCTTTTAAAGTTGAGATTTCTATTAGGGTTTTCTATTTATTTTGATTATTGAAAGAATTTTGCAGTTTTTCCTTCTTTTTTTTTTGTTTCCTTTAAATATGTTAGCGAGGTAAAAGGGAATATGAAGTTTACGATCTGTTATAGCAATTTATGTTTCGAATTTGAATTTATATTTGTATGGTGTTTGATGATCGGTGAGTTGTTTATTCTCGATGGATTATTGATGATGCTTATGATCTTCTTGAATAAGATTATATTACAGCAGCTATGATTCGGCTATTTAAAGTAAAGGAAAAGCAGAGAGAACAGGCTGAAAACGCCAATGGAGGGGCGCCTATCAAAAAGCAAACTGCTGGAGAATTGCGTCTTCATAAGGGTTCGTCTCTTCTATTCATCAGATGTTGTGGTTGTTTTGTAAAGTATATCTCCTTAGTGTACTATTTTGTTGTTTTTGTGTTTATTTTAAGAATCTTTGTCGCCCAGATAATTTTTTATGACTAAACGCGTAGCAAGGGAAGAAGAACAGTGTGGGAAACGGATTCTGTTAGTTGGATGATTTTGCTGGATTTGTAAGGTTTACTTTGTTCTTTTGGGTTTAGAGGGGCCTAGACATCTATTTATTGAATTGAAGATTGTGGACTATGTGAACTGTGAATCAGTATGTTTTTCTACTACCTGAACTACTTTATGAGCCTTAAGTTCGCAATAAGAGTCCAACTTCAGTTTGCAATTGATAGAATATGCTGAGTTCATGTCACTAGTAGAGGCTTATACCATTCCGGTAGGTGTTACAAGTTCATAGTGCTTTTAGCTGTGTCAAGTATAATAGTGGATTTAGGAATTTGGCTATTGGGTATAACAGAAATTCTGGAGATGTAGCACTTTTTTCTTCTCCAACTCTCTTTGCTATAAGACTAGAATTTACGATGGTTTAGTTGCTTTTCTTGTTAGGCTAGGATATTGGGATTAAGTAGGGAATACAGTTAAACAGACAAACCAATTATCTTCTTAACCAATTTTTTCTAAAATATACTGTCCATTAACTCTTGCCGTTGCTGGTGTTTGGCTTTTATTTTGGATGATGTTGTAGTAAAGATATTGAAGAATGCAGTTTTTAGGTCAATTATGCGGCCTGGTGCAAACATTCGGCGGAATATTCAATTAAGTTTTGGGAATGAAAAGTTGAAGGATACATAAAGATTATGTACTTGCTTGATGCTTTAGTGAAAAAATTGTTAGATAATACATTACAAGCATGACAAGCTTTAGGGAAGACATTTTTCAAGAAGTGGATTGAGTTACAAGCGGACCTTGTTCTATATCTTGGATTGATAAATATGTTTCAGCAGATGAAATAATGTGAATACTATACTTGTTATGTGCTCCATTTCTCATTAAATTACTCACGTGTGTTTGGTGCAGAAAACAAGTTGAATTGCATAAGAAGCTCATTTCTTTGATTTTGCATTGGGCAACTGTAACGTCATCTAGTAGTCTTGCTAATTATGGTTGTTTTATTCAGAAAGCTGTTGAGCTTCCAGGTTGCAATGACTAATTTAAAAAACTGGCTCTTGAATTTAAATTCCTCTTTCTTTTCTCTGTTTAAGCCTCAGGAGTTATGAAGTAACTACTAACCTGGTTTATGCACGTAATTAACCTGGTCTTGAACCAGTTCATAGACCATTAGTGGATGATGTTTATCATTCTGCTTTAAGAAATCACTTTTTGAAATGAATTTGTTTAGCCTGAGTCAAATGCATATCATGTGAGGTTATATTCTTGACTTAACTTCATCTTTTAGTGTTTTCACATGACATCTTGTATTTTGCTGCAGATATTTCTGAGCTAAACCTGCCTAAATCTTGTGCCATAACCTTCCCCAATGGCAAGGACGACCTGATGAGTTTTGAGGTTTCAATCCGACCAGACGAAGGATATTATTTGTAAGAAACTTTTTAATATAGCATCTTGTCTCTAGAACTTGATAAAACAAATACTAACTTACCATGGAGAAAATTGAATCTGTAATATTATCACTTGTTATTTGAGGTTTTCTCCTTTGCATGGAAAGATCAGTTCCTCTGTTCTTTAATCTCCAAAATTTATCTGATTTCTCCTCTAGAAACAATTGGTTAACTAAATGATTTTAATTTAGGGGTGGCACATTCTTGTTCTCTTTCCAAGTTTCTCCCATATATCCACATGAGGCACCAAAGGTTAAGTGCAAGACCAAGGTAAACTGGCCAATATCATATACTTTGCTAAGAGCTTTTTTCCTGAAAGAATTGTCTCTTCATCTTGTGGTGATTTGTGTTTAATGTGACATTTATGCATCTTACCTCCAACTCCAGGTTTATCATCCCAACATCGACTTGGAAGGAAATGTCTGCCTTAACATCTTGCGAGAAGACTGGAAACCTGTCCTCAACATAAATACTATTATCTATGGATTATATCATCTTTTCACGGTATTATTTTATCTTTTTGCAAGTAAATCTCTGTGGTTTTGTAGCCATTATTATCTGTTTTTTTCTGAAAAATTTCTTCCTAATTCTTTATGCAGGAACCAAATTATGAGGATCCTCTTAATCATGATGCTGCTGCAGTGTTGAGAGATAACCCAAAAATGTTCGAGTCTAATGTAAGAAGAGCTATGGCTGGAGGATATGTGGGGCAAACCTTTTTTCCGCGGTGTGTTTAGCTTTTGTTGTTTGGTGGCACAAAGTGCCAATTCACTCATATCCATGGTTGAAAGCCTGTGATTGTAAAATTTATCTGCGATTTACATTCTGTCATCTTTTTCAATTTTCTGAGTGGAGCTGGGGGCATTAGTTCCTATAAGTGCAACTAAAAACAAGAACGTAATTTGTATGTTACTACAACTCGTCTGATGTGATTTGTATGTTGACTTGGTATATTATTTTGAACAAGCATAGGCTAGACTCTGTTCATGGTTTAGAGAGAATCACCCTTTACCTTTGCGTGCACATTTGTGCTTATTGCCTTTTTATATACCTTTTTTTAATATTTGATATTTCGTAGCCTGGAAATCATCCTTCGCTCTTTATTTTTTCAATTTTTTTATATTTTGAGAAATTTATTTGACTTAGCAATTGGTTTAATCTCCTCGGAGAAGAATGCATTTACCGATGAATTGGATCTTCCATCGGGAAATTGCCAATGCACTGAAATGATTTGCGGCTACGATTGGTATTCTTGATTATTTGATGCTGCAATCTAAAGGGCCCAATGTCCAAATGTTGATCCATAAAAGCTAGTCTGTAAACTCATTAAATCCCCAGAACGTGGGATGTTTTTACGAAGACAAACATAAACTGATTGCTTGAACCAAAAATATGGCGTGTCAGTATTCACATAATCTAGACCTCGAACAATACGAGGCACTGTCATATCATCTCTGCCTCTTTTGAACATGCGATTCTAGCATTTTCACGATCTTGCCTAAAAAACTTATACAGTGGACTATAGAACAAACAGCACAAACCAAATGGAACTGCCATCATTGAAAGAAGCCCTTTTGACAATGCAGAAGCCTGCTGCACAGAACCTTTAACTGGATCAATAGAATTTGAATCATACCCGAACATTCTTTCAGAAAGAATTCCAACCAAAGGAGCAGCAAAAGAAGAGAGAGATCCTTCGAAAGCGCGATCAAATGCATAAATCATAGTTCGGTGTTTCACAGGAACGACTTCAGCAAACATTGGTGCATTTGCAGCAGTGCCATTCCAACTGATAGTCAGGCCCATCAGGAAAACTGTAACAGCAAAAATGTGATAGCTGTTTACTGATAATGGAATTTCTTTGAGCAGAAACCAAGAGAATGGTATGCCCATGAAGGCACTGAACTGCGCACATATGATTCGGCCAGAGTGAGGGTAAGTACGTGACATTCGATCTGCTATCAATCCACCAACAAGGGATCCAAGTGCACACCCAATAGCAAAGAGACTTAGGAGAAATGCCGTGCTATTATGATTGAAACCTGAAGCATGCAGTAAATTTCATCACCCAGTTCCAATTTACTTTTTAATAAGTGCATTCGCAGCTAATATAGAACTTGCAAATGTTCTCACCAATTAATTCAAACCACATGGCGAAGAACACCATAGCAGTCCATGGTAATGAACCAACAATGCCCTGCATAACTATTATCTGAAATGTTTTTACTTTCATTACAGCTTGCATGGCTGTCCAAGACTCTGTCCAAATGGATGATGTGCTAGAATTGCTCTTTTCTATTAATTCGTCCCTGCACCCAAAAACAACTGAATCACCACAAAGAAAAGGTTATACACATTCAAGATATTGCAAATTTGACAATAAAACTAGAGGATCACAAACAAAAGATTAGAACCTATCAGAACTTTCGTGACTGTCATGGGGGACTCCAATTGTTTTCCTTGGGTCAACAACAAATAAAAAAACAAGAAACCCAATTATTGAACTCAATGTTGCCATCATGATGAAGGCACAGCGCCATCCCGGGATGCCCCAGTATTGCTGACCAGCCATAATTGTTGCCAGCACACCGCCTCCTATACCACCCAAGTTACCAATAAGGTTAACCAATCCAAATCCAGTGCCTCTCACACTATCCTTATAGCTATCAGCAATGAAAGACTGTAATGCTGGTATCACAATTGCCAGTCCAAAGCCATTTACTGCTCTCCAGAATGCAACTTGCAGGAAATGCTGGCTTGCACCTACTGCTGCTGTTGATAAGGCCCAGCATAATGTCCCTATTGCAAGAACTGTAGGACGGTCATAGCTTATAACCAGTACACCAGCTAGGGGTGATGATAGCCCCTGCACAAAGTTCCTTATGAAAGTGAGATATCCCAAATCAGATGGCCCAACACTGAACGCTTCGCTAACTTCTTTGTAAACAGAAGGAAGGAGATTTTCATCAGCCCGCTCCATTATAGCAGCCAAATTTATAAGAATGAGAGAAAGAGAAACCCCAAAAATCTTTCTTGTTCTGGTGAAGGAAACAAATTGACAGAAAACAGAAGATGAAGTCAATAAATGAAATAAAACTCTTCTGAAGGGGACCAAGGAAACAATTGAAAATAGAAAAAGGAATGGAGTTTTTATATTTCTGGAACAAAAAACTTATGCGTCGAGCATGGGAAGTAGCTGCAAAATGGCCTACTTAATTTCTTACTGCAAAATGGTTTGAGTTTATCACATTTCTAGAATTAGAAGCATTTTGAAACGTATTAATTAAATTCTCCAAATACTTCAATTGCTTCCACTAGTTTTTTAGTGCAGGAATTCAATGAGTTTCTATAAGTGCCAAATGAGACAACCTAACATTTCTTGTTCTTCTTTTTTTGCTGTCATTTGTGAATCTCAAATTAAACAACAAAATGGAAGTCCACAACAAATAGAGTCGAGAAAGAAAAGATCTTCTCAACCTATACGCTAGATCAATCAAACAGAAGGCAACGACTACCAAAACCCTTCACTCCAAAAATAGTAAAGGAAAAACTGAAACCAAAGATCCATCCCATGAAGTTCTTTAAAAGTCAAATATCAGTTCTTTAAAGGTCAAAGATTGAAAGGAATTAAAAACAAAAAGATCAAGAGAACGATAGACATGACTTACTTCATGGCTTCAAATTTTCTGGGAAACAGAGGCTTCGAATGAAGAACGGTAGGAAATCTGGAATGGGTGCGATTAAGACCCATCAAAGTAGGTACTACCCACAAAACTCCTATAAATCCGGAACCGGAATAGCAATAAATTTATAGCATTTGTGGCGGATCTTGAGGTTGGACCCCATTTACTTGCGTTTTCATTGTAATAACCACCGCTTACAAGATTCATCAGAAACTGAACTCAATCCACTGTTCAATCGAAAATATTCATAACCGAATATTCCTATCACGAATGTAAATATATAATATAATGCAATTAGTCTATTATACTGCGTAATACAAAACAGATATGCCAAGATCGCCAATGGAAGATGACAAAATAAAATAATAATAAAAATATGGACGTCTCAGATCTTTCCTTATTGAAGGACTCATTGGGTAAACGGTCACTGGGGACTTTGGTTCTCTTTGGTATTTGTTTCTCACAAGTCAAAGGTGAGAAATTATGGGATCAGACACCTATACGAGGTGGTGATGCAGACATGATAACACGTTTCCAATTAAGTAAGACGAAAACAAAAACATATAAATGGATTTTTTTTTTTAGTCTAACGCATCATCAAGTTAGATCAAATGCAAATCACGACTTGATTTCATTACTCATATGTTATCATTAATCAAACATAATCAATACGTAAATTTATTAATTAATCAATTCAATTTTTGAGATTAAATTGTTCTATGTTTTCTAAAAGCTTACACATCATAATATCTTTTTTCCTATTAAGCAATAACAATGTATGTAAGAAAATATATAGTTTCATCATCAGTGAAAAACATTATTCAATGCATTTGCTTTCATGTTTATAAATTGACAACTTAATCAATTTTCACTGTATTAAATTTAAATTTCATTTATTAATTGGATTACAAAAAATTATCAGTATCAGAATCTTAAGAAATTTTTATTATATATATATGTATATATATATGGATTCTCAATCATCCTCTCTGTTTCTTCTCTTTTCTATCTGTCTTTGCACGGAGAACTCAAATTTAAAAAGAGTAGCAACGTACAGACATAGAGGTATGACCGCAAAATTAAAAATAAATAAATAAATATTTAGTGTAAAAATTTTTTGAAAATAAAAAAGTTTCTCTCTCTGTAATTTTTTGACCTCTCTAACTATTTGGGCTGGGTTCCGTCACTGAAAGCAGCCACAGCAAATGTGAAAATTCATCTCCAAATTTGAACTTGGATGAGTAACATGCAAATATGTATCCACGCTTTTCAACCTGGGCTGGATGGGCTGGGCTGGGCTGGGCCTTCAGTGTGCTACGATAATTTGATATCAGATTATTGGGTTAAATGTGAAAGGAACACACTTTGTGACCCAAATCCAGAAACAAACTCATTGGTCTGCACAATACACAAATTACTTTTTTTTTTTTGACACAATAATTAGTAATTAATAGGTTAAACTTTTAGAGTAATTTATATATTTATTAACAAGGATGAAATTATAATTATAATAAAACTTAATAGACGAAAAAATTATATACCTCAAAAAGATAATTAAAAAATTAAGGGGAAGCATCACCGACCGGATCAGCTCAGCGAACATCAGGATCGAAGAAAGTGAGATTGTTTATTTGTTGGGACAATAGGATTGGTAAAGCCCGTTCCATTCCAAGTGAGATAGAAATACCATTCCCACCCTCGTCAAGGCATGGGCCCCAATCTTTGTCGGATTAAAAAATGTTATCATGTGCCTGCCTGTACTGTAATACAAGCCTCACCGGAAAAGTACTATTTGCCACGCGTAGTTGCAATTTATACAGTAATGTCAATTCACGGCTTTGCTTTTTCAACTAAATTTACCAATTCAATTCTAAAGGATTGACTCAAAATATTCAAGATAAAATGATTTTCTAAAATATAATTATATATATTAATTATATCAATAATATTTAAAAATTTTAATTAGAAAAATTGAATAAATTTAGAGATTTTAATACACGTCTTGCCTAATAATTTTAATGGACTATTTTGGGAGGTTTTCCCCTGTGCAGAGTAAAGTATTATGACTCGTAAACGAATTAAAAAAAAAGCGAGGTATTACGACTCAACAACAAAGACTCAGTTGGTGGTCCAAACGGGCGCGATTCGCACGTGCGGGTGCTATTGTTAATTTGTTATGTTTTCCAACTAGCTTTCCAGCTGTCCCATCTTTCTCAGGCTGAGTTGGATACGCACGTGCCCATGGCGCGACTATTGCGCCTCCTGTCTCTTAGTATTTAACAAAAGGCATTTTACGTGATCATGCAATTAACTTCCTAAACGTTGATTAATTTGAAAACCAACAATAATGGACTAGTCACACTTGCTTGTTTTCTTTTATTTCTTTCCTTTTTTGTTATTTTAAATTGATTGCAAGAATATACTATTTATCATTTACCACTCGATTTATTTTCTCGTTTACTTTTCATATCACTTAAAAAAAATAGAAAAAAAAAGGAATTGAAGGTCAAATAATGTAGCGAGCTTGTTGGATAAGGATTGTATAGAGTCTAATTTGGTTATCACTTAAATTATTATTGAGAAAATGTATATTAATTGAAGAAATTCTGAAATAACTAGATAATTGCTTTAATCACAAGAGAAAAAACTATAATTATTTTAAAATATTTTTCGGTAACATTTGAAATGATAGAATATGAATAATTACTTTAAATTTATTTCAGCATGAATTTGGGTCTAGATATGACGTATATTATATAAAATATTAAAATAAATATTATAAGGATTTCTTGATCCAGACTTATATAATAATTTTTTGTGGTTAAATTACACGAAAATTTAATCATGCTCGTGTCACAGTAAATATTTAAACACGAAGTATTATTTAGGGAGATTTTTTTATAAAATATGTGGTACTTGATAATACCATTTAATATTTTAAATTAAAAGTAATATTAAACTTGAATTTATATCGATACAACTATTAGAATTATATTTAGTGAATTGTAAAAACATGTAAATAAATCTTATATCAAAATGTTTTATATTACAGTACATTTAATCTTAACTAAAATACTTAAGTGTTGAATTATATTTTATCATGGAGAACAAAAAGTACGCGTGGCGTGCTTTTCCTTTGTACTAGAACTAGGATCTGAGCGGAGAGCCGTGCGATTCCTCTGCTATTGTTGTAATTTCCCTGTGATCTGTGAAGAGAGAGAACCCTGACGATTATAGGCGATGGGGACCGCATCACGTGTTGCGTGCTAAATCAGACATGCGGGCAGCGGATGACAATGTGGTCCTCACTCAGCTGATGAGGAGGTAGAGCCCGTAGGATAATTTTACTATTAATTACTAGTATTTGTTAGTATTATTATTGTTAATTATTATTATGGATTTCTGCGTCGCACGTGCGGAGGGTTAAAGCAGTCTACGGGTCCCACATTTCTTTGTTTCTGAGATCGCTGTTTGTCCATATCTGTACCGTTCAGACTGAACATCACGGCACAGCCACCCTAAATGCTGGAGAAATTCAGAAAAGTAAGAGAAAATGTGCCTTGTGGGCATCCCTATCATAAGATCCAAAGCAGTTTATTACAACCATTGGATCAAATCAGATGCAATATCTCGAGGAGGCCCAAATTAATTTGGGAGATAATGTGATTTGGGAAGGGATAAATAAGACACATTAGAATTAGGGACCGTCCTATGTATGTATTAATACATGTCATTTTCTACTATCTTTTAGTACCAAAAATTATGCAGGAGGCAGGGGCCATGCTATGGTACGGCTGGGCACTGCTTAGCAGGGTAGGACTATCCTCCAGCTGCAGCTAATTATTAGTCTTTAGACTAAAGCCAATCTTTTACTGGCCTGGCACTTGCAGTTCGCTGTTGATTTTCTGTATTGCCTACTAATATTTTTGGTCAAAGCCCTTTTAAGTCATCAGGTCCCTCCCATTTCATGTTTTGCAATCCGGTTTCACAATTTTATTTTTTAAGTATTTTTTATTATTTTTATAGGAATAATAATAAAAATTTTGGGGTTAAATTAAATATTTTTCTACAAAATAATAGTACATTGTCTATTCCATGCCAGTGTGAAAAGTGAGAGAGGTAGAGAGAGGGAAGAGAAGAATCTGTGGAGGAAGCACGAGCAGCTTTTCTTTCTTTGTTTTCTGTTTTTCTTTCATCTACAAAAATTCAACAAAGGAAGCACCAAGCACTATCCTCGTGATAAAGAGAGAGAAAGCACACGCAAAACGAAACCAAGCAGACCTAGAGAGAGGGGGAGAGTGAAGGGTGTTTACCGGAAAAAATGACTGCCGGTGGATGCTCAGGTAGGCTACCGACGTGGAAGGAGAGAGAGAATAACAAGAGAAGAGAGAGGAGGAGAAGAGCTATAGCTGCTAAGATATATTCAGGGCTTCGAGCTCAAGGAAACTATAAACTCCCTAAACATTGTGATAATAATGAGGTGTTGAAAGCTCTTTGTGCAGAGGCTGGTTGGATCGTTGAAGAAGATGGCACAACATATCGCAAGGTGAATACTGATTTCCTTGTCTCTTTCGATCTTTTAATAGATGTGTTTTCTGTTCAATTTGTTTTACAGATCTACTTGCATGGTTCATAGATTTTGGTTTTTTTAAGCTTTTTTTTTTTTTTTGCTAATTAAAGCTTTCGATTGATCTTGACCATTTTTGTGTTCTTTTCTTGGTTTACTTTGCCTTCATCTGGTGTCCTATTTTGATTTCAATTTTCGCTGATTTGATGATGCTTTCAATTTTAGCGTCGTGGTTGATTTTGTTCTTAATCATTTTTTATCTGTGGCATTTTTGAGCTTCGATCTAAAAAATCTTGTTAATCGGTTCTGAATCTGATAAAATTTTATTTGAAGAGATCTTTGTGTTTTTTCTTATCAATAGACTTGATTTCACTTTCTTAACATCCATTAACAGATATGTAGCCAATGGTTTTAAGAGGCAAAAATACGATCCTTGAGAAATATATAGTCTCCAGGTTCAATATTATGTGCCAAAAGTTCTGCCAAAATTAGACTAATAATTCAAGTGATTTTCTTTCAGGGCTCTAAGCCACCTCCACTGGAGATTAGAAATATAGGCAAAAATACGATCCTTGAGAAATATATAGTCTCCAGGTTCAATATTATGTGCCAAAAGTTCTGCCAAAATTAGACTAATAATTCAAGTGATTTTCTTTCAGGGCTCTAAGCCACCTCCACTGGAGATTGCAGGCACTCCAACAAACATCAGTGCATGTTCCTCTATTCAACCTAGCCCACAATCCTCAAATTTCCCTAGTCCTGTTCCTTCCTACCATGCCAGTCCAACATCCTCTTCATTTCCGAGCCCTACTCGTTTCGATGCAAATCCTTCCACATACCTTCTCCCTTTCCTCCGTAACATAGCTTCAATCCCTGCGAACCTCCCTCAGCTTAGAATATCCAATAGTGCTCCTGTAACTCCACCGCTTTCTTCCCCTACTAATAGAAGTTCAAAGAGGAAAGCTGATTGGGAATCCTTTTCAAATGGATCACTAAACTCCTTTCGCCATCCCCTTTTTGCTGTCTCTGCCCCTTCAAGCCCTACACGACGCCAGCATCTTACACCAGCTACTATACCAGAATGTGATGAATCGGATGCCTCAACTGTTGATTCTGGTCGCTGGGTGAGTTTTCAGGCTGTTGCTCCTCAAGTAGCTCCTCCTTCACCGACGTTTAATCTTGTCAAACCAATTGGTCAGCAGAGTATGTTTCAGGATGGAATTGATCATGGGCATGGAGGATTTGGTTGGGGGGCAGGTGCAGAGAGGGGAAGAGGGTCAGAGTTTGAATTTGAGAATGGCAGGGTGAAGCCATGGGAAGGTGAGAGGATCCATGAAATAGGAGTGGATGATCTCGAGCTCACACTTGGGAGCGCAAAGGCTCATGGTTAAGCCAGTGATTGCTCTTAAGTTTGGGAATGTAACAAGAAGGGAAATAATTGGAGGTTGTGTTTGAGAATGGCAGGGTGAAGCCATGGGGAAGGTGAGAGGATCCAATTGAAATAGGAGTGAAGATGATCATCTGAGCCATCACGACTTGGGAGCGCAAAAGGCTACATAGGGTTTAAGCCAGTGATTGCTCTTAAAGTATTGGAGAAATGTAACAAAAGAAGGCGAAATAAATTGGAGGTTGATAAGCATGTCTTTGTCCGAAGTGGTGGAGTAGCTGGTGGTTATTTCTTAGCCAAGCTGAATTTGTGGCGTATGTTGGTGTTGTAGAACTGGCGTTGTGGAGGTTGTGTTGTATTCTGGTGAAGGCTCAGTGCATATGATGTCGGCGTGTGTGATGGTAGCGAGGTTTCTTGTGTGTTGCTGTGCCCCCCCCCCGGCTGTGGAGCAAGTGGGGCAGGGAATGCTGGGTATCTGATCTGAGTTCAGACTCATTGCAGCGCTTCCGTGGAAGGGACGTTAGGTCCCCGAATATTTCAAAATTATTGGGAAAAAGAACTAGAGGTGGCAGGACCATATAAGGTCCCCAAATTTTCATATGGGGAAAAGACTGGTGCAAGTGATTTAGAAGGTTGTATTCTTCGTTAATCTGTTTATGTTTAGAGTATTTCTTTCAACTCTACATTGATGATTATAGTATCCTATTTAAATTGTCATTAGGATGACCTTTACTAGCTTCAATCAAGAGCAAAGATTGTGTACTAAACTTATCTGGGATTTGAGTTTATATAATCTGTAGGCTTGAAGAAAAACAAACTTAAACTATTTGAAGCCGATCATTTTTACTTTTCAATAGATTGTAGTCTTGTGGCAATGCATTTGGGTATTGGATGCTGCTCTTTTATAACTTATGAGCTAATGTTCAGCCTAGTATACTTATGCTATTTTATTTTTTTCAGCTTGGCTTATAAATGGGGCTAACACTCCAAACTGAACTGAGCTAACTATGGCTAAAGGAAACACAATTTTAATGTCCTGCAGTAAGAAGCTCATCATCCTACTTGGCTTGTAGGAGAAGAGCTTGTGTTGATAACAAATCTTAAGACTGTTTGACAAAGTTTTAAAAATTTTAATTCTAGAATTTGGAAAAACTATGTTTCTAATGTCATAATCTTAAAAAGTATATTTTGCAATTAGATGGAAGAAAATATGTGGAAAAGATAGAGAAGCTCATTTAAAAATTTAGTTTTAGCAGAAGAGCTCTTAGATGTGTTTTGCCCCAAAGACAAGGCCTGCAGCTACTGAAAGAACTTGGATAATTTGGTTGTAATTTAGTTTGGAAGAACTAGTAGGCCCATTTCTTGGTATGTGAAAGTTTTGTTTGTTGTGAATGGATGATGCATACCAAACTGACTTTCTGCAATTTTTTGTGGCGTTTTGTGGGTCAAAGGAGCATCTTAGAAGAAGGGACCCCTTCCCCACGTGATGTGTCTCATGTGGCATGTCACCTTCGATATTATAATTTACCAACCAATTTTGTGGCTTCCAAGTTCCAGTTCTTAATTATTGCTGTATCTTCTTTGAATAATGTTAGGAACAATGTGATAAGCCTGATTATTGACCGGAGTACTTTCTATGTCGACATGATCTTGTGGTTCTTGAATTAATTTCCTTTTTAACTTCAACATTATCCCTTATTTTCAAGATCTTGATATGATTTATCATTAGATACTGGTAAGAGAAAAAAGGGAAGCTAGTTCTTTTTATTTCACATTTGACATGGAATATCATGTTTATAAATATCATGATCTCTTGAACTTTGTTAGTTTAATATTGTAGTATCATTAACTTTTAGTTTGATCCATTAAACACTTAAGAGTATTTCCGATGCAATCATGGATTGTAGCTGATGTGTCTTAATAAATAGAAGTTGTGGGTAAGAGTAAAAAGGAGGGGGAAGGGCGCTAGGGGTTGCTTGGGGTGGTTATTTCACGATTTGGACATGGGAATGGATGCAAGTGGTGGTGGTAGAATATCATGTTTATAAATATCATGATCTCTTGAACTTTGTTAGTTTAATATTGTAGTATCATTAACTTTTAGTTTGATCCATTAAACACTTAAGAGTATTTCCGATGCAATCATGGATTGTAGCTGATGTGTCTTAATAAATAGAAGTTGTGGATGGTGATATAGTTAAATGTGTTTTTGTAGATGTTAGATTTTAAAAATGGCTCTCCAATGCATGAAGAAGAACCAATTTCAGTGCAAGTAGAAGTTTGTGTGCGAATAAAAGAGAAGACATAAAGGAAAATAAAAAATAAGAAAAGAAAATCGAGTCGCACTATCGAACAAACCCTCTAAAAACGGAAGGCGTGATGGACAATGTCTTTTTTTTTTTTTTTTTTTTTTTTTTTTTTTTTTTTGTTTTTTTTTTTTTTTTTTTTTTTTACACATTAAGACTCACAGATCTAACATATAACCAACGTTGAAGAAATTAGACTTCACAGACTAAAACATTTATAACAACGTTGAAGAAAGTTTTTTGGTTTTACTTTCAATTTTTAGACGTGGCAAATAAATTAAAACAATCTTATGATTGAATTTTTTTTTTTTTTTTTTTTTTTTTTTTTTTTTTTTTTTTACACATTAGACTCACAGACTAAACATATAACAACGTTGAAGAAATTAGACTCACAGACTAAACATATAACAACGTTGAAGAAAGTTTTTGTTTTTAACTTTCAATTTTTTAGACGTGGCAAATAAATTAAAACAATCTATGATTGAATTGAAGATGCTCAAAAATTTATAAAATTACATCAATTAAATACTTTCACTTGTAAAATTAAATTAATTAAGCATTCATTAAATAATTAAATATGTGAAAATTAATATTTTAAAAGTTATGCTAAGTACACATTAAATTAATATTTTACATATAAAAGTCAATAATCCTAAAAATTATTGCTATTAGTATGGAAAGATGTGCGTTGTTACCAAAATTTATAAGTTGAAGTGCACGATATGTCATCTATAGAATTCAAAGTACCATGAATTAAGTTGTAAATTTTAGAGGTTTTAGGGGGTGAATTTATATGTTTGCCCATTATCTTTCCATATATGCATATATACTTTCAAAATATGCTTTTCATTGGTTGGTGTATGCATTTGAAGAAATATATGTGCATCGCATGGAGATCTTACGGGGAAAGAAAGAATTGAAAGGGAAAGAGCTTGTCAACTCTTTACAAAGAGCTTGTCAACTCTTTACAAACCAAATGGACTTTCTGCACATAAAAGTATATTTGGGCATGTTATTACGCTGGAGATGGTTAAATACATTAATTAACTCCTGAATTTCACAATTTTAACTTTTGCTTTTCAAATTTTAGGATGATGAATTGTGTATTTAAACTTACAAATTTTGATAATTGCATATCTCTTCACACTAATTGTAATAGGTTTTAGTTTTTTTATTTTTTATATGTAAAATATTGAGTTAGTGTAATTTTTAGAATAATAATTTTAAAATTTTAAACTATTTAGTAGGTGTTTAATTGATTTAATTTTACAGGTTGAAATGTTTAATAAAATTATTTTGCAAATTGAAAATTTTAATTAATATAATTTTATATATTCAAGTGTTTGATGAGCCAAACTAAAAATTGAAGGTGACACAAAGTTAAAGTAGCAAAGTTGAGCGACTGTTTGTTTGTGGTTAGTAATACAAGTCTTATAAGCATTTTGGATTGAATTTATTATTCTTTATTGCTTTTAATTCTCTAAAAGGTTCTTTCCTCCTTTTTGTAATGAATTTCTTGCTGAATTCAAATGGAATAGATTCTAATTTGAATGGTGTTGTAATTGGATTGGAGATCAATTTTGTTGTCTATATTTTGTTATTACTTTATAAAATACTTCTTTCGTTCCATTTTGTTTGCATGATTTTACAAAACATGTATATTAAAATTTTAGTCAATAAAAATTATTTTACCTATTTTTACCCTTAACCTATTAACCTATTAATAAAAGTTATTCATTTAATAAATAATCATAAAAATTATTATAGAAAAAATAATTTTTTAAATATATAAATTTAAAAACTTGCAAATATTTTGTGACGTCCGAAAAAACAATAACAAGCAAATGAAATGGGAAAGTGAGAGTATTAATTACTTATGCTTAGGTGACCAATTTGGACTTACTGTCAAATCCAATATTAATTGGATCTGAATAACCAATTGTTCCAAAATATATCCAAAATTAACTAAGTGTACAAAAATGATATCCAAAATTAACCAAGTGTCCAAAAATGATATATACCATTCAATGTATAATTATTGATTCAATTGAATTAACCCCAAGATGTGACATTATTCAATTATTGAATCTATGTTGTAAGTAGTAGCCAATTAGACAATCCAAACCCGTAACTCACATAACTTTAGCTCAAGCCGAGTAGCGTAAAAGTTTTTAGCTGTACTTCTCAAGAATCAAACTCGTATTTTCACTTTAATATGGATTAAAGTCGCTAACCACCTCAATGAATATCTTATTGATTATTAAACAACTTTTGTTAATCAATCTAAGACAATTGATGATTTTTATCACTAATTAAAATATGATCCTAAAAAAATTGAAAAAGTAATTTCTAAATGCATAAGTATATCCATACACTTTAATAAAAGAAATTTCATGGCATTCAAATAATACGAGAAACCTTTCATGTTCATATTTTGATAATAGTGCATTTTTTCCATACTAGCAATAATTTTTTATTCTTTAGTTTTTATACATGTGTATAATATGGATTGATGTGTAGGGTTATACAACTTTTTGTCAATAATTTTCATGTTTTTTAATTATTTAATAAATATTTATTAACTGATCAAATTTCACAAATTGAAAAATTTAATGGAAAATTTTTTACAAATTGAAATTTTAATGTGCCATTTTATAAATTGAAATATCAATTAATCAAAATAAAAATTATAAGTATGATAATTTTTTTATAAAATATATAATATATTTATGCATTTAACAAAAGAAAAATAATAAAAAAGTTATTATCAAACTACTGGATAATCAAGTGTAGAATCAAGTGCCTTCGAATAATCAAATAAAGTTTTTCTCAAAAAAAAAAAAAAAAAATCAAATAAAGTTATCTTGATAATTCATTCTCAAAAGTAAAAGGAAAAACAATAATTCTTTAAAAAAAAGTCTCCACTCTACGTTTAGGCGAGCTATGGTATATATGAAAATTATTTGTGATCGTATCTTTACCTAAAGTAGGAATTTTCAAAAAAAATTATTAGTAATTTATCTTTTTTTTTTTTTTTTTTTTAAACTAACCTATGGATTAATCCAGGTGTAGATCTATAGTGGCCCTTCGGAATTAGATCAAATAATTTTCTCAAAAAAAAGAGAGAAAAAAATCAGAAATAAGGTTATCTTGAATAATTCAGTATGCTCAAAGTAAAAGGAAGAGCAATAATTCTTGGTGTAAAAAAGTGCGTCCACTCTAAGCGGTAAGGCGAGATTATGGATAATAAATATGAAAATTATTATGTGATCGTATCTTTACCATAAAGGTAGGAATTATTCAAAAAAAATTATTAGTAATATTAATTCTTTTTTTTTTTATTTTTTTCCGTGTACTCAGAAATACATCGTAGCAAACCGCGCGTGTATATAATATCTAATATATATTTTTTTTTTTTTTTTTTTTTCCGTGTATCTTCAGAAATACATCGTAGCACGCGCGTGTATATATATCTATATATATATTACAACAAACTTCCTTTCAAGAAAACATATTACATACATATAACTAACTGCAATTCCTACTATTCTCTATTTCCAGCTCTTGTTCGGCCATGGAAATAACAAACTCAAAACCCCATTTAGTATTCCTATCAAGCCCTGGCTTAGGCCACCTAATTCCAGTTCTTGAGTTAGGAAACCGCCTTGCCACTCTCTGCAACTTTGAAGTAACCATTTTTACAGTACCATCGAACACATCACAAGCTGAAACTCAACTTCTTCAATCAGCCATGACTGCAAAGATCTGCGAAATCATCCAACTCCCTCCGGTTGACATTTCCAGTCTCATCCAACCAGAAGCCGCCGTCGTTACCCAAATTTCTGTTATGATGCGTGAAATCCGCCCAGCTTTCCGTTCAGCTTTATCTGCTCTGAATTTTCGTCCCGCCGCCATAATCCTTGACCTGTTTGGAACTGAGTCTTTAGAGATTGCTAAAGAACTTGGGATTCCAAAATACGTTTATATGACTAATAATGCATGGTTTTTAGCTCTTACAATATACATACCTTTTCTTGATAAGGTGGTAGAAGGAGAGTTTGTTGATCAAAAAGAGAATCTCGAAATTCCGGGTTGCAGGCCAGTTCGACCGGAAGATGTTGTCGATCCGATGCTAGATAGGAGCAATCAACAGTATTTTGAGTATGTTCGTATTGGAAATGAAATCCCTAAAGCTGATGGGATATTGGTAAACACATGGGAAGCTTTAGAACCAACAACACTTGCAGCTCTTAGAGACGAGAACTTGTTGTACAAGACTACTAAGATTCCGGTTTTTCCAATCGGTCCAGTGAGAAGAGCGGTCGGAAAGGTTGAGGTTGGTTCAAAGTGTGAGTTGCTAAATTGGCTCGATAACCAGCCCAAGGAGTCAGTGGTTTATGTTTCATTTGGAAGCGGTGGTACACTCTCGTTTGAACAAATGCAGGAAATTGCTTATGGTCTTGAGATGAGTCACCAGAGATTTATTTGGGTAGTTCGCAGACCCAACATAGAAACTGGCGACAGTTCATTTTTTAATGTAGTCACACCAGAGAATTTATATTGGGTAGTTCGCAAGACCCAACATAGAAACTGGGACGACAGTTCATTTTTTACTACAGGAAACGCAAAGATTGGAAAGAACAGACGATATATCTAGGTAATTATTAAACAGCAGATGGTTTCTTAACGAAGAGACTAAATAATCGAGTCGTAGGTGATTTACCAGGGTGGGGCCCACAAGTTCAGATCAATTGGGCCAATACCATCAAACAGGGGGGGGGAACGGGGGGGATTAGGTGGACAGGGGGGGGTTGGATGGAGTGTTTTTATCGCACTGATGGATGGAATTCTATATTGGAGAGTCTGACCAATGGAGTGCCATTCAGACGGAAATGGCCATGGTATGGTAGCGGGGGCCGGAACAAAAGATTAAGAGTGCGAGGCGGGCTGTTAGAAGAGGAGGCTTGGGGGTGAGGGCGGTTAAAGCCGAAGATTTTACCGTCGAATGGAAGTGGTAAACAAGGGAAGAAATTGTAATGATGGATTAGAAAATTATGGCTGATGAAAGAGAAGGAGATAAAAATAAGAAAAAGAGTTTAAAGAAGTCAAAGAGAATTCAGAATATGAGCTTTAAATGAAAGGTGGTTTCCTCTGTGGTATGGCATTATACTTCATTTGCTGGGGAGTGCAAGAAAGGATGGAAACGATAGACTGATATTCCATCAAAATATTCATCAAACTAACCGATCTCAAAAATCGGCGGTAGAAAATATGAGATGGTTTATGTAATAAATAATATAAATGTTTCTCTTATTAGAAGATGGTTCCTCTTGGTCATTCTGTGTTTTGGCTTTTCCTAATTACAAAATGCAATAAGTGGTTTGCTTCCAACCCGATTCGAATTAATAAAAAGTAGGCATTAATGCCCAGATGCTTATAATTCTTGATCCTGTTAAAACTAATACTTCCTCCCTCTCAGCTTGTTATTCTTGTTTTGAAAGTTTATAAATTTATATATTTAAATAATTATTTTTTCCGATAATAACCATTTAGGTAACGATTGTCATTAAATAAAATATTTTCATTAATATTTTATTCAGTTAAGGTTAAGGATGAATAAAATAATTTTTATTGACTAATTCTTAATATGCGTATTTTGTTAAACTATCCAAACCAAATGGAACCGAGAGAGTACTTGCTTATATGCTTATATCAAATTTATGGTCCACTTATGGATTAAATTAATAAAAATAAAGATATTTTAAATTTTTTTCTACTTTTTTCTTTTTTTTTTCTAGTTTATGGTTACAAACCCTCAAGTTAAATTTAATTATAAGTCTCTTCTCCAATTCCAGCACTAACAATTGCACGTAAAAGAAACCTGAAGTCATCAAGATTCAGATCCTTGTTTCTTGCTGCGACTTTACCGCAGGATTTTGCGTCGAGTTTCCTGTCGTCTGTCGCCCTGAAACACTCATAAGCAAGCATATAGCAGGTGCGGTTTTTGTTCTTGAGCGCTAGCTTATAAATGTAGAAGGTAGTATAAAGAATACATATACATAGAAGGTAGATTATCAAGAAAATCTCCATGGCAGAAAGAGAGAAAGAGTTTATGCAATCTTTATATAGGACAAGAATAATAATAAGAGGGGAAGGTAGTAAATACGGGCGGGGGGAGAAGAATACATACTATCATAGAAGGTAGATTATCAAGAAAATCTCCATGGCACAGAAAGAGAGAAAGAGTTTAATGGCAAATCTGATTTATGATAGGAGCGGGAGAAATGAAGTAATCTTGAAGAGATGGGAGACAGCTTGTGGCATTTTCAAACCACATTTATATAATAGTTCAACAAGTCCAACGAAGAAGAAAATCATTTGGAAATGGAATAGTAGGTGGGAAATTGAATTGAGTTGGAATTGTCTTACAATATATAAGGAGCATATGTTGGTTTTAACGAACGTATTTTTTTGTTTTGTGGTGTTTAGGTAGGTGGTTTTTGTTTTTTGAGAAAGAAAAAAAGAGGGAAAAAAAAAAAAAAAAAAAGAGAGGGGAGAGAGGAGAGAGGTAAAAAGAAAGCAATAAAAATATTTTTTTTTTTTAAATAAAGAAATAAAATTTTAAACTTTTTAAATTTTTTAATTTTATTTTTTTTTTTGTTTTTGTTGTTTTTTTTTTTTTAAAAAAAAAATAAAAAAGATAATTGGTTTGGTTTGTTAGTGTTGTTTTTTTTTTTTTTTAAAAAGGAGAAGGAGAGTTTTTTTATTTTTGTTGTGGGTTTTTTGGGTGTTTGTGTAGGTGTTTGTTAAAGGAAAGAGGGAAGAAGGAAGAGAGGGCAAGAAGGAGAAAGATTTTTTTAAGGAGAAGAAGGAGGAGAGGCCGAAGATCAAAAGAGGAACAGGACGGAGAAGGGAGAAGGAGAAGAAGATAGGACGAGGAATAAAAATTTTAAATTTTTTTTTATTTGTTTTAATTTATTATTTTTTTTTTTTTTTTTTTAAAAAGAAAAATAGGGAGTGTTGAGGGGAGGAAGAAAGAGAGAGGGTAGGGGAGAGAAATTTTTTGTTTTTAAATTTTTGTGTTTAGGCGGGGAAGGACAAGGGGAAAGTGGGAGAAGAAATTTTTTTTTTTTTTTTTTTTTTTTTTTAAAAAGTAAAAAATAAAAGGGGGGAAAAAAAAAAAAGGAGAAAGAAGAGGGTAGAAGGAAGGAGAGAGGAGGGAAAAAAAAGAGGGAAGGGTGGAGTGTTGTGGTGTTGAGAAGAAAAAAAAAAAAAAAAAAAAGATAAAAAAAAATAAAAAAGAAAGGGAAGAGAAAAAAAAGGTTTTGGGATTTGTTTTTTGTTTGTGGTTGTTTTGTTAAGGGGTTTTTTTTATTTTTTTTTTTTTTATTTTTTTTTTTTTTTTTTTGTGTGTTTGTTTTTGTTGTGTGTGTGTGTTGGTTGTTGTTTTTTTAGTTTTTTTGTGTTGTTTGGTTAAAAATAAAAAAAAAAAAAGAAATATTGTTTTTTTTTTTTTTTTTTTTTTTTTTTTTAAGGAGAAGGGGGGGGGGGGAGTGGGAATAAAAGAGAAGGTTGGTTGTTGGTTGTGTGTTTGTGGTGTGTTTTGGGAAAAAAATTAGGGGGGAGGGGGGGAAGAGAGAAAATTAAAAAAAAAGTATTTTTTTGTGGTTTGTGGAGGTGTTTGGTTTTGTTGTGTTGTGTAGAAAAAGGGGGAGAAAATAAAAATAAAAAAAGTTTTTTTTTTTTTTCTTTTTTTTTAAAAAAAAAAATTTTTTTTTTTATTTTTTTTAATAAAAAAGGGGGTGGGAGGAAGGGGGAAGGGAAAGAGAAGGAGAAGAAAAAGAAAGGGAAAAAAAAAAGAAGGAAAAAAAAAAAAAATTTTTTATTTTTTTTTTTTTTTTTTTTAATAAGAAAAAAGGGGGAGGGGAGAGAGAAGGGGGAGGCGGAAGAGAGAGGGAATGTTTGGTTGTTTGTTTGTGGTTTGTGTTTTGTTAAGAGGGGAAGAAAAAAAAAAAAAAAAAAAGTATTGTCATATTGAACAATTGCTGTTTATCTTTATGCAATCTTTATATAGGACAAGAATAATAATCTTGAAGAGATGGAGAACATCTGTGCATTTCAAACCATTATATAATAGTTCAACAAGTCCAACGAAGAAGAAAATCATTTGGAAATGATAGTAGGTGGGAATTGAATTGATTAATTTCTTACAATATATAAGACAATATGTTTGTTTAACTATTTAATTGTCATATTGACAATTGCGTTTATCTTTTTCAGCAGCTTTTACGTATATGTATGGTTATTTGGTGAAAGGCATTAATTAAGAAGGAATGAACTTTTAGTGAAAAATGAAAGTTGCATTGACCTGAACGAAGAAAATTAGATCATTCTCATTTTTAAATTAATGCATTTAGCCAAAATTGATATATAAAACTAGCTAGGCAAATAATTTTCACTGCAGAAGTGGTTAGAACAATAACTATTTATTCCACGTACAGTCTATAGTGACGTCTTAACATATGTAATTTATTGGTAAGTGCATAAACGAATCGGAGGTTCAAATCGTTTGCGCAATTGTAATCTAGAGGTTCAACAAAAACTAATCTTCTACTATAATTGCAGTCCTCGTTGAACAACCGTTGGGTTATATAATCTAAGTTTAGAGTTCTTCTAGAAATGTAATCCACTTTTGTTAATCTAATTGTTTTATTGATTTATTACAAGTTTGCTTTTACATTGTTGTATAAATATAACATATATTTTATCAAAACTGAAAAAGACATATCCTTTTCTTTGGATCAAACTGAAATTTAAATCTTACAATCTTAAAATTTTGAAAAAGACAGAAACTAAGAAGCTTATTTGATTGCTAGTTCTGCCTCATGCATTGAAATTAAAGAAACAATACAAAGATCAATATAATATTGAAGGTCCAGTTTCTATATATAAAGTAAAAACTATAAATTAACTATGCATTATGTATGATAAGGTGACTGCCTGGGGTTTTGGTCCCTATTAACCTAGGCAGATGAACATTCATGTCTACGAAGTTTTAACTGAGCTTTTGACTTGTAACAGCTACAGTCATGATGCTTTAGTTTCTCAATTATTTTATCATTCATAATTGTTCTGGTTTTCAAATCTGCACTTTGCCAGGGCATATTCGGTCAGACTTTAAAATTAGCCAATAACCTCACGTCATACCGCTGAATATACGACGTACATTTATTGTTCAGCTGTGGATTTTTTTATTCTCTTTTCAAGAACAAAATATTTATTTATGCTATACAAGATTTTCATAGTGTTGGAATTTCATATCTCAGAACCTGGATACTATGAGGATGGGAACTTTGGTATAAGATTGGAGAATGTGCTTATAGTTAATGACGGCAATACCAAATTCAATTTTGGTATAAGATATTTTAAATTTTGGTTGATTTTGTTCATAATCATTTTTTATCTGTGGCATTTTTGAGCTTCGATCTAAAAAATCTTGTTAATCGGTTCTGAATCTGATAAAATTTTATTTGAAGAGATCTTTGTGTTTTTTCTTATCAATAGACTTGATTTCACTTTCTTAACATCCATTAACAGATATGTAGCCAATGGTTTTAAGAGGCAAAAATACGATCCTTGAGAAATATATATAGCCTCCAGGTTCAATATTATGTGCCAAAAGTTCTGCCAAAATTAGACTAATAATTCAAGTGATTTTCTGCGCGGTCCAGGTTGCAATATTGATGTGGCGCAAAGTTCTGCCAAAATTAGACTAATAATTCAAGTGATTTTTCTTACAGGGCTCTCAAGCCACCTCCACTGGGAGATTGCAAGGCAACTCCAAAACTCAGTGCATTTGTTCCTCTATTCAACCTAGCGCACAAATCCTAAATTTCCCCTAGTCCTGTCCTTCCTTAACCGGAATGTCAGGTGGGGCGCAGACGGATCCTCTTCATTTCCAGAGCCCTAATGCGTTCGAACGCAAATCCTTCCACATACCTTCTCCCTTTCCTCCGGTAAACATAGCTTCGATCCTGCAAACCTCCCCTCAGCTTAGAATAATACAATAGTGCTCCTGTAAATCCACCGCTTTCTTCCCCTAACTAATAGAAGTTCAAAGAAGGGAAAGGCTGATTGGGGAAAGTGCCGCGTTTTGTTCAAATGGGGTAGCCACTGAAGGACTCCGTGGTTCGCCTATCCCTTTTTCCTGTCTCCTGCCCCTTCAAGCCCTACACGACGCCAGCATCTTACGACGCAGCTACTATAACCAGAATGTGACTGTCTCTGCCCCTTCAAGCCCTACACGACGCCAGCATCTTACACCAGCTACTATACCAGAATGTGATGAATCGGATGCCTCAACTGTTGATTCTGGTCGCTGGGTGAGTTTTCAGGCTGTTGCTCCTCAAGTAGCTCCTCCTTCACCGACGTTTAATCTTGTCAAACCAATTGGTCAGCAGAGTATGTTTCAGGATGGAATTGATCATGGGCATGGAGGATTTGGTTGGGGGGCAGGTGCAGAGAGGGGAAGAGGGTCAGAGTTTGAATTTGAGAATGGCAGGGTGAAGCCATGGGAAGGTGAGAGGATCCATGAAATAGGAGTGGATGATCTCGAGCTCACACCTGGGAGCGCAAAGGCTCATGGTTAAGCCAGTGATTGCTCTTAAGTTTGGGAATTTAACAAGAAGGGAAATAATTGGAGGTTGTGCATTCTCAATGGTAAACTTGGTTTACCTTAGCCAAGCTGAATTGGCGATGCTGGGAGAATGCATGTGAGTTGTGTGATTCTGGGAAGGCCTCATTATATATTTCCTTGTAGATGTACAGTTCCTTTTTCTTGGAGCAATGGCAGGAATCTGTATCTATCTGATTCAACTCATTGGCAGCCTTCCTGGAAGGACCATATAAGGTCCCCAAATTTTCATATGGGGAAAAGACTGGTGCAAGTGATTTAGAAGGTTGTATTCTTCGTTAATCTGTTTATGTTTAGAGTATTTCTTTCAACTCTACATTGATGATTATAGTATCCTATTTAAATTGTCATTAGGATGACCTTTACTAGCTTCAATCAAGAGCAAAGATTGTGTACTAAACTTATCTGGGATTTGAGTTTATATAATCTGTAGGCTTGAAGAAACACAAACTTAAACTATTTGAAGCCGATCATTTTTACTTTTCAATAGATGAGTTTATATAATCTGTAGGCTTGAAGAAACACAAACTTAAACTATTTGAAGCCGATCATTTTTACTTTTCAATAGATTGTAGTCTTGTTGGCAATGCATTTGGGTATTGGATGCTGCTCTTTTATAACTTATGAGCTAATGTTCAGCATAGTATACTTATGCTATTTTATCTTTTTCTGCTTTGGCTTATAAATGTGGCTAACACTCCAAACTGAACTGAGCTAACTATGGCTAAAGGAAACACAATTTTAATGTCCTGCAGTAAGAAGCTCATCATCCTACTTGGCTTGTAGGAGAAGAGCCTGTGTTGATAACAAATCTTAAGACTGTTTGACAAAGTTTTAAAAATGTGTTGATAACAAATCTTAAGACTGTTTGACAAAGTTTTAAAAATTTTAATTCTAGAATTTGGAAAAACTATGTTTCTAATGTCATAATCTTAAAAAGTATATTTTGCAATTAGATGGAAGAAAATATGTGGAAAAGATAGAGAAGCTCATTTAAATATTTAGTTTTAGCAGAAGAGCTCTTAGATGTGTTTTGCCCCAAAGACAAGGCCTGCAGCTACTGAAAGAACTTGGATAATTTGGTTGTAATTTAGTTTGGAAGAACTAGTAGGCCCATTTCTTGGTATGTGAAAGTTTTGTTTGTTGTGAATGGATGATGCATACCAAACTGACTTTCTGCAATTTTTTGTGGCGTTTTGTGGGTCAAAGGAGCATCTTAGAAGAAGGGACCCCTTCCCCACGTGATGTGTGTCTCATGAGGCATGTCACCTTCGATATTGTAATGTACCAGCCAATTTTGTGGCTTCCGAGTTCCAGTTCTTAATTATTGATTTATCTTCTTTGAATAATGTTAGCAATGTGATAAGCCTGATTATTGACTGGAGTACTTTCTATGTCCACATGATCTTGTGGTTCTTGAATTAATTTCCTTTTTAACTTCAACATTATCTCGTATTTTCAAGATCTTGATATGATTTATCATTAGATACTGGTAAGAGAAAAAAGGGAAGCTAGTTCTTTTTATTTCACATTTGACATGCAATATCATGTTTATAAATATCATGATCTCTTTGAACTTTTTTAGTTTAATATTTTAGCATCCTTAACTTTTAGTTTGATCCATTAAACTTTTAGTTTGATCCATTAAATACTTAGAGTATTTCCGACGCAATCATGGATCGTGGCACTTTTAGTTTGATCCATTAAATACTTAGAGTATTTCCGACGCAATCATGGATCGTGGCACTTTTAGTTTGATCCATTAAATACTTAGAGTATTTCCGACGCAATCATGGATCGTGGCTGATGTGTCTTAATAAATAGAAGTTGTGGATAGCGATATAGTTAAATGTGTATTTGTAGATGTTAGATTTTAAAGAAGAACCAATGCATGAAGAAGAACCAATTTCAGTGCAAGAAGAAATTTGTGTGGGAATAAAAGAGAAGACATAAAGGAAAATAAAAAATAAGAAAAGAAAATCGAGTCGCGCAGTCGAACAGGCTCTCTGAAAACGGAAGGCGTGATGGACAACGTCTTTTTTTTTTTTTACACATCAGACTCGCACACTTAACATATAACAACGTTGAAGAAAGTTTTTGTTTTTAACTTTCAATTTTTTAGACCTAGCAAATAAATTAAAATAATCTATGATTTTACGGGGAAAGAAAGAATTGAAAGGGAAAGAGCTTGTCAACTCTTTACAAACCAAATGGACTTTCTACACATAAGAGTATATTTGGGCATGTTATTACGTTGGAGATGGTTAAATACACAAATTAACTCCTGAATTTTACAATTTTAACTCTTACTTTTTAAACTTCAAGATGATGAATTGTGTATTTAAACTTACAAATTTTGATAATTGCATACCTCTTCACACTGACTGTAATAGATTTTAGTGTTTTGGTCTTTTATATGTAAAATATTGAATTAGTGTAATTTTTAGAATAATAATTTTAAAATTTTAAACTATTTAGTAGGTGTTTAATTGATTTAATTTTACAGGTTGAAGTGTTTAATAAAATAATTTTGCAAATTGAAATGTTTAATTAATATAATTTTATATATTCAAATATTTGATGAGTCAAACTAAAAATTAAATGTGACACAAAGTTAAAATAATAAAGTTGAGTTGAAGTTAAAGTAATATATAAAGTTGAGCTACTCTTTGTTTGTAATTAGTGATACAAGTCTTATAGGCCTTTCGAATTGAATTTATTATTCTTTATTGCTTTTAATTCTCTAAAAGGTTGTTTCGTCCTTTTTGTAATGAATTTCTTGGCTGAATTTAAATGGAATGGATTCTAATTTGAATGGAGTTGTAATTGGATTGGAGATCAATTTTGTTTTCTATATTTTATTATTGCTTTATGAAATACTTTTTTTGTTCCATTTTATTTGCATAATTTTATAAAACATGTATATTAAAAATTTAGTCAATAAAAATTATTTTATCTTTCTTTATGCTTAACTTGTTAATCTATTAATAAAAGTCATTCATTTAATGAATAATCATAAAAGTTATTATAGAAAAATAATTTTTTAAATATATAAATTTAATCATAAAAGTTATTATTAGAAAAATAATTTTATATATAAATTTAAAAAAATTATAAAACTATTTTGGTGACATGCTGAAAAGCAATAACGAAAGCAAATGAAATGGGACAGAGGGAGTATTGAATTAAAAATAATTTTTTAAATATATAAATTTAAAAAATTTATAAATATTTGGTGACATCTGAAAAAGCAATAACAAGCAAATGAAATGGGACAGAGGGAGTATTAATTACTTATGCTTAGGTGACCAATTTAGACTTATTGTCAAATCCAATATTAATTGGATCTGAATAACCAATTGTACCAAAATATATCCAAAATTAACTAAGTGTACAAAAATCATATCCAAAATTAACCAAGTGTCCAAAAATGATACACACCATTCAATGTATAATTATTGATTCAATTGAATTAACCCCAAGATGTGACATTATTCAATTGTTGAATCTCTCTTGTAAGTAGTAGCCAACTAGACAATCCAAACACTAGCTCACATAACTTTAGCTCGAACCCAGTAGTATAAAGGTTTTTAAGCTGCACTTCTCAAGAATCAAATCTGTATTCTCACTCTAACAGGGATTAAAGTCGCTGACCACCTTAATTAATATATTATTGATTATTAAACAACTTTTATTAATCAATCTAAGATAATTGATGATTTTTATGGCTAATTAGAATATGATCATAAAAAAAATTTAAAACGTAATTTCTAAATGCATAAGTATATCCGTACACTTTAATAAAAGAAATTTCATGGCATTCAAATAATACGAGAAACCTTTCATATCCATATTTTGATAATAGTGCATTTTTCACATACTAGCAATAATTTTTTATTCTTTAGTTTTTATACATATGTATAATATGGATTGATGTGTAGGGTTATACAACTTTTTGTAAATAGTTTTCATGTTTTTTAATTATTTAATAAATATATTAATTGATCAAATTTCACAAATTGAAACATTTAATGGAAAAGTTTTTACAAATTGAAATTTTTATACGCCATTTTATAAATTGAAATATCAATTAATCAAAATAAAAATTACAAGTATGATAATTTTTTTTATAAAATATATAATATGTTTATGCATTTAACAAAAGAAAAATAATAAAAAAGTTATTATCAACACTACTGGATAATCAAGTGTATAATCGTAGCACGCGCGTGTATATATATCTATATATATATTACAACAAACTTCCTTTCAAGAAAACAAATTACATACATATAACTAACTGCAATTCCTACTATTCTCTATTTCCAGCTCTTGTTCGGCCATGGAAATAACAAACTCAAAACCCCATTTAGTATTCCTATCAAGCCCTGGCTTAGGCCACCTAATTCCGGTTCTTGAATTAGGAAACCGCCTTGTCACTCTCTGCAACTTTGAAGTAACCATTTTTACAGTACTGTCGAACACATCACAAACTGAAACTCAACTTCTTCAATCAGCCATGACTGCAAAGATCTGCGAAATCATCCAACTCCCTCCGGTTGACATTTCCAGTCTCATCCAACCAGAAGCCGCCGTCGTTACCCAAATTTCTGTTATGATGCGTGAAATCCGCCCAGCTTTCCGTTCAGCTTTATCTGCTCTGAATTTTCGTCCCGCCGCCATAATCATCGACCTGTTTGGAACTGAGTCTTTAGAGATTGCTAAAGAACTTGGGATTCCAAAATACGTTTATATGCCTAATAATGCATGGTTTTTAGCTCTTACAATATATTTACCTTTTCTTGATCAGGTGGTAGAAGGAGAGTTTGTTGATCAAAAAGAGAATCTCGAAATTCCGGGTTGCAGGCCAGTTCGACCGGAAGATGTTGTCGATCCGATGCTAGACAGGAGCAATCAACAGTATTTTGAGTATGTTCGTGTTGGAAATGAAATCCCTAAAGCTGATGGGATATTGGTGAACACATGGGAAGCTTTAGAACCTACAACACTTGCAGCTCTTAGAGACGAGAACTTGTTGTACAAGACTATTAAGATTCCGGTTTTTCCAATCGGTCCAGTTCGAAGAGCGGTCGGAAAGGTTCAGGTTGGTTCAAAGTGTGAGTTACTAAATTGGCTCGATAACCAACCCAAGGAGTCAGTGGTTTATGTTTCATTTGGAAGCGGTGGAACACTCTCGTTTGAACAAATGCAGGAAATTGCTTATGGTCTTGAGATGAGTCACCAGAGATTTATTTGGGTAGTTCGCAGACCCACCATAGAAACTGGCGACAGTTCATTTTTTACTACAGGAAACGTTGGAGACGACGATAAGTGGTTTATGTTTCATTTGGAAGCGGTGGTACACTCTCGTTTGAACAAATGCAGGAAATTGCTTATGGTCTTGAGATGAGTCACCAGAGATTTATTTGGGTAGTTCGCAGACCCAACATAGAAACTGGCGACAGTTCATTTTTTACTACAGGAAACGTTGGAGACGACGATATATCTAGGTATTTACCAGATGGATTCTTAACAAGGACTAAAAATATCGGTCGTGTGATTCCAGGGTGGGGCCCACAAGTTCAGATCATTGGCCATCCATCAACTGGAGTGTTTTTATCGCACTGTGGATGGAATTCTATATTGGAGAGTCTGACCAATGGAGTGCCAATCATCGGATGGCCATTATACGCCGAACAAAGATTAAATGCGACGCTGTTAGAAGAGGAGCTTGGGGTAGCGGTTAAACCGAAGATTTTACCGTCGAATGGAGTGGTAAAAAGGGAAGAAATTGTAATGATGATTAGAAAAATTATGGCTGATGAAGAAGAAGGAGATAAAATAAGAAAAAGAGTTAAAGAAGTCAAAGAGAATTCAGAAAGAGCTTTAAATGAAGGTGGTTCCTCTTGTAATGCATTATCTTCATTTGCTGGGGAGTGCAAGAAAGGATGGAAACGATAGACTATATTCATCAAACTAACCGATCTCAAAAATGGAGGTAGAAAATATGAGAAGGTTTATGTAATAAATAATATAAATGTTTCTCTTATTAGAAGATGGTTCCTCTTGGTCATTCTGTGTTTTGGCTTTTCCTAATTACAAAATGCAATAAGTGGTTTGCTTCCTACCAGATTCCAATTAATAAAATGTAGGCGTTAATGCCAAATGCTTAAGATTCTTGATACTGTTAAAACTAATACTTACTCTGTCTTATTTTGATTATTTTGTTTTTTTGTTATTATTGTTTTGAAAGTTTATAAATTTATATATTTAAATAATTATTTTTTCAATTATAATCTTTTAGGTCATGATTGTCATTAAATAAAATATTTTTATTAATATCTTATTCAGTTAAGGTTAAGGATGAGTAAATTAATTTTTATTGATTAATTCTTAATATGCGTTGTTTATTAAACTATCCAAATCAAATAGAACCGAGAGAGTACTTGCTTATATGCTTATATATCAAATTTATGGTCAAACTTATGCATTAAATTAATGAAAATAAAGATATTTTAAAAATTTTTTCTACTTTATTCTCTCTTTTATTTTTTTTTTTCTAGTTTATGGTTACAAACCGTCAAGTTTTGTTTGCATTTTTTATTAGGACCCACAACAAGGTAGGGCCAGTTGTACCAATGTGGGCCCCACAGAGGGAGATATTGACCCATGTAGCAGTGGGTGGGTTTTTTGATCCATTGCGGTTGGAATTCAAGTCTTGAAGTATCACTAAATGGAGTGCCAATGATCGCGTGGCCATTATAAGCAGAGCAAAAACTGAATGCAGCTTTGTTGTCGGAGGAGCTTCCCGTGATAGTACGACCAAAAACAAATTCGACATGGGGCATAATTGGAAGAGAAGAGATAGAGATGATGGTTACAAAGATCATAGAGAACAAAGAAATGAGAAATAGAGTAAAAATACTTAAAATGTTTGCAGAAAAAGCTTCAAGCAAAGGTGGTTCCTCCTATAACTCACTTTCTTTAGTAGACAAAGAGTGTGAGTATAGTCTCCCCGCCCTAAATTCAACCTTTAAGGCGCCTAATTACCAGACAACATTTCACGACAAAACATTCTCCTGTTATAGAATATTATGAAAGGTTGTTATTCAATGCCCATATATCATGTTAAAATGGGTCACTTACATTTTTACAAGCGTAGGAGTTCTGTTCTGCAGGTGTTTTTTTCAGCAAGTGTTTTGTGGGTTTTGGAGAAAGAAGCATAGAGGAAGTGAGAATTGTTGGCAGAGAAGATAATGACATATACTCTATCAATGGGTTTTGTATGTTAGGAAAAAAATATTAAATATTGATAATTGAAAACAATAATACAATTCTATACGTATAATACTATGTATAAATGAATTTGTTCTTCATTTGATTGATTGAAGAGGTACTATTTCCTGGAGATTTCTTTTTCATATGCAAGTTCTCTAATTTCATTGTGGAAAGTTTATCTTTGACTGGATATGAAAAATTCACTTGGAGTCTCAAATTGAAATATATTAATGTCAAAAAAATGTACTGTTTTGCAAGTGTATGTTTCGTTTTTGATTTTCTTATATCAAAAATAGAACTAATAATTGCATAGTTGATTACTATTTGCTGTTAAGTGCTTTCAATCTTTCACACACTCTTCTATTTAAAAGGAATTTCCAAGATTATGAGTTCATTTTGAGAATTTTGGGTGACTGTAGTCCCTCAAACCCCTATGTAACTCCATCCTTAAGTGGAAATAACATTTTGTAAAGAAATCCAAATTTTAGAAACTTAAGCAGCCTGTATATAATGTAAGAATTTTGGGTGATGGTAGTCCCTCAAAACCCTATGTACTCCCCATCGCCTTAAGTGAAAATAACATTTTGTAAAGAAAATCCAAATTTTTAGAAACTGTAAGCAGCCTGTATAAGTAATGTAAAATATATATATATATATATATTATAAACGACATATATATATATATATATATACACATACATGTCCACAACTTGATTAAGACTCATGTCTCTCCGTCAAATTAATATTCTTATGTGGTAACTTGATGATAAAAAATTAAACATTTATAACCCTAAAGAAATTAATTGTTTCACATCTGGATATAATTTAATAATAAATGTATATATGATTTGTCAAATGAAAAAAAAAGTTATATATACTAATACAAATTTAAAACAATTTTCCTCTGAAATGGAAAAAAAAAAAGTTATACTGTATAAGCAAACATGCTTCAGCTTTTGTATGTTTATATAAATATATATAAATTGACACATCCAATATATTAAAATACAAAACCTTTCGTACAAAATTAAGCAATATGACTAAAACAATAATAGTTATCGTTTTACTTAATTTAGATTGACAACATACTTATTATCAATGACTTTGTATATCTGGTTCAAAAAAAAAAAAAAAAAATTGTATATCACTAAAGAAAACTAATTTGAAATGGGAATTTAAACTATATATATATGCGTTTTAATTAGTTTAACCCATGGTTGAGTTCATAGACTCTGTTTAAAAAAGTTTTTAACCAATTTCGGATTGAATGGAATCGTCAAGTAGTTCATTCTCATCAATTTAAACGCTAAATGCTTCCAGAAAAGTAAATTTGTATTAAAGAAAATAATGATAACGCTGGTTTGTGAGGGGAGAACATCTGTTCCCAAATTTGAAGGCTTCGATCAAATTTCAAACAATTCCAAATTCTTTACCAAGCAAGCAGATAATCCATGTGGTTATAAATACCTTAGCAACAGAGAGACCACAACACATCAAAATTTAAGAACCAAAAAGATAACCGCTTCAAGAGTCTTCTTCTTCTTCTTCTTCTTTAGCCATGCAAAACACAAAGCCTCATGCAGCTATGCTAGCCAGCCCTGGCATGGGCCATCTCATCCCTGTCCTTGAGCTTGGAAAGCGCCTTATCACCCACCATAACTTCCAAGTCACCATTTTTATCGTTGCAAGTGATTCTTCTACCACAAAATCTCTTCTCAAATCAACAAACCCTAATCTCACCATTGTTGCACTTCCTTTAGTAGATATCCCTGCTCTAGTTAACCCAAATGATAATATAGTAACAAAGATTGTTGTCTTTATGCGTCAGTCCTTACCATTTCTCCGTTCATCCATATCGGCTATGAAATCCCGGCCGACGGTTTTAGTTGTCGACTTATTCGGTACCGAAGCTTTTCCTATAGCAGATGAATTTCATATGTTAAAGTATGTTTTTGTAACTTCAAATGAATGGTTTCTTGCAATAGCTATATATTCACCAACAGTTCATAATTTGGTTCAAGTACACGTGAACCGGAAACAACCGTTAGAAATTCCAGGTTTCCGACCGGTTAGGTTCGAGGATACGATTGAAGCGTACCCAATTATGAATTTCGATCGGGTTTATGGTGAATTTTCACGTGTTGGAATTGAAATACCAATGTCTGATGGGATTTTGATTAATACATGGGAGGATTTGGATCCATCAACGCTTGAAGCTTTAAGAGATGATAACAAGTTAGGGAATGTGACTCGGGTTCCAGTTTATCCAGTTGGTCCACTGGTTAGACCGGTTGAGTTTGCAGTTCACGGAAACCCAGAGATATTAAAATGGCTCGAGTTGCAACCTAGTGAGTCAGTGATTTACGTGTCATTTGGTAGCGGTGGGACAATCTCTGAAGAGCAAATGATAGAGCTGGCATGGGGATTGGAGCTGAGTCAGCAAAGATTTATTTGGGTGGTGAGGCCACCAGTGAATGGCGATGTATCCGCATCATATTTCACCGTAGGACAAGAATCCGATGCGATTAAAAGTTATTTCCCAGATGGATTTTTGAGTAGGACCCACAACAAGGCAGGGCTTGTTGTGCCAATATGGGCTCCACAAAGGGAGATATTGGCCCACGTGGAAGTGGGCGGGTTTTTGACCCATTGTGGTTGGAATTCAAGTCTTGAAAGTATTACTAATGGAGTCCCAATGATCGCCTGGCCATTATACGCAGAGCAAAAACTGAATGCAGCTTTATTGGCGGAGGAGCTTAGGGTGGCCGTGCGACCAAAAACAAATCCGACGGAGGGTATAATTGGAAGAGAAGAGATAGAGATGATGGTTAGAAATATTATGGAGGACAAAGAAATGAGAAATAGAGTTAAAATGCTTAAAAATAGTGCAGAGAAGGCTTTAAGCAAAGGTGGTACCTCTTATAATTCACTCTCTTTAGTGGCCAAAGAAATCAAGGTTCACGGGTTCTAATCACATGACAGAATTGCATTTTGCCGTTTCATAATAAAACATTGTCGTTTCACTATAAAACATTGTCATATTATAGCCTTATGCATTGTGTTTTTCTAAAAAGTCAATTGATGAAATAAAAGAATGTGTGTTTGTGTTGCTGTTTCTATTGTATTGTTACTTGCTAATACAAATTTCCTTATAGCAGAAATAGATATAAACATAAAAAATATGTGAAGGAAAAAATTCTCACATTGACTTTTTTCTTTTTGTTCTTGTAAATTTTCCTTGCAGACCTCTCGAAGGGAGCTGGTGAATGGAAAAATCATCATGGCATTTATATATTTAGAAATTAAAAAGTCAATAAATGAAATCTCCCAATTCCTCTCTCTCTCTCTCTATATATATATTAATATATATAGGGTTCACTTGGGCAGTTTGTTCTAAAATGAGCCTATTTTTTATTCACTAGAAATATGTTTAGGTAACCAATATTTTGAAAAGTAACTTCGACCAATTTCTGAGTTTAAGCCTGACACTCTTTCGCTAAATATACCAGACAATGACTTGACTGCTCCCTCCAAAATTCTTGGTCAACTGAAGACCTTCTACACATATTCTAAAAAGAATAATTTAGTCCAATATTTTTAAAAGCAACTTCAAAACACAAATTTATTTTCTCACTGTACAAATGCCTTTCAAATACACACCCTTTTGGCAAATGCTTTTAAAACAACACCACTTGAGTAGTTTTTTTTTTTATTTTTTTAATTCCACACCATTTAGGAAAAATGCTCAAATTTAGAAATTATAACATAAATGCATTGAAAAACTTGCAGAACTCAGGCCTATGTACTAATATCATGAATACAATAATAATCACCAGTGAAAACTAAAATAGCAATATCCAGATGATGCTCGTCATGCGAGTAATGAACTGAAGTCTCTTTTCTCCTTATTTTTATTTTTACACAGAGAGCAGAGCAGTAATAAACCCTCTGGTTTATAGAAGTCAAGATCAGACGGCAATAGGTTCAGTGGCTTTCTTCAACCATGCCTTCTCAGATTCATCCAAATATGGAGCCAGAATATCTCTACATCTCGAATGATAGGTGTTCAGCCAATCTATCTCATCCGGCACTAATAGGCTCACATCGATTAACTTACTTTGATATGGTGCCTAGACATCAAAACATCATCAACGTTAATATTAAAGATCAGCTGCAGCAAACCTGTTTTGCAATAACTCTTAAATAGACGAATACACATCTGAATTTCATGATAAGGAAAAATACGAAGAATATACACTTAAAAATTACATCAACATGAATGATTCCCTCTTTTGCAACTAACTAATATAATTGAGCTAAATCACTTTCTTGTTGGATTTCAAATACAAAGTCTTCCTTTGAGAATCAAAACAATTGACATCACCAAAAGCATAAAAAGAATTGAAGCATAATTAAACTCATTAACACATAAATTGGGAAGAAGATTTAGATATTCACATAGCTTACCCAAGTTATGTGCTCAAATGATAGATAGCCCTTGTCACCAAAATTGAATTTTGTATTGCCGTCATTAACTATAAGCACATTCTCCAATCTTATACCAAAGTTCCCATCCTCATAGTATCCAGGTTCTGAGATATGAAATTCCAACACTATGAAAATCTTGTCCAGCATAAATAAATATTTTGTTCTTGAAAAGAGAATAACAAAATGCACAGCTGAACAATAAATGTACGTCGTATATCACAGATAGCGCTTACCAAGTTAAATGGGTGGCTCAAAATGATAGATAGCCTTGTCACCAAAAAATTGGAATTTTGTATTGGCCCGTCATTAACTATAAGCACATTCTCGCCAATCCTTATTATCCAAAGTTCCCCATCCTCATAAGTTATCTCAGGTTTGAGATATGAAATTCCAACACTATGAAAATCTTTGTTCCTAGCATAAATAGAAATATTTTGTTCTTGAAAAAGAGAATAACAAAAATGCACAGCTGTAAACATAAATTGTACGTCGTATATTCAGCGGTACTGAAGAGGTGAGGTTACATGCTAATTTTTTAAAGTCTGAACCGAATATGCCCCCTGCAAAGTGCAAGATTTGAAAAACCAGATAAATGTACGTCGTATATTCAGCGGTATGAGGTGAGGTTACTGGCTAATTTTAAAGTCTGACCGAATATGCCCTGCCAAAGTGCAGATTTGAAAACCAGAACAATTATGCATGATAAAATAATTGAGAAACTAAAGCATCATGACTGCAGCTGTTACAAGTCAAAAGCTCAGTTAAACTTCGGGTGTGAACTTCGTGGACATGAATGTTCATCTGCCTAGGTTAATAGGGACCAAAACCCCAGGCAGTCACCTTATCATACATAGAAATACAGAAGTAAAATTCAATTAGTTAAACCTAGTATATGACAATTTTTGTTTTGTCCAACTGAAACTTTTCTTCCAGAATCATAACAAAATTCAAGAAAGAGCATGATACTAACCATCTGTTACAGTCATGGAAGCCTGCAGAGGCACATTACGAGCCTGTGGCCTGAAACTAATCAAATGGGGCCCTGCTCCAGATAAATCCACTGATGAGCTTATATACTATCATAATAAAATATCAGCAAAAGGCATACAGTTGCAGTTCATCAACCTTCATGAACATTCAGGTAAGACCCAATTCCATGACCAGTACCATGCCGATAATCAAGACCATCCTTCCATAAAGGGATTCTCGCAAGAATGTCAAGGGCATGACCTGTGAAATTTGGTCAATGAAAGAGTAAAATCAAAATAAGTAGAACTTGTCTAGAAACTAAAACAGCTAATATTTTTATATATCAAAGCATCAAGGAAAAGAACAGTAAAAGTTGCAATACCATTAGTCCCATTAGGAAATCGAGCGTTACCAAGGGCGATATGGCCCTTGAGAACCTGCATGGTTCCAATTTCTTATATTAACATTCAAATATAACAATCATAATAAAATCAAAGCAGTAGTTACTTCCCTTAATGGACAATGAAAGAAAATAAGGCATGAATAAAACAATAACCAAAAAAAAATGCAAAAAATCAAAAAATTCAACTCAGATTAAAATTAGGAGATGAGAAACAGGTTATTGTTAGTGATATCAGAACTATAAAGAGCTGAATTCCCAAGCAAGTAACGTCTCTATAGCAAGCAACTGAAGGCACCTACCGCAGTATAGCATGCTTTTTCATGAGCTGATGGCTTTCCGAAATGGACCGTGCGAGTTATATCAGTTGTTCCATCCAGATACTTCATTCATTCCATCAAAAGTATTAATAAAAAAAATATAAATCATCATTAAGCAAATAGCAATAGCAAAACTATATGTATGACAAACCTGAGCTCCAGAATCAAACAGATAGATGCTATTTGGATCAAGCTCAGCACATGTTTCGGCCTGTGGAGAGTAGTGGATGATTGCGGCATTTGGACCCACGGATGAAATTGTTGGGAAACTTAAGCCTCTAAAAAGCTGTGATTAAGACAAATAAGAAATAGAATCACGTTAACCAATTCCTGCACACAAATAGAGATAAAATGCTGCACTAAATCATCAAATTTCAGAGACTGTAAAACAATCTTTTCCTTTTCATCTTCTGTCCTAGCAACTGATGTATAACCATCATGCCAAATGATAAGAAACAAAGTGATGTATTATCAAAATGGCAATACCAGCTAGATGCATCTCAATGCCCGCTCAATATCTACAGCATAGAGCGCCACTTCCAAAATGACTATAGAAAGTTTTCTGGATCCTTCTACCCACCAGATAAAAGAAAAAAAAAAAAAAAAAAAGAAAGTTTTCTGGATCCTTCTACCCCAAGATTAAAAGAAAAAAAAAAAAAAAAAAAGACAGGAAAACTCTCGTATGAAAAGCACGCCCAATATAGAAAAACTGATAAAGAAAAGCCATCAAAAAAAAAAAAAAAAAAAAAAAGACAGGACAAACTCTCTATGAAAGCACGCCCAAATAGAAACTGATAAAGCCATCATAATTGATTTAAATGAAGTGTATAGCACCCAACAAGATGCAGGATGTTTGATCATGCCAATTCATGGAGTCCAAGAAAAACAATTATATGAGTTATAAATCATTCAACCATTACATTTTGGCAATTTGGCTTTTTCTTAGGAAACTAGCTTCCTGTTGCGATTTTCCTGGCTATAATTCATAAAATATATAGTTCAGGACTATTTAGAAATTTTGTTTTCGATAGGGATTGTATCATTCAGAAGGTTGCCTATGTAATATATTCTGATTCATTCCTGAAGGTTAGCATGCATAGTTTTCCCTCTCCTCTTTTCTCTCCTCTCTTCTTCTCCTTTCCTTCTGCAATTACAGAATTATCCTTTCTTCTGTTGCTAAGAGCATAGGGTAGAGTTTACAATTCTGAAACAGCCTCAAAGTTCTTTGTTTTCCTCACTCTAGCCAACTAATTAAATTTCCTAATCCAACACTCTTTCTTTTGCATTAAATCTTACCTCACAATTCATCAAATGCCTAAGCCTTTCCCACCATAAAAGCATTAGTAGGATGGTTCTTTAACCTGTCCTACATCATCAATGACAGTAAATTTTAAAATCTTCAGTAGTAAAGGATCAGAGAAAAGAAGACTTGATAAAATCTGGATTGATATGAATAGATCTCCATCCTCTTGATCAAACATGTCCCATCAAACAGTCAGAAAACGTCATTTAACAGTTAACACAGTGCTCTCTCTTTTCTAAATGCAATAATTGCCAAATGTGTCAAATGAAAATAAGATTGCATTAAAAAGAATGGAAAACATCAGATTCTCAAAACTAGAAACCAAAATTTTTATCATCAACAACACAATATTACCGTCACTAGCAGCAAAAGATTTTCTATAGCAACAGATGACACAAAAATGTTCTAAAATGACATTTAATTTATCTAGTTTACCAACAAAAAGATTTTTGTCTAGTTATATTCTGTTCAAATTACCTCTTTAGATGCTCGAAAACTTTCCAGCTTATCGCTTACAGTCACCTCTGTCAGTTTTCCAGTTTCCCTGTGATAGAAAATTTCAGTAACATAAAAAAAAATGGATGACTTATGTCAAGTTTCACTCGGTTTGCTTGTTTTCACTGTTCAGCAATGCAGAAGGGTTAGAAAGACACCCACATAGAAGAGGGAAGAGAGAGTGAGAGAGAGAAATCCACTTTAAATTAAAATTGGACAAACAAAAGAACAATGAAGTAATCCCAGAGTCCTTTACACCAAATGTGCAACCAGTTAGCTTACTTTCTGACAAAAATAGCAATCAATGTATTGATGGGACAGTAATTATTTGATGCTCAAATTAAGCATCTCTGGCATACCATTACTATTTATTGGTGAACTGGTTTCCGTGATTACTTATGGAACAATTTTAATAGAAGGATACAATACTAGCAAATGTAATCTTCAGGGATCAACTGTCAGTAAACTTTATTTGCGTTCTTCTCAACATAGAAGTTGATCCTATCAAGCAAAGTGGATAAACTAAACACAGCCAAAGAGAAACAAATGGTCTATACCATTTCCAACCAGTGGAGTGGACAACCGAAAAGGCTTTTGATCACAGGTTCCATTTCAACTTGCCAATGAAATGCTAAACAAGATATGATACAAGGTGGTAGAGATGTAACTGCTAGTAATGCAACTTCAGATTATGTTTCCATTGCATATTACTCAAGTAGATATTTAATAACATGAGATAGAATTCCCTCATGTAATTTTTGTCATAGTGCTTATGAACATCTGAGACAATGATATATATTTTGAGTATTGCTGCTTATTATATATGCCAAACACATCCAATATAACCTACTTTGTACAATCCGGTCATATTAGATTTCTGGTGCAACATTTCCCACTATGACATTACAGATACCAACTAGGAATTTAAACAATAGCCATAAGGTGCCAGCATGAAAATAAACACTTACAAATCCTTTTTCTTGTTTGCACTTCCACCTTCCAAGAAGTAACCAGAAGCTCCATAAATATCCTGCATCTGCACAATTAAAACAAGTGTTCACATCATCTTTGAAAATGTAGTTGCATCAGTAAGTAGTCTAATAAAATGGTAAGATTTAAAGTAGAAAAATTATAAAGCAGCAGTAATCGTAAAGAGAACATGCAAAGTTTAGAGAACCTGGAGTATACCTGCTTATCCAACCAGACAAGATATTGCACAACAGCAGCACCATCACGAATGTGCGCCTTTCTTAATCCATCCAACTCAACTGGGTTCTAAAATAACAAACAATCAATTAATGGATGGAAATTAGTTCTGAGGTAGGTTACTATGAATACATAAAATAAAACAATTTCATTATTTTCCAATTATTGCATAGACCATGCCAAGGCCTTATATGGTTCTTTAGATTTTGTTTATCAGTCATGGTTTCAAGAAAGCAAAATAAATCAGATATCAGCAAGAAACTTCAATAACCTAATAATAAAAATAGTACAATATTCTCCATTAGACATCAAAATTGATATGTATTAGAACTTATCATCATTAAGAAAAAAGTTCTAATAACTACGAATTGGCCTGTCGCCAGGGATTTTAAATAACATCCATTGACATTTCAGTCTATTACTTAATAACCATTTCTGATCATGGCCTTCTAAATGGAATAAATTATAAGATCACATTGTCTTAATTTATGGCTAGATAACTTCGTTAGAATAAAGATATCCTGTGCATATGCTACCTTTAAAGCTTTTGCGAGGGCCAAAGGTGACTGCTTCAGGAGCACTTTCTCAGAATTCAACTTTGAATATAAAGCATAGCAGCATGAACCAGGGTCGACCCATATAAGGTCGAATGTATTTCCTTCTGATTCAGATGTACCATTTTCAGTGACATCAGTTGCACTGGAATCCACTTTCATATCTTTTGTGACTTCAGCATCAGTTCCTTTAGATGCAGATGATATTGAGTCGAGCTGATTAGATGCAAGCAAGAGTACATCTGAACTCACTGCAGTGTACTCCCGAACCTCAATTCCATTCTCCACCAAATAAGAGTTTGCCTGCAAAAGACATGAATTAATATACCTAACTATCCATACTGTTAGTTTAGACTAACCAAGGCCAGATGACGGGTACAGTACTAACACTAAAGGAACATGCATTAAAGCATATAAAAAAAAGAGTGTAATGAAAAAAAAAAAGAAAAAAAGAAAATAGGAACATGAAAACAAATATTGGAAAAATAAAATAAGTGTTTCTGATTTTGATGAAGGTAGTGTGAGAACATAGCTAGAATTGAAATATATTACAAATTTTACCTCGCTAGAAACCTTTCTCTTGTCCACATAAAGGAAGGCTGAGTTGGATGTTACTATAGCAAATGCATGAACAACTGGACAGTAGGATACATCATTCCCACGAATATTATACAACCAAGCAACCTGAACAGAAGAATGTAGTGGAACATTGGTAAACAATATCACTATGTCTAAGGAAAGGCCAAAGGCAAGAAAACAAATGCAAACAACACAGCCAGGAACAGCATAAATTTACCTCATCCAGTGTTGTAATGATCATGCCACGAGCCTTCTCATGTTTGAATTTTTCTCTCAGATCCTTCAACTTGTCTGCAACTGAACGACCTGTAAATTCCAATGGATGGACAATGACGGGATTTGATTCTTGTGGGGGTCGATTTTTCCAGACTTCATCTACCAAATTCGTTGTAGTTTGAATCAGCTTCTGCTGTTTATTAGCAAAAGCACCCTCCCATCTTTGTGCAGTGTCTACTGATATACACCATGGATCAATACCAACTGTCGCATGTGCTGCTAGATTCTAACAAAATCAAATTTCAAGGTCTTCTTAATACCAGAATTGCACCAAAATACCGTACAAAATAAACCAAATAATCATGCAAGTAAAACTAAACTAATAAGAAAAGAAATAGCAATATTATCACCAATCTAGCTACGAAGGCATCACTTAAGACCAACTCAAAAAATTATGTGAGCCTGAGAAAGGGACTCAGAAGTACAGCTAAGAATTGATCAAGCTCAAAAATAATGGAAAAAAAGTCAACTCATGAACAGAAAGACCGTAACGAAACCAAAAGCCATAGGTAAAGATTCTTAATAAATTGGAATTTTAGGCCCTAAATGAAAATTGGTCTCACCACTCTGACCTCAGATTACATTCACGAATCCCCAAAGCAGAGTGGATAGACCAATTGAAAAAAAAAAGGACATATTTGTATGAACGCCAGAAGTAGCAGCAAACTTATTATTCATAAAATTTATTCAATTATTTTTGCAGCATTTTACAACATATAAATATTGCTTCACATGGTAACTCACATCAGCCATCCATGTATCCACAGGAGGGTCCTCTCCAATACGCATGAGAGTCCACTGATTGCTAAGTTGTTGCATTGCCTGCAAGAAATAGCGTCCATCGGTCCACAGTCGAGCATCATTCATTGTAATAAGTGCCAAACCTGAATGATATTCAAGCAAAATGCTCAAAAACAACACGCGCTGCATGTAGCTAACATGGAAACACTTCAAATTTTTGAATAATTAAAGTGATGATTTTCATATTCATATATTGTGGAGTAAACGGCAAACACTCTGAGCAACATGCCAAGACGTAAAGTGATGATTAGACAAAGGCAACCTGTATAACTTAGATTGAAATCAAATTACCATCCCAACCTACATGCCTTGGCAGCTTGAAATTGACACAATTAGAAAATATTAGGCCCGAAACTCCAATTGAGCACCGAATAAGATACTGGAAAACTCTTACTCAATGCGACTTGAGCAGAAATGGATGTCACTCAAGTCCAACATTATACTACTCAAGCTTGGTTCAAAGCCCCACTCAAACTTTGAGCTTCAATAAATTAAAATCGAGTCAAATTCAAATGTCCTTCGAGCCTGGATTTGAATTCAGGTAACTGACCAATATGTACCATATCTATTACCAAAACACAGCAGGAAAGATGCCAATCAAGATAATTCGATTAAGGGAAAGAAAAAAAGCTAGAATACTGAAACTACCTGCACTTCCAGTGAATCCAGAAACAAATTCCCGCCTCTTATCCCGTGCAGAAACGTACTCACTCTGCCAAAAAAAAAAAAAAAAAAAAAAAAAAATGGATGTCACTCCAAGCTCCAACATTATTTACTTACTCAAGCTTGTTCAAAGCCCCACTCAAACTTTTTGAGCTTTCGAATAAATTAAAATCGAGGTCCAAATTCAAATGTCCTTCGAGCCTGGATTTGAATCAGGTAAACTGACAATATGTACCATATCTATTACCAAAACACCAGCAGGAAAAGATCCAATCAAAGCATAATTCGATTTAAGGAAAGAAAAAAGCTTAGGAATACTGAAACTACCTGCACTTCCAGTGAATCCAGAAACAAATTTCCCGCCTTCTTATCCGTGCAGAAAACGTACTCACTCTGCCCCAAAAAAAAAAAAAAAAAAAAAAAACGATTATATATGGATTATCAAAAAAAAAAAAAAAAAAAAAAAACGATTATATATGGATTATCGTGGCACTCGATAATCATAATCAAAATAAGCGAAGAAAAGAGAGAACCTGATGACAATCCTCAGAGGGAACAACTAAGGCATCGAGAGGCGGAGAGTGAGAAGCCATCAGAGACCTTAAAGAAGCGAGTGTGTCAGCCATGGTTTTTGCTTTGTGATCTCTACCGATCTCCTTTGTAGAAGAGACTGAGGGAGAGCAGATATTTGTGAATTTTATATAAATATCGATGAGTAACCAAGCCTACAACTCTATTCTAGAAATATGGATTGATGAAGTGGTTCTATATGCGTTGAAAAGCGTGAACTCAAGTTTCCTTCAATTTTGATTTTGCGATACGAACCATGTTCTTTCTGAATTTATTCTTATTCTTTCTCCATTTCATGTTGGAAAATGTTTTTTTTTCTAAGATAATTTTTTTTACGGTGAAAAATTGATCACTTTATAAAGTGTAAAATTCTAATTTTAATACTCAAATCTTATTCAAACGTCATCTATACTTTAAGGAGGACAAATCCTAATTGTAGCATCGTTGGATTTGATAATATAGTCGAATTAATATTCATTTAACAAAAATAAATTAATATAACTTAGTAATTATTTTAATTATACGTGTCTTAAATATTATATTTCATAATTTGATATTTCAAAAACATTTAAAGTTTTATTTTTATTGGTTAATTATTTTAAAAATTAATAAAAATATTTTTTATTTGCAATTTCATTTTTAATTGCAATGGAGACTGCAGAGTTGAAGTGGAATTAATAAAAATGTCAAAATAAAGTGAAATTATAAAAACTTGTGAAACTAATAAACAAATGTCAGAATATTTATTTTCATTATAACAAAGTTTCTCTAAGTAAAAAAAAAACAAAATTAGCTTTAAAAAAAGTAAAAATTAAAATTGAATCACAATAAAATTATAGAAGAAAAATCGTATAGAATCATAATATTATTTTATCAAAGAATTTCAAATCATGTACAAATTGAAATTGGGAACAAGCTATGAACAAAAATGAAGCTGTAGTATAAATGGTAATAATAATCATATCTGAAAGAAGAAAGATTACAAACAAATGCAAAAAGGAGACCATAAAGTGTTCGAAGAACTGGTAACAATATCAAGAAGCCTGGGCAAGCCTTTTCACTACTGCAGCCATATATTTGCCCTGATGTTCTGCAAGTGCCAGCTCTAATTCACTTGGCTCTCTTGTGCCATTACCAGCATAAACACCTGCACCGTATGGAGTGCCTCCTCGAATAGAATCCATCTTGAACATACCAGCTCCAAAGGTATATCCAACAGGAACAAATAACATTCCATGGTGGGCCAACTGAGTGATCGCTGTCCATCTGGCCAAAATGAAACAAAAGGAATGGAGGAATTTGAGAAAATTACTAAAAATATACAAGTTTTCAAACAAGCATTTTAATTTGATTTTCATTTTAAAAATCTATGGTAACAGTCCCAAATAATCCTTGTGATTTTACATAGATATTTTCAACTTTCAAGACCCTAAACTTAGTCAATTACCAAGACAAACGGATGCAGGTTCCATAACAGACACTTGCACTTCACAAACACAAACAACACAAATTTGTTGTTTATGACGGTGCTTAGATATATCCATCTTTCTTTATGAAATTTTCCAGTTGACAAGCGAACAAAACAGAACAGAAACAGAGAATTCATATATCCATTAAGGGTCAGTTATTGTTGTATTCTTGATAAGTGAAAACAATGCCCTATCAAACACCAAAGGCTAAATACATTAAATCCCAAACCGGAATCTGTTATTTTCAGACATCTGACAATAAATTAGAAAAATTATATATTTGTTATTATTGACGGTTGCTACTAAGAATATTATTAAAGTCCACAGTCATGGTAATTCATTTTATGATAAATTTTCCAGTATTGACAAAGAGAGCGAACAAGATATCAGAATAACAGAAATCAGTATAGCACTTATTCATAATATCACGGAAATATGAGGCGTCAGATTATTGTTGTGTATGTCTCCTCTTTGATTAAGTTGTGTGAAATATCAATAGCGCCTATCCAAACACCAAAAGGCTAAAATACATTAAAATCCCAAACCGGAAAGATATGATTTATTGTTAGCACATCTGACTCGACTGTACATCCTTTAGAAAAAACAAGATCCTGTTAAAGCATAGTTTTATACCTCCAATTAGTATCTACTATATAATTCGTAGAAAATGTTTATTAAATATTCAGTATTAACTCGATAATATACTACATATATAACAATACACAACTTAATTAGAATTTATTTCTCTTCTTTACAAAGATTTCAGTTTTTGGTGTTACGCCTTCGCCCATTTGCGATACCTATCAAAATGCAAGGAGAATCATACATTTTGTACGGATCGCCTAACAGTGAGTCATGCAATTGAGATGATTACAAGTAATTGGCTCTCTATAAGTGCCTCGGACGTATAAGCTCTCATTTATTTTGACTTAATTTGTAATTTTCCAAAAGTTCAATATGTGGGATAATGATGTCGAGGAATTGATACTTCTGGAAATGATATTTTTATAGAAAGGGCGAATTAGTTTTTTTGTGATTAGCATTTGCTCCTTCTCAACTTCACTCCTGCTCTTCTTTCTCTCCTTTCTTCTCAAGATTGTCTTATATAGGCCCGCATATTGTGTGTTCCACAGTTGGAGAGGGTTCTCAGACTCTAGTCGGAAAACAATCCCCAACTGTTAATAACATAGGATATGGATATATTAAATGAGGAGGACTAGAGCTAATACTATGCGACATACTTCAACTCTCGTGCATTTTCCAAATTTAAATTGAACAGTGAACCAACATTATTATGTTCTCAAAAAATTGTAAGTTTAGATGTATACTCACACAAGATCTATTAAACATCTAACAATACTCAATACACTATAAAACACAACAATTAGATATATCTCTTCTTTACAAGATTTCAGTTTGGTTAGCTTTCGCCCATTGGTGATATCAAAATGAGGGAATCATACATTTGAGATGCTAACAGTGAGTCATGCAATTGAGATGATTCAAGTAATTGGCTCTCTATAAGGCCACGACGAAAAGTTTTTTTTTGCTTAAATGAATATGATGTCGAGATATCTCAAATGTTTTTGAGGGCGATTGTTTTAAGATTGCTCCCAATTCACTCCTGCTTCTCTTTCTCTCCTTTTTAAGATTGTTATATAGGCCGCATTAATTTTCCACAGTTGGAGAGGATTCAGCGTCAACAATCCCCAACGTAATAAAGGTTGGAATTATAAGAAAAGCTAATACTATGCAACATCTTCAACTCTCGTGCATTTCAAATTTAAATTGCCAGTGAACAACATTTAGAATTCTCAAAAAATTGTAAGTCTGATCAAAGTTTAACATCTACAATCAATCAACCACCATTAATGCCAACAAAAAGCTATATGCCTGTATCACCTTCACTTTACTTGTTATCCCATCTAAAATGTAGAATATAAGAAAAGAGCATCCCATAAACATACGAGCAACTTCAATTAACAGAAAGGATTAGTGTTTAAGAAAATTACCATCCAAACCAACAAACTATAAACCAATTAGTCTATGTTACTCTTTGACCATGAAACGGAATCAACTTCTTCGTTCATGATTCATAAACACTACTCACTCACAGTTTCTTATCACCTTATGTGAACTCCCAAAAAATTATACTGCGAATTTAAAAACAAAATCACTTAAAAGAAAACATTTGAATATTACAGAAGGTTTCTTGGTACTTCATATTAATTAGGACTTCGTACCTCTGTTATAATCAGTAATTTAACTAGGCTTATTCATTTCAAATAAATTAATCGGCTTTCCTTCCAATTCAATTGCTCTGAAATTAATCCAATCGACCAACATTTGTACTAACTAATGCAACAAAATGATTCAGAAATAAATTACTTACGCGGTGGTTTCTTGGCCGCCACCTTGTGTCCCTGTACTGACGAAGAATCCAGCAGGCTTTCCGGCAAGTTTCTGCTCTTGCCACAACTGTCCAGTCGAGTCAAAAAACGACTTCATTTGCGCAGCCATAGAACCATATCTCGTCGGAAACCCAAACAAAACCCCATCTGCAGCCGCCAATTCCGCCGCCGTTATCTCCGGAATCTCAGGGTCCTTCGGCGGCGCCTTCATGTTCTCCAACACGTCATTCGAAAGCGTCTCCGGCACTCGATACAAAATGGCCTCTACTCCATCTACTCCATCCACTCCCTTCTTCATCCTCTTGGCCAACCCCTCCACGTGACCGTACATTGAGTAAAACACAATGAATAGCTTCAATTGCGAGACTGAATCGACTACTGCTGTTTCATTATTTTCGAGATTGTTTTCGAGATTGTTTTCCTCAACAGGGATCGGCGCCTCGCGAATTGGCCGTTGAGGGTCTTCCACGACAGCGGATCGTTTCTTCTTGCTTGGAACACATCCACCTCCTTTCCCCATCAAGAATTACCCAATTCCGAACTAGAATTGGGGATTCCACTGCCGAATATGAGTTTAGCTTTGGATCCGATGCTCGGGAAAAGAAAAATAGTCTTTTTGAGAATTGAGTTAGTGTAAAATACAGGGCTTGACCTCTTGGATTAGGAGTTGAGAACTATTAACGATATGGCACGTGTAAGTGCGGTACAAGAGATTTAAGAAATGACGTCGTATTAGGTGCCTCATTCTTGGAAGACGGATCACTCTCATTGTGTAATTGGGAAGTTCGAAGGTGTCATAGAAGTCAACAGCCTGAAATAGCGCGGTTCCGGCGGTTAAATGACGAAGAAGAACTGGATAGCATGACGGCGACACGACGCTATTTTAGTTGGGCCTGAATTTTGCCTAATAGGCTTAACTTGGGCTAAAGTTGGGCCCGGAATTTTCGTAATTGAGTTAAAATGAGCCTGAATTGGGTTTGAAAATTGGGTTCAATTGGACTTGAAACTTTTCATGGTTTTAATTAGGCCGAGGTATGGCTAAAATTTAGATCTGAAATTTTTATTTTGCCCCAAATTTGCCAAAATGGGCCATTATCCTGAAATTTTCATAACGGGCTCAAAATCAGCCTGAATTAGGCTACATTGGCTGATCCATCTCCTTTGTGTTTTTCAATTTTGTTTTTTTTTGCCCTTTCAACAAAGTCCCTGGTCGAGATCGAATTTGTATTCTCCCTTTCACGGAGAGATTGAGGTCATTTATCATCTCACCTACACCTTGTTGGTTGATCATCAGTTAGATTTAATACTTAGGTCCATGATTTTTACTTCGTTGGAAAATTCAACAGAGAAAATTCTTAATTCACCATATTGGTAAAAACTCTTATAGTCGAGAGGATTTTTTGAATTTGAGATTTCTTGAAAATCAACCAGAACTAGTAGTAGTAATTTTATAATTTTTTAAAATTTGTATTAGAGATCTCAAGGTACTAAAAAAGTTATGAAGAAAAGCGGAGATGAATGAATGAAAGATCACCTAGCTAGTGCTATTGGTGAATTTTATTTTTTATTCTTTAATATTTCTTATTGAAGAATGACATGCAATCTTTCAACTCATTAAAGAACACTCTTTCCTGAAAAAAAAAAAAAAAAGAAGAACAAATATGAATTTTGAAATGGTTAAAAATTAAGATAATAAAAATAAAAGAATGATATATTTCATGATGAATTGGATAAGTTAAATTAATTCCTGCTATTTTCTTTAATTATAATCTTGGGTCTCATTGAATTAAAGTGATTAAAAGAAAGTAACGAGTGGGTTTAAGTATGCATCTAAAAATCCAATTAATCTTAATTATCAAAAAAAAAATATATAGTGATTAAATAATGAAAGAATCTGTGACAACGAGTGGGTTTAAGTACTCGGCATCTTGAATTCGACATCTCACAAATTTAATTCTTGACTTATAAAAATTAAAAAATAGAATATGCTATAATTATATAATATTATAGAAAGTGCTACTCATATATATATATATTCACTTAACACATATCATAGCTTCACTATAAATCTGCTTTTGTCTGCAAAAAGAGTGGGCCTTCAAGAGATAAGTAGAGTCATAGAGCAAACACAACAGAACTCTTCTCACATTACTTAATACACACGCACCAAAAACGACAAGACATCCTTTATATTTTAGTCCATATACTTCATGTAATTCATAATAGAGGAACACCAAAATTGAGACTAATATATTACGGAATTAATATGATACAACAAGCATACTTATGATGTACTGTCGTTAGTATATATCACTAACACTATCATGTACTAAAATGCTTTTTGCCAAAAAGAGTGGGCTCAAAAGTAGGTCTAGAGAAAACAGACTTTTAATTACTTAAAAACCGCACAAAAAGCATTATATTAATCCATAATAATTATTATTAGGGCACAAAATTAATAAAACTAGGTTTAATTAATAAAAAAATATTAGAACTTGTTTTCCTTTTGTAAGACGTACGGTTCGATTGATTAGGTTTGCAATAATGCACATTAAGGCGCTTCCAACCACTCTTATAGCCAACCAAAAAGCTTAATTAGTTAATTAGATATGATTAAGTGATTGATTTTATAGCTTAATTGTGTACCCTTTGAAATGACATATTCCTCCTCAATGGACCACCATTAACATACAGAATTAGGGCAGGTGCCCTACAATACACCACTGTCTTTGGATCTGGGACACCTGATAGAAAACCCTAGAAGGAAAACCCTTTCACTTTAGCGCTACACGTGTCAAAGATTAACAAAATAAATAAATGATTAATTGATTAATTAGTGGTCAGCATGTGCAAAAGCTGATCAGGCAATTAACAGTAAGAAGGAAAGAGAGTATAAAGACAGCTTGGAATTCGTAAAAAGATTATTAAGAAGGAAGTAGAATTAACCAAATGGACATTATAAGGACACATAAACCACTTGTTCACCACCCACGTTTCCTTTTTTTTTTTTTTTTTTTTTTTTTTTTTTTTTTTTTTTTTTTTTTTTTTTTTTTTTTAAATGCTTAAGCATAAAATCTTAGGCATAAGATTAAGGTTTTTCAAAAAAATAATAAAATATTATTACAATTTTTTTTATTCGTAATATCGTACATCATATTATGATATTAATTTGTTTTCCACTCTCATTTTAAAAGTAATTTTTAAAAAATAATAAAATAGAAAAAAGAAATCAACTTGTTAATTGAATTAATCTTTAGAGTGTTTGAATTATTTGATAGTAGATATTTAAAATATTTAATTTTTATGATTAATAAGCGGTTGAATCAATAGAAATAAAATATATTTAATCAAATAAAATTAAAGATTCAAAACCTATAATTATCGTATTATTTTAATTTAAGCATGACACACGTGTATGAAACAGGAGAAAAATATATTTGATATATGATTAATTTAAACTCTATTGATAGAAAACTTAATTGTTGGCAAGATTTGTTGCTTTTAATTGTAGGGAATGATCAAACTTTATGTTTTTAGGGTTATATGTGAGAATTTTTAATTAATTACTTGGTGAAAATGACAAGCTAAGCTTAGGGGAGGTTTTGCATTACCAATGGAAAAGTAGAAAGGCTCTCTTCTCCTTCTTATAAGGATTTTACTTTTAAGTGTTTGACTATTAATCTTTTATTAATTAATAATTCTTTTTAATCCAATAAAATTAGCCACTATGGATGAACTTGAAAGTTGAAACATTTTTATAATTTTAGCCGTTAATTGTTAATTCAATTTCTCGGTTGTCTTTAGCACCTTGAATTTAGAGCTAATAATAATAAATATAATTAGACAATACAATTAAGTCATAATCTACCCACTTAATGGCCTAAATTAAGGCGGAATTCAGGGGTTGCTGAAATCTAAGTTACTAAAAATTAATTTAAATATAGGGTTTATTTTTATTTTTCAAAATAAGGACAAACAAAAAATTAAGAGTGAAGGGTGTATGGAGTTAGTGTATAAGGAGAGGGAAACATGGGAAGATACTGTGTGCATGTGTATATACAAGAGAAACAAAAATTTGGGTGTAGTTAAGAAGACAAGACCTAGCTATATGGGATGACATAGATGAGCACTTGCAATCTAGAGGCACACCACACGTATCCCTATCTTGTACCTTTATAAGTTTTTAGGAATGGACATTGGAGGTCTTATTTGGCCCTACACCATCACTATATGATGCAATTGGGACACAAACATATATAATGGTTAGTACATGATCTTAATAAAGTGAATATGGTCGGTGGGTGGTCTTTAGGTCTCAATTTTTTTGGTTTTACACATCTCAAGTCCGAATCACACTCGATTAATTTGGATTCGTGCTGAATAAGTTCATAAAGGGGAGAAAGTATTTCATTCCGAGTGTTTAAAGTAATTTTCATATTCAGAACTCGAATTCGAGACCTTTGGTTAAAAAAGAATAGAATCTTGCAATCTCATTTCACCTGTCGAGAGTATTTAGATTTCAATTTTAGTATATATAGTTTTTATATTATTACCTATGTACTATAGGCCTATATATATAATCAATCAGGAGATTGGATGAATAGTAATAAATTTTATTCTTTCCCCAATTTTATTTATAAGGTTAAGGATTTGAAAAAAAAAAATATCACCTTTGGGATGAAAGTGAAAATATTTATAAATAGATAATTTATATATAACTATTAATAGATATTTTTTTTCTTGTGCATAAACATGTATATAAGAGATGAGATCTAAGGCCAATAGAATTAAACAACATTTGGGACCACTATACATTCCCTTAAAAGGGATTGAAAATGAAAGATTAGTATTCCATTTCAAAAAATAAAATAAAAATAAAAAAAGTGAAGATTTTGTTGACTATTGTTCATATATATATAAAGATGATATGCATAAGCATTTTGATTTGATTCCACTCTAGAGAGATGTTTGGGGATTTATTAAATGTTAATTAAATTTGTTTTAGTTAATTAGAGAGATTTAACTTTTGATTAGCTTAGCCAGATCAAAAGATGGGAAAAAAAAAATCTAATTATATAATTAGTTTAACAAGTAAATTATAATTAGTTGGAAGATGGGAAACAAGAGTTGCAAGTGTCGGGATAAACATGACACCCCATTAATTTAATCTTTTTTAAGTTTGATTTTTTAAATGCAAAATTAAGAAAAAGAAAAAGCTTAATTAGTGTTATTGAAACTCATAAACAACTCAAAAGCATACAAAGGAATCTCAACCACACCATGCGCATCTTCTTCGATCTCTTTCTCTCTCTCTCTTTCTTTCTTTTTTTCCTTTTCTCTTTTTTCTATTATTAAATAAAAAAACAATGCTTAGGACATAATTAACCTCAAGTTGCCAGCTTATTAGATTCTCTATATCTATATAAACTTTTTAATCTCTCCCATGTTTCATCCTTATCCTTTCTTACCCTTCTTTCTCAATTCTTTAATATAAGTTTAACCCTAGCAAGTAAACAAAATAAAATAATCATACTTACTTATTAATACCCGAAGTCGCTTAACAATCTTTCAGCTTAGCCGACAATCTTTATATGGTTAAGAGTTTAATATACGAAAAAACATTTATGTAAAACCGCAATCATAGAAATGAAATTAATTTCATATCCAAAAAGAATATGAAAATATTCATGGAAAAACTTTGAAAAAGAAAAGAACAAATTTGCTTAGTACTTGCAAAAACAAAAATGTAAACGTGTTTATGACGTCGTTTC